CTTCTCCTTCACCTCCAAAAGTGTTAGTGGCGAGAGCGCAGCCGCTGATGATGGGATCTTAAAACAAGCATAAGTAGACACGAGATCTATGGCGCACATTTTGTCCCATGTCTTGTTGCCTGAATTAAACGACCATACAACTTGTATGTCCCAAAAAATTCGGGACATGCACAAGCGATTGTCCAGGTTGCACATGACGAACTCGTCAGGATCAGGATCATCGTAAAAGGGAGCTTGAGCGACGACTTGAAAAGCTTCAGTGTGAAGATCGAAAGACACAACTTTGGTTTCTGCGCAATCGGTGAACCAGTAAAGAGACCCATCTACAAACGCGGGGTCGGGGCAACCAACAATCCTGTAAGGAGAAGCAGGAGTGACGTACCTCCAAGCGTTGGTACTAAAGTCGAAAACTTCGCACGTAGTAGCGTTTTCAAGGCTTATCTCTGAAGAGTTGTACAGGCAAACGAGTTTGTAAGCGCCCGTGAATCTGTCTTTACCGAATCCAAACTTGATGGGGGAGTGTCCAAGCTCCGAGTAACTCTCTCCTAAGTCGATCGCCAGTTGCTGAACTTTGCAGAGAGGAACAGGCCGAGACCATCTGGTGGTTGGGTTGACCACAAAACCGGCTTCAACTGGATGGTAGAGACAAACGAGACCGTCGCAGCTGTAAGAAACTAGGTATTTTTCTGTCTTCTCCTACTCCTTGTCCGGATCTTGACCGATGTCGACGAACCCAACACGAGTGTTCTTAGACTTTGTATGCCCGTTTCAGCATCTTCTGACACCATGAGAATATTTGTATCATCTCCTGATTGCTGCTGACCATGCTTCAACTGTCTCTCTGGGAAGGATGGTGATTCGATCGTTGTTCTCCATTGTTTCGATACAGCCTTGAACCTCATCAGAGATTTCGCCGGAAGTCTCTCCATGATGACCTCCACCACATCGTGGGGCAGCGATTCCACCCTCGATTCCATTAGAAAGCGACGTCTTTTCCACATCCTTGTCTTGTCTCTCTGTAGCCATTGATGATGAGATACAGAGGCTTATTTATATACAAGTACGACACTAAAATAAAATAGGAAAATTCGTTAAGGATAAGGAAATCTCTACTTTCCTTAAATATAATTACTGAATATAATTTTTTTTAGCAGACCAAGGAAAAGGAAATTCTCTCTCCATACACGACACAGATATTCTCCTAACTAAACTCGAAAACCTCGACACTCATATTCCTGATTGCTTTAGGCTGTATGAAACTAGACAAAACCACGTGCCAACTCTATGCCGTTTCGAACAGGGTTTATCAAGTTTCTGTGTAGGAACTTCAAAAGCCTTTTTCCAAGAATGTTTCAAACGCTTTGACTTTTAAATATTGAAAAGAAAGAGATTTATACACATAAAAACTATTTACTCAAGCCTTTTTTGTGTTGTCTAACATGTAAAGATTAAACTCAAGCAACATGAGAAAAAGATGTAAATGAACATGAAGCCAAACACTAAACTCACCAAACAAAACCAAAACGCATAGACAAAAAAAAACACACACACACACTAAATAGTTAAGTTCGATTATGTAAGATGATAAGAGGTCACTCTCTTTTGCCTGAATCTTCTTCACCGTTTCCACTCGGTCTTTGACTTATCTGTAACAATCAAGAACAAAATGAGTTAAAAAGGTTGATATGAGTAATTAAGAGAACTGTTGTAAATTTGAGTCTTGCTTACCACTTATGTTCTTAGAAGAAGAAAATGATTTGTCGCCGTTGATAGATCCTTTGGCAGAGGCTAGAAGAAGCCTGTGAGCCCCTGGAGACGAAGTAGTAGTAGTAGCAGTACTACTCACCTTACCATTGGCTGGAGAAGGCAGTGAAAGGCGCCGCAATGTCCCATTTTTCTCTTGAGCAAACCTTGGAGAACCTTCTCCTTTCACTCTGGCCTTTGCAGATGCAGTTGGAGCCATGTAGCTGGGAATTTTCCTCCCACTATGTGTAATCCCATCATCTTGATTGTCATTATTTGCGTGCAGTGACACTCGTCTTTCACTTGGCTTTGTGCTATCAGAGCTTACCTTCACATCTGAGCATATGAGGTCTTCAACCTTATCACCGATCTCTGCAGCTATAGGTTCATCTTCCTCCGGTGAATTCTCTTCGTTTTCGACATCAAACTCTTTAGGAACTACATCAGTGGTATCTGTTTCCTTTTCATTACACTCAACAGCGAGTCCTTCTTCAAGAACATCCGAAACCTTCACTTCAGGCTCTAGCTGCACAGAATCTGCAGTGTTTTTCTCCTCTACGCCTGACTCAACAGCATTTCCTCCTTCAAGAACATCTGAAAGGTTCACTTCAGGCTCCACTTCAGGCGCTATCTCCACAGAATCTGCAGTATTTTTCTCCATTTCAGCTGACTCAACAGCATCTCCTCCTTCAAGAACATCTGAAACCTTCGCTTCAGGATCTATCTGCACAGAGTCTGTAGTGTTTTTCACCTTTTCAGCTGACTCAACAGCGTCTCCTCCTTGAAGAACATCTGAAACCTTCACTTCAGGCTCTATCTTCACAGAATCCACATGATCTCTCTTCTTCTCAGCAGATTTACGGGTGGCTTTCTCTGACCCGTTTGAAAGAGAAGACCTTTTGAGACTAAGCCTAGGCTTCTCATCTTTAACCTGAGAAGGAGATCCCTCCTTCGAAGCGCTTCTACTTTTTCTCGCATTTAGCTTAGCCTTGTCACTCGCAGTTCTCAGGGGATCTTTACTAGCCTTGTCACTCTCGGTTCTTAGGGGATCTTTACTAAGCGTGGAGGCCTTCCTCACATTTCGCTTAGGTTTCTCAATCTCAGCTGTAGAACGCTTAGAACCATTTCCACGAGTTGGTCCGGATTGTTTCTTGACACCTCGCTTTGGCCTTGCCTTTTCTGCTTCAACCACAGCTTCATAATTCCGCTTCTTTGTCTTAGGTTTTGGAACAGGAATCTTAGCAGCTCCTGAACCAGGAGACCAAACTTGCAACTGTGTCCAGCGTTCAAGCCAAACCTTGGCTGAGTTAGGATCATTAGGACCATACTGGATCTTCAGAGGCAATGCAGTTGGTGATGAAGCCAGAAGCTGAAACAAAACAACGTTGTGTTGCAGGATTTGTAATAAACAAAGTCTTGAGTTTATGGATCAGAAGTTAAAGATTACCTTATCAACAAAGAAGAGTTTTGAGGGATTATCCATCCATTTACAGGTGCTCACTTGCAAAGCTTCTGAATCACCTGCTCTCAGCTGAACCCCATTATCTGAAGATCTAGCTTTCCGGCCACGGACAAGCGCCTGAAACTTGACGATTCCCCATATACATGAATACGTAGCAACGGCTTGTCTTCTCACCAGATGACCACGGATCACTGCCTGTAGCCTGATGATACCTTTAAGTGTTCGAAATGCTCTACGTGCCTTTCAGTAGAATAACCAAAAACATCATCATCACCATTACAAGAATCTTATCAAGTAGATTTCTCTTTATTATAGCAAAGAATAAGTACCTGATGAGCTCTGAAAGCAGCCTGAACCTTTATTACAGCGTGTTCAAGCTCGACTTCTTCCATGTCATTTCTTGATTCAAGATTAGCCTTTGACTCATCACCATTGCTTGGAGAAACCACATTTTGAGCAGTAGTAGTAGCTGAGTCTGGCTGTGCTGAAACCACTGGAGGATCAAGCGATAAGTTTGAAAGACCATCCCTCACCGATACCACCACCTCTTCTTTCTTAGCAGAGCTCTTTGTGTACACATGAACAACAACATTACAGTTATAACTATCCACATTTTATTCAAAGGAAGAGAACTAGAAATCACATATGCTTACCAGCTTCTCGCTTCCGTTTGCCGACTTCGGAGACTTCTTTCCGAGAAGCAAAGTCTTGATCCATTTACCAGGAGTCTTTCCCATTCTTAAGAGAGCAAGATCCCGTTTCAATTGAGAGAGTTGCTAAATATAGAAACCTGCAGAAGAACAAGCAAAAAAGGCCCTGAATTTCACAAGCAAAAGATATAAGCTAATTCTGTGGATTATACTTCTAACACACAAAAATTTACAGAATTGAAGCTGAAACCTATCTAACAAAGATCATCTATAAAACTTTAGAACACAGTAGCATAATTCATCATTAAAACAGGCATCTATTTCAGTGAAAAACAAGAAAGTTGCATGAAATCAAAGAATATTAATTTAAAAAACAAAGTAACGGAAGCTAGAAAAAAACATGGGCTTTAAATAAAGTGAACAAAAGCAGAGATCTTGAAGACAGCACACCAAAAATCAAGAAGATCCAGAAAAACTAAACCTGGTAGATTTTCAATTAAGCAAATGACAAAAATAAATTGCAACAAACCAGAGCTAAAAGAGAGAAAAAACCATCAGAAATTTTAAAATGATGAGCAAGAGTGAATAGACAGATCTGAGTACAAATCTAAAGAGCACAAGAATTATCTAAGTGTTGTAAAAGAAATTGAAACGTCAACCTCAAAGAATTGAATGTAGCTTAAACCATAGAAAGATCAGTACCTAACCTGCTCGGCTTCTTCTTTTCTTCGAATGTTGTACTTTAAATCCCCTGACAAGATCAATGACCTAAGAGACTAAAAGCATAGTAGGTCACTGCGAAAATTAGACTCCCCAACGGTTCCACTGATAGTGATAGCCAAAGCAGAAGAAGAAAGAGAGAGATGTTGAATTTAACTTAATTAAGAAATGTAAGGAATGGACAAGAAAATTTCGGTTTCAAAACGACGTCGTTGGAATGATGTGCTGTCAAAGATTTTTAAAGCAGGCCGTTATGGGCCCAATTAAAGGAGTCAATGGAGTTGGATTTACACAAACACCCTCTCCTTTTCTTGGATCATTCATGATATTGATCACACCCTCTGTTTTAATTCGACAATTAATTAAGGGTGTCATTATCCAATTGGTTAGTTCGCTAAATCCAAACGTCGTCTATTAGGAGTATTTGAAATTTTGAATCGTAAGATAATGATGTAGTGACTAGATAGGTTTTGTAGTCTATCCTAACTAGATATTTTGCCCGTTCTATCAACTAATAAAGTATTCCATTAGTTAAGTGTATTCCATTTTTCCATAAATTAAGCACATGAACCTTGACGATGGATATCTTTGGGCCTAAAATGAGTTGGATAGCTATAAGGTTTAATAGAACCCTTAAGAATTCTATAAGCCCAATATATATATATATATGTATTTTTGTTACTAGGTTGTTATAAAAAGTGGAACAGAATATAGATAGATAAAAATGCATATGGTCTATAATATTAATTGATACTTTTGGCAGTGTCGCAAATTACAAGGCAATTGCATGTGATGTGCTTACTCGCATTGTATTTTCCTTTCAATTTTGACAGAAAACAAAATAAAAAATTCAGTCATGATTACTTATCAAGTAAGTTCTCAAGAAAAATTGGATAGTGTGACAAAAAAAGTTGGCTTTGAGTTTCACCACCAGCTTGTTACTGTTTTGAGTGCTTTTGACAAATCTTGGACTTTGCACTTGAAAAATAAAAACGATTTTGAACGAGCTTTTATTACACCACGATTTTGAACTTATTTATTGGTGTTTGTTTCATGCTGCTACATGAATTGGTTTCCTTTTGTATAATCAAACTTATTTTATTTTGCAAGTCAAGCCACTTTAAAAACAACACAAAAATAATTATGTAAAAAGAATAAAAGACAAAAGAGAAAGTAGTGGACGGTTCGTCGCGCCAAAAGAAAACAGCGGATGATTTGTTAGAATCTCAATGCTTTTAAAACACACCGAAACAAAGCGACACACACATTTCTTAATCTCACCGACTAATAACTAAAATGCTAGCTATAATCGATAAGGAGATGATAACAACATGTTTTGGCCAACATAATTGGTAGTATTATTACTTTGACACTGATTGATGAGACAAAAAAAAATCGATATTTGTTGATCATTTGGTAGCCTTTTGATTTCACTAAAAAACTGTAACGGTTTAAACTGAAATTTGAGAAAGGTTAGATTAACGGTGTGAATCGTGTGATATATCTAACGTGGATCACTACGTTAACAAAAGTTAGCACGTGACGTCTTCGAACCGCGCGTGGGGGGTTAAATAGTCAACTGTAAAAAAAAACTCGTTGCCTGGTTGACTTTTACTACATACTGGTTTCAAATGACTGATCTTTGTCACATAATTTCTCCGGATTTATGACTAACTATTTTCTTGTAATAGGTGTACTGGTGTAGTTCATAGTCAGCAAGAAGATGAGTTTCTCAATGATCGTCAGTATCTTAATGACTATCATTTATTTTCTCTGTAAAAATTGCAGAGATGGAAGAATTACCTTGGGGAAGAGATCTACGAATTTCAAGAGAAGTACAACTACAAACATTTATTCGTCAAACATGTATGCATGTGTATACTAGTAGCATTTATGTGTTATCATCCATGTGTTTGTATACATCTACTGTGTTTCCAATAAATGCATGTTATAAAGAAAGCTCTGAACAAAAAATGTAAAGAAAGGTCTGACCATTTCAGAATTTAAATTTAACTTGCTGACTACTGAGAAACTAGTTAATAATACCAAGTTGAATCAAATAAACAAAATGAAATCTAATTGTGGAAATTTTTGATCAAAAAGTAGATAAATAGTCAGATGTTTCATGTGGATTTTACGTATTTTAAGGATCTTAATTAATTTTCTCATTAAATAAATATTGCTATCACTTTTTTCGAAGAAGTAAAACACAGTCTGTCAATGTGCAGCTGATGAAATATCAACAAAAAAAAAAAAAAAAAAAATTTAACTAAAAATTGTATTTATTGTCTCCTTCTCCGCTTCTCCACTGAAACTGGGTTTGTTTTCTTTCTCTCTGTCCCAAAAGATTATTTAATTTCGGCCTTTAATTTACTTTCTCTCTGATTTTCCAGAGAAAAAAATCTGCCTCACATCATAAAAAGACACCAAGAATTAATGTACTAAAGCACCTCTCTTGCATTTTCTATGTCGCTTACTATTAATCAAACCACACTGATCTCAGAAACGATGACAGATTTTCTTCTGTTCCTGTAGCCACAGTTACTTCTCTCTTCCTCTGTAATTTTCACGAGAAAATGCAGAATTCCGCCTTTTCTCTCACTTTCCTTCTCCTCTTTCTTCTACCATCACTCTCAGAATCACAGCTAACATCAACTGAATCAAGAACTCTGTTAGAAATCCAGAAGCATTTACAATATCCACCGATTCTTAGATCATGGAGCAACTGGACCAATTTCTGCTACCTCCCTCCTTCTCCTTCCTTTAAAATCCTCTGTTTCAACGGTCACGTAACCGAATTAACCGTCACCGGGAACAGAACCGTTAAGCTTCCCGGGAATTTCTCCAGCGACTCACTCTTCACTGTTCTTACAAAACTCTCAAACTTAAAGACCTTGTCTCTTGTCTCTCTCGGCATCTCCGGTCCTCTCCCTCCAAAGATCATAAGGTTATCTTCATCTCTCCAATCTCTGAATCTCAGCTCAAATTTCCTCTCCGGTAAAATCCCAAAAGAGATCTCGTCGTTGAAGAGCCTGAGAAGTCTTGTTCTAGCGAACAATATGTTCAACGGAAGCGTTCCTGATCTCAGAGGGTTGTCAAATCTTCAAGAGCTGGATTTAAGCGGTAACAAACTCGGCCCTGAAGTTGTTCCTTCACTCGCAAGCAACTTGATCACTGTTTCATTAAAGAACAACTCTTTTGGCTCCAAGATTCCGGAACAGATCAAGACACTGAACAAGCTTCAAAGCTTGGATCTTTCTTCCAACAAGCTCGTTGGGTCAATCCCAAGTTTCATGCTTTCGCTTCCTTCGCTTCAGAATCTAAGTTTATCACAAAACTTGCTGAGTGGGTCACTTCCGAATCCATCGTTATGCAGCTCCATCAAGCTTAGAGTTTTAGATGTTTCTCGGAATCTTCTGACTGGAAAGCTTCCGTCTTGCTTCTCTTCCAAGAGTTTCCATAACCAGAGAGTGATCTACACATTCAATTGCTTGTCTGTAAAGGGTTCTCCTTCTGCAAAGTATCAGCGTCCGGTTTCCTTCTGTGAAAACGAAGCAAAGCAAGCGGTTGGAGCTGTGAAGTCTGACACTAAGGATGAAGAAAAGAAAGAAGAAGATAAAGGAATCGAACTTGGATTGGTGATTGGCATCATCATCGGTGTGGTCCTTGTTTCACTTGTTTTGGCTGGCTTGGTTTTGGTTAGGATGAGAAATTCAAGATCAAAGGAAGAGCCTTTTGAAGCAAACAATGTTGATAAGGTCTCTGTTTGCAGCAACACCACAAGGTCCACCATATCAAAGACAGTACCAGATTCAAGTAATAAAACGGATATATACTTTTTTGAAATCTTGAATCAAGTTTTCACCAATCTAACTAGCTTAAGTATTTCAAATGCAGAACGAGTCCCACAAACCATGAGATCAGCTGTCATTGGACTATCACCTTACCGAGTATTCACTTTTGAGGAACTGGAAGAAGCAACAAACAACTTTGATGAAGGGAGTCTCTGTGGAGAACAGGTAGCTTTAAATGCAAGCAAAACATGATCATAACTTGATATGAGAGTCTCTGATTGATGGATGTATTTAATTTCAAAACAGCTGTACAAAGGTTGTCTTAGAGAAGGCATAGCAGTGACAGTGAGGTGTGTTAAACTGAAACAGAAGAGTTCAACACAGAACTTGGCTCAACAAATGGAAGTTTTGTCAAAGCTAAGACACATGCATTTAGTCAGTGTTCTCGGACACTGCATTGTTCCTAATCAAGATCATCATCCATACGCCGGGAGTACCATTTTCATAGTCCAAGAATACATTTCTAACGGGTCTTTGAGGGATTATTTAACCGGTAATATTGTAAACAGATTTTTGGTTTCAAGAGATTTTGGTTAATACTAGTTGCTAAAAATGTCTTTTTTGTGTGTGCAGATAGCAGAAAGAAAGAGGTGTTGAAATGGCCTCAAAGAATGTCGATAGCGATTGGAGTCGCTCGAGGGATACAGTTTTTGCACACTGGAGTGGCACCAGGTATCTTTGGGAATAATTTGGAGATAGAGAATGTTCTGCTTGATGATACACTCACTGTAAAACTCAGTGGTTATACTATTCCTTTACCTTCCAAGGTATATAATACAAACAAGAGATAACTAAGATCTAGCTTCGTATTTTTTAATCAGTTTGATGAAAAGTATCATATTTTTATTTTACAGGTTGGAGCAGAGAGCCCTAGTAATGAAGATGGGGAGAAAGAGGATGTATACCAGTTTGGAGTCATACTAGTTCAGATCATCACAGGCAAAGTAATGGCATCTGCATCTTCAGAGTTGGGAAGCTTGAAGCTTCAGCTAGAGAATGGTTTAAGAGACGAACCATCAGTGTTGCGTAGCTTAGCAGATCCGAGTGTGAGAGGAACGTATGCGTATGAGTCACTGAGGACCACAGTAGAGTTCGCCATTAACTGTCTTTGTGAAGATCAGAGGAAACGGCCATCGATAGAGGATGTTGTGTGGAATCTACAGTACACAATTCAGGTGCAGCAAGGATGGTCAAGCAGCGGAAACCTTGGGCTTGGTGGCACATAGATGTAAAGAGGAAAATGTATCCATCATCACTGATGGAAATAGAGAAACAGCTTCATGAAAATTTCTAAACCAACATAATAATACAAATGTAATTCTTGAAGAAAGGAGAGACAAAGCTGCAAAAGCTTGAAGTCTGTTGAATGTTCAGAACAAAAGTACTGAATTTGTAACAACAACTTATGTACCAAAAGTACATTATTTTGGTGGTTGTGAAGGCAATGGATGGGTGATAAGAGGGAAAAGGCCACAAACCCTTGAATATTTGATATCGAAACGTTTTGTGATTTGAGCTCAAAGTTGTATTTGGTTAGAAGTATATAGCAAGAAAAATGGTAGTACATAATACATATATACACAAAAGTGAATAATTCAGTTGGATTGGTACAAAGTTGTTTGCAAGGATGTTGGGGTTTCATAGAACCATCAAAGCATCGAATCACTAAAAGCGTTTTGGAAACACAAAAGACATGAATGAAAAGGGAAGAAGGTTGTTGCTGAATGGTGGGGACATTGAGAGTAGGGGAGAGTTACAAAGCTTACAACAAACTACTACTAGTCAGCAGTCCAGCTTTGCTCAACAACATCGCGAACTCTTCTGTTGTACTCGCGCTTGCTTTCGCTGTACATCCTAGCAGCTTCCGAGTTTGCAGGAGAATTCGGATTAGGGTCGCAGAGCAACGACTGCCAACAGAACGAGCGAAATTAGATTAGAGAAGAAGAAGAGAGTAATATCAAAAGATGTTGGTAGAGCATTTCGATAGTACCTGGATGGAGGTAAGTATAGCAGCAACATCATATATTGGACTCCACTGGTTTTGGAGAATGTCCAAGCAAATACTACCATCAGCATAAACTGCAAAGCAGGTAGAGAAGAAGGAAGGTTAATTTGAGCCAAAAGATAACCAGCAACCAAGTGGAAGAAATGAGAATGCTATATATCTCTATGACTTACTATTTGGGTGAAACATCCGTGACACAAAACGAACTGTTGGTGGTTTATTTGGATAGTCTTCAGAGAACTGCAGTGAGAGTTTGAAAGTACCTAACAGGAGGATCAAGCAAGAGCAATAAGCAAAACTACTATAATGAAACGATTGATACCAAAATCCTTGCCAGATTACAAAAACACAGCCTTACCTCCATCCCATGGCGTGTCATCAGGCCTGCAAATCCACAAAACAAGAAGGTAGGTCTAAGTAAGTACAGAAACTAGCATGTTTGAGAAACTAATGAGAGTATCTATGGTACTTGTTTCGTTTACCCGAATATGACAGCATTCCAGAGCATGATATTGTTGTCTTGAGGAGCACCGCTTATTCCCGCAGGTGGGTCTTGCTGCAACCTCTTGAAATCCCTCATCAACCTCTTCCTTGCTGGAGTCGACATCCTCCTTTACCTATCACAAAAATAACCCAAATATTCATCATTTTCAGGTCTGAAAACTCTGCAAATCTTGGAAATTCTACTAAATATGTTCAAGGACACTCATTTTCAATGGTTTGTGTATTCTAACGAATCTGCAAATGAAGTCACGACCTAGGGGCTATGGCTGCTAAATAGCTTAGAAGCAACATCAAAACTAAGACTTGAAACTAGAAACAGCGTAAAGTCCCATCAATTCACCAGAATAGCTAGAAGAATGACAAGAAATACAGCTCTTTTACTCTTCAACAAAAAAAAAAAACCCAAATACTCATCATTCTGAGGTATGAAAACCTCTGTAAATTTTGGAAATTCAACTAAATATGTTCAATTAAACTCATTTTTCAACGGTTTGGGTATGCTAAATTGCGAACATGTAATAGATTCGAATCTGCAAAGAAAGTCTGCGACCTATGGCAGCTAAATGGCTTAGAATCAACATCAAAACTAAGACTTGAACCCAGAAAGAGCTCAAAGTCACATCAATTCACCAAAATAGCTATAAGAATGACAAGAAGCAGCTCAAATGAAATTGAAATCCACGGATCCAGCAAAGAAACATCGAGAAAACAAAGATCAGATGAAAAAGGTACCGTGGAAACAGATCTCGTTGCTGAGTAAAAGCCGGCGAAAATAAGGAAGATGCAAAGATCGCGGCGAGAAAAAGTCGTCAAGCCAACATCTGTGTCGCGGCGGATGACCGCCGGTGATCGGAGAAGTTCCGAATTTGATTCGAGAATAAGGTCGGCGATTCTCGATTTCACCTTGCGATGAAAGAGAATGAAAACTTCAATGATTTGGAGGAAATTATATATCTAATCTTCTAGAAATTCAGCTTCTCTCTGACATATCTGTAAAGTTAATGGATTTGCTTTGCCCTTTGGACGACCGAGTGGGTTCCCTAAACCCGACTAAACCGTTAGGGCGAACTATACCGCTAACCGGATATAATCATTGCCTTCAACCGGATACAATTGTGTCCTGTGGTTTGTCTTGCTCTTCACAGTCAAACTTCTGCTCAAAGCCTGAGCTTTTTGGATCATACAAGCTCGTACTTGCGATTGAATGAGTTTGACATTTGCTCTTACATTAAAAACAGCTAAAATAAGATTACAAGAGGTCTGGTTCAACTGATGTTTTGAGATAACACACAAAAGATCTTAGCTTTACGCTTCCACATTTGGTCAAAAGGACAATAAAAAACTCTACTTTTAGAGTCTATTCTGCTAGCTACGAACAAAGATCAGTCTTCAAGAACCCTATCAGAAAACGAAAAGAAGATAGGATGATCTTTGGTAGATTTGTGCCTATGGCCCTAAGATTCATGATCTATTCCACTCATAGTCTCCTCCGTTGTTCATACGGTTTGAGTCTTCTGGTTTGATGGAGTTTGCAAATGCATGCCAACCTATAAGGTAAGGCAAGACAAACTTGCGATACAGAAAAAATAAACAAAAACGAGTTTAGTAAAGATGCATATTCACACGTCCACAAGGAATGTAATGTAAGATATGGAGAGATTCTATGAACTTACGTTGAAAGCAGAGACGAGAACAGCAAACTCTGCTCTTGTGATTGGTATGTAAATGCTCTCATCCACATTCAACAGCTTGTTTTGAACACCTTATATAGACAAAGGTTGAAAAACCGTAAGAGACCAAGTTTTCAAAGTTTTTTTTTGTGACAAGAATCAAGAAGAAGATTAATATTTACTTACTTAGGTTGAAGAAGTGACCAGAACCATCTGGGAGAGGCTCAACTTTCAACACTTTCCTCACCTTTCCCTCATCACTACACACATACAACAAAACACACATCAATCATGACCAAGCAAATTAGATTACATCCAATACTATGACGAGTGTAATGAAGTTTACCTTTTTCCCTTGTTAGGATCATGGAAGAATTCACAAGACTCCCTCGGCCCTAAGCTAACCAGAGTTCCAATTTCTGTAACTGACAATGAGAACACCTGCAACAGATTTTGACATCAAGAAAAAAGACTGAATCTTTCACACCAAATCCATTGATAATACAGCCTCATCTGAAATCAAGAAGGTAAAAACAACAAACCTGTTTCTTGCTCCAATCGTATTGACGCACACCAGCTGAAGGAGCAAACTGGAGCAAGAGAAAACCGTCTTTCGACAACTTGAAAGCTCCAGACTGCAAACAACGGAAATCACAAGAAAAAAAAGCTCAAAAACTCATAATTTCATAAAAATTAGAGCTCTTTGGATGAGGATAGAGACTTACGTCTAAAGCCACAAACTCTGGTGCTCTTGGCTCCACTGTTAGCGCAGCTTTACCCTTGTATATCGAGTGACCCACGTAGAATCTAGCAGGCAATCCTTCAGCTAAATCAAATCGAAACAAAGAAAAGAACAACAAGTAAACATTCACACACGAAATTCAAGTATCAAAGCTTCCAATTTCAAAAACTGAGCAAAGCTAAAACCCTAAAGTAACCACTGAGTCAGAGTGAGACGAGTTACCATTTTGTGAGGAATATGACGGCGAAGAAGACGAGTCGCCGAACCTCTGCTTCTCGAAGTAATCCGTCTGTCGGGACTTAACCGAGAGCTTCACCGCCGTCGTGGGTTTAGAAGCGATTCCATGCCGTTTCGTGGGGAAACCGCCGGCGACGAGTACTGAAGAGAAAGAGAGAAAGCGAGGGCTGATAGAGGGATTGGGACTGACCGCCATTGGAGGTGAAGATAAGAGTTGCGACATCGCGCCCTTTCTTCTTTTGTTCGCTCTCACTGTTGTGTCCTCCTCTCTGCGAATTACGACGGAGGAGAAAAAGGTGCTTCCTTTACACACTCTCGGAGAAGGAGACAAAGAAGTGATTATTTTTCGTTTATTGTCTTTTACCGCTTCAGTTCTTAAGAAATTACCAGAGGACCCCAATACAATTACAAATGTAACGATTGCATGCACACGTGTGGATATAGATGCGTTTGAACCAGAATTGCGTTTACAAAATTAATTTGAATTTACCATAAACTATTTTAGGTGATTTTTTTCTAAAGTGACAGAAACTAAAAATCTAAGTTAAAACAAATATACTTTTGCTATACTAATTTTTTTATTTTAATAAATGTAATTTAATTATCATTTTGTATGTTATATACTTATATTCAAAACTAAAATGTCAATTTTATTTTTAGTTAAAAAAATATTTGTCAAGAAAATCACACCTCTATAGGTGTGATTTGGAGAAGTTTTTTACTTTTACTTCAATCTTCTCCTAGAACTGTTTTGTTTCCCTCTCAACCACAACTTTCTCTAATGAACGTTTCAACCTTCAAACAGTTTAAAACAAGTTCAGAATGAAAAATAATCACCCAAGTTAAGAGGCAGTGTAACATTCAAAAGCACATAGAAAATCCATCCACGGAGATATATTTCAAGAGTAAAGTTTACTCATATACTGTATATGTATTGCAAAATCAACAAAGAAACCAATTCTCTCTGCCTGGTCTTTTTCTGTATCTGCTTGCTTGCTTGGCATCAAAACATAACGGAATGGCGAGAAGTTTCAAGCTTCTTGATGACGAAGCTCTCTCTCTTGTTGTATGCATATTTGCAGCTTCTTCAGGATTTGTTGAATAAAGGCAAGGAAAGTGATTAATTCAGATATGGAGTACCTGAAACTGAAATGGATATCCAATTCGAATCAGCCATCTTGGAGGTGAAACTAGCTTTAGTTTTGTGTTCGTATTAAGGTAGCGATTCTCTAAATCTGAGCCTTATGAATTTGATGTTCTTTAGGCAAACGTGATCTCCATGACTCATCAGCTAGCTATGAGTATAGTTGGGGATGAACCATAATGCTGGATCAGTCTGGTGACAGAAGACGCACATCATTGTCTGATACTCAGACAGAACATAAACGAGAGGGAGAGGAGTTACACAATTCTCTGTCAGGGTAAGCTTATCATTCATGTTCATGGTCATCACACAATACTTTGATCAAACTTTGAGTCACACTAGGGACTGAGTCTTCATCTCCATGTCCAAGTGAAATGATCATCTTAGCATGCGAGGAAATAATGGAGAGGCAAGAAAATGAAAGTTTTGGTTTAATTTTATCAAGAGAAGAAGACAGTGTTTATAAGTTAGATAAGCTTATTATCTCTAGAGAATTGCATTGATGCTTAAGGAAAGGCATGCAGTTTCGCACTCCATATGCTATCTGGATGAGTTATGGTTAATGTTATGCAAATACCAACTAACAGCCTATCAGAGGAAAAAAACTTGATTATATAATGATTGCATCTTGTTCTATGTTCCTTACTGCAGCGAGCTGACGAACTGCTTGAGGAAGTGATACTCTCATGGACTCTTAATCTACTAAGAGAATGTGAGACTGAAGCTAAGAATTTGTGCCCGACGCTCATAAAAACTCTAGAGTACGACGTCTTCTCAGGAACTAGAGTAAGCTGGAGAAATCTGTTGGCTCTGTGTTAAAAATCTTTTACCAAACTTCTGTGCATCATTGTTATCTTATACATAGTTCTGAAACGTCACCCCAAACACAATAAATATCTTCATTTTTTCCCTATGCTTCTCATTTATTTTGTGATTCTATATTTGAACTTCGCAGGTACAATTTTCAACTGTGCATGCTTCTTCTCGTTGAAATGGTCAAACGAAGATACGATACAAATAAAGAAATGTCACATTTAAACTCACGTCTTAAATATGTGGTATTAAATTATTAACAAAGATGAAAATATATGACCAACAAAAATGCACGTTAAGGAAGGAAACCTTGTTTAGTCTGAGCAATAAAACGGTCAAACGGAAATAGGATAAAAATAAAGAAAGGTCACATTTAAAGTCATGTGTCAAATGTTTAGTATTAAATTCTAACAAAAATATGATTAAAGATGTGAACACGACCGACTTTTTGCGCTTCCTCGTAATAGTTCGTTGACTACTTGACTCGGTTACTGAAACTAATATCGTTGAAAAGTTTTCTTACAATTAATAATCGTACGTGGATGTACTGGCGTGAGCATGACGTAGCCAGATCTATCCCGAATGACCAAAATTGTCCTTCTCGTTGCCGAACCCAAAAAAAAAGAAGCGAAGGTTTATTTGTCATTCCGAAGGGTATGTTTGTCATTTCACGACAAAAAAGACAGACGAAAACTTTGTACTTGTCTGTTTTGCTTCTGATATTCTCTGTTCTTCACCTTCCTTGTCCATTCCTCTCTCCTTCCTTTTTACATTTTCTTTCTTTTTCATGTTATTATAACTTTTATTCTATTAGCAGACATTGCGCCGCCAAAACTTTCCGTGCTGGCTTCTTCTAGCCTCTGTTCTTGTCCTTATCATCTCAACAAGAGCTTTGTTTGTCAGAGAATTTCAGACTGCTTTTGTTTCTCCAAATTGAGTCTATATTTTTTTTTTGTGTGCCTAAAATGGTTAATTGATTAGATTCATCAGCTAAAGTAGATAGTAGCAGCCACAGACCACATGCTAATTCTGTTAAATAGCTCCTCTCTCAAGCCTTTTAATTTTGGTTATATGTTAGGTTTCTTGGAGATTTGTCCTTATTCTCCAAATGGGTTTCTCGAATGATTTTCTGCTTCAGATTTTGATCTTTGACTTGAAGTAGAAAAAACGTGTTTGGCTTTTTAACTGAGAAAAAGTACAATCGAGGAGAAGAAGAAAGTGACTTCTCTTTTTAACGCTTTGGTTGTGATTCGCTTAAACAATTAGGCTGCTGCTTCCAAGTCTCTGGATATTGACTCTGTCGACAAAGACAATGACCTTGCTGCTGTGGAGTATGTTGAGGACATGTACACGTTCTACAAAGAAGTTGAGGTACTTAATGGGATCACACACTCAAGTCTAAAATGCTAATAAAGGACGTATCTTTGTGAATGTTTATTGAAGTTTTGTTGATTCTTTTTCTCTGTTGCAGAATGAGAGCAAGCCTGTAATGTATATGCCAACACAGACTGAGATTAACGAGAAGATGAGATCAATTCTTGTCGACTGGCTTGTTGAGGTTCACATCAAGTTTGATCTGTCCCCTGAGACTCTCTACCTAACAATCAACCTGATTGATCGTTTCCTGTCTCTGAAAACTGTACCAAGAAGAGAGCTCCAGCTTCTAGGTGTTAGCGCTTTGCTCATAGCTTCGAAATACGAAGAGATATGGCCTCCTCAGGTATGGTAACACACACATTTACTAATGTTAGAACAATTTTAAGAATCAGGACTGATTTTGCTGATCATGTTGTGTTGTGAAACAGGTCAACGATTTGGTGTATGTGACGGATAACTCCTACAGCAACAAGCAGATACTAGTGATGGAGAAAACCATTTTGGGAAGTCTTGAATGGTACTTGACAGTTCCAACGCAGTACGTGTTCCTTGTGAGATTCACTAAAGCTGCGATTTCTGATCCGGAAGTGGAGAACATGGTTCACTACCTAGCTGAATTGGGTTTGATGAACTACGAGACTTTGAAGTTTCCTCCTTCTCTGCTCGCTGCTTCAGCTGTCTACGCAGCAAGGTGCTTCCTAAACAAGAGACCTGCTTGGAATGATACTCTGAAATTCCACACTGGCTACGCTGCATTTGAGATCCTGTAAGTTTCTTTTTTTCTTTGACTTCTCTGTTATCATCATTAATGTTTATGTGCTGATTGATTTCTCTGTGTGTGTGTAACTTCAGGCAATGCGCAAAGCGTTTAGCTTTGATTCACTCGAGAGTTGGGGAGGGAAAGCTACGAGCTGTGTTCAAGAAGTATTCGAAGTAAGAAAGATGTGCCGTTGCTTTGGTTACACCAGCCGAGTCGCTTGTGACTCCTAGGTCTTGAAAGAAAGTCGACATTTTTAGATCTCACTGATCTTATTATGTGTAGAGGTTCTGTTCTAACTTTCTGGATCGCTTTTTTTTTTTCTTCCCCTGGTAAAATGAAATTGCTCTGTTATTACTTGTATATTGATGTTCTTAGCAAACTAATGAGACAATTCTCCTTACAATGCTTAAGCCTGAAGGTTTCCAAGGTAAAGAGTGGTTGGTAAGCCCGGTTTCTCTCCCCTTTTTCGCCTTGATTATTTTGTGTTTTTGCTGACATTTGAAAAGAAAGCAAAAGCTCTCTCGAAACCTTCCATCATTGTAAAATGTCAATTGTTCAACCAGAAATAAATTGGAAACCAGACTCATTACAAATCAAATCTTCTGTAAAGAAAACAACTCGAACAACAAAAGAATATTGTTTCTAGAAAACAAAAACCAAAATCCGCCTCTTCTAATCTTCTAATCTGCCTCTTCTAATCTTCTAAACAAAAACCAAAATATCACTTGTCACTCTTGGTTCTCAGACGACTGGGAGGAGTTTTCTTAACGTGGCTCTCTCTTGGTCTCTTTAGACTCTTCAGAAACAAACAAGGAGATCTGATTCCATCTTTCTCCGAGGGTGAGAACCTTCTCCTTAGCCTTTGCAGATGTAGTCTTGAAACCTTGCTTGATCGGCTTAGAAGCTTCCTTTGCAGATGCAGGAGAGATCCGCACATGATCTCTCTTCTTCTGAAGATTTGCAGCTCTCTTTCTCTGACACGTTAGGGTTTCTTCTTGATTGAGATTGAGAGCCATCTCCACTTGAACACTCTCCTCTCTGGAAAGCACCACGTGGATCTGATTCCATCTTTCTCCGAGGGGGCAAATGCAAGGGAAAAACCTGCAAACAATTACCAGCACATGGTTTTCAACATTATACCGTCTGGAAACAAAACAGATGCCTTCTATATGTTGCAGTTTCACAAACCAACATAGAACAGTTTATGTGTTACATATAAGACACATGCTACATTAAACAGCTCAATCTCCAGGGCAGAGCATTAAGTACCTTATTGTTAGGAATTTTCATAGAAAACTGATCAGATCCTGGCTCTCCACCCATCCTGCGTGAGCTTCTTCCACCTGAACCAACAGTACCACGTGCCTCATCCTGAACCAAAATCATTAGACCATCAGTAATCACTCTTATACACAACACTTAGTCCTTAACGATCACCAAAGAGAAAAACCTGCAAACAATTACTAGCACATATATGGTTTTCAACATTTCACCGTCTGGAAACAAAACAGATGCCTTCTATTTGTTGTAGTTTCACAAACCAATATAGAGCAGTTTATGTGTTACATATAAGACACATGCTACATTAAAGAGCATTAAGTACCTTATTGTTAGGAGATCCTGGCTCTCCACCCATCCTGCGTGAGCTTCTTCCACCTGTACCAACAGTACCACATGCCTCATCCTGAACCAAAATCATTAGACCATCAGTAATCACTCTTATACACAACACTTAGTCCTTAACGATCACCAAAGAGAAAAACCTGCAAACAATTACTAGCACATATATGGTTTTCAACATTTCACCGTCTGGAAACAAAACATATGCCTTCTATTTGTTGTAGTTTCACAAACCAACATAGAGCAGTTTATGTGTTACATATAAGACACATGCTACATTAAAGAGCATTAAATACCTTATTGTTAGGAGATCCTGGCTCTCCACCCATCCTGCGTGAGCTTCTTCCACCTGTACCAACAGTACCACGTGCCTCATCCTGAACCAAAATCATTAGACCATCAGTAATCACTCTAATACACAACACTTAGTCCTTAACGATCACCAAAAGAAAAACCTGCAAACAATTACTAGCACATATATGGTTTTCAACATTTCACCGTCTGGAAACAAAACAGATGCCTTCTATTTGTTGTAGTTTCACAAACCAACATAGAGCAGTTTATGTGTTACATATAAGACACAAGCTACATTAAAGAGCATTAAGTACCTTATTGTTAGGAGATCCTGGCTCTCCACCCATCCTGCGTGAGCTTCTTCCACCTGTACCAACAGTACCACGTGCCTCATCCTGAACCAAAATCATTAGACCATCAGTAATCACTCTAATACACAACACTTAGTCCTTAACGATCACCAAAGAGAAAAACCTGCAAACAATTACTAGCACATATATGGTTTTCAACATTTCACCGTCTGGAAACAAAACAGATGCCTTCTATTTGTTGTAGTTTCACAAACCAACATAGAGCAGTTTATGTGTTACATATAAGACACATGCTACATTAAAGAGCATTAAGTACCTTATTGTTAGGAGATCCTGGCTCTCCACCCATCCTGCGTGAGCTTCTTCCACCTGTACCAACAGTACCACGTGCCTCATCCTGAACCAAAATCATTAGACCATCAGTAATCACTCTTATACACAACACTTAGTCCTTATCGATCACCAAAGAGAAAAACCTGCAAACAATTACTAGCACATATATGGTTTTCAACATTTCACCGTCTGGAAACAAAACAGATGCCTTCTATTTGTTGTAGTTTCACAAACCAACATAGAGCAGTTTATGTGTTACATATAAGACACATGCTACATTAAAGAGCATTAAGTACCTTATTGTTAGGAGATCCTGGCTCTCCACCCATCCTGCGTGAGCTTCTTCCACCTGTACCAACAGTACCACGTGCCTCATCCTGAACCAAAATCATTAGACCATCAATAATCACTCTTATACACAACACTTAGTCCTTAACGATCACCAAAGAGAAAAACCTGCAAACAATTACTAGCACATATATGGTTTTCAACATTTCACCGTCTGGAAACAAAACAGATGCCTTCTATTTGTTGTAGTTTCACAAACCAACATATAGCAGTTTATGTGTTACATATAAGACACAGGCTACATTAAAGAGCATTAAGTACCTTATTGTTAGGAGATCCTGGCTCTCCACCCATCCTGCGTGAGCTTCTTCCACCTGTACCAACAGTACCACGTGCCTCATCCTGAACCAAAATCATTAGACCATCAGTAATCACTCTTATACACAACACTTAGTCCTTAACGATCACCAAAGAGAAAAACCTGCAAACAATTACTAGCACATATATGGTTTTCAACATTTCACCGTCTGGAAACAAAACAGATGCCTTCTATTTGTTGTAGTTTCACAAACAACCATAGAGCAGTTTATGTGTTACATATAAGACACAAGCTACATTAAAGAGCATTAAGTACCTTATTGTTAGGAGATCCTGGCTCTCCACCCATCCTGCGTGAGCTTCTTCCACCTGTACCAACAGTACCACGTGCCTCATCCTGAACCAAAATCATTAGACCATCAGTAATCACTCTTATACACAACACTTAGTCCTTAACGATCACCAAAGAGAAAAACCTGCAAACAATTACTAGCACATATATGGTTTTCAACATTTCACCGTCTGGAAACAAAACAGATGCCTTCTATTTGTTGTAGTTTCACAAACCGACATAGAGCAGTTTATGTGTTACATATAAGACACAAGCTACATTAAAGAGCATTAAGTACCTTATTGTTAGGAGATCCTGGCTCTCCACCCATCCTGCATGAGCTTCTTCCACCTGTACCAACAGTACCACGTGCCTCATCCTGAACCAAAATCATTAGACCATCAGTAATCACTCTTATACACAACACTTAGTCCTTAACGATCACCAAAGAGAAAAACCTGCAAACAATTACTAGAACATATATGGTTTTCAACATTTCACCGTCTGGAAACAAAACAGATGCCTTCTATTTGTTGTAGTTTCACAAACCAACATAGAGCAGTTTATGTGTTACATATAAGACACAAGCTACATTAAAGAGCATTAAGTACCTTATTGTTAGGAGATCCTGGCTCTCCACCCATCCTGCGTGAGCTTCTTCCACCTGTACCAACAGTACCACGTGCCTCATCCTGAACCAAAATCATTAGACCATCAGTAATCACTCTAATACACAACACTTAGTCCTTAACGATCACCAAAGAGAAAAACCTGCAAACAATTACTAGCACATATATGGTTTTCAACATTTCACCGTCTGGAAACAAAACAGATGCCTTCTATTTGTTGTAGTTTCACAAACCGACATAGAGCAGTTTATGTGTTACATATAAGACACAGGCTACATTAAAGAGCATTAAGTACCTTATTGTTAGGAGATCCTGGCTCTCCACCCATCCTGCGTGAGCTTCTTCCACCTGTACCAACAGTACCACGTGCCTCATCCTGAACCAAAATCATTAGACCATCAGTAATTACTCTTATATACAACACTTATTATCAGTAATCACTCAATCTCCAGAGCATTAAGTACCTTATCGTTAGGAATTTTCATAGAAAATTGATCAGATCCTGGCTCTCCACCCATTCTGCGTGAGCTTCTTCCACCTGAACCAACAGTACCACGTGCCTCAGCCTGAACCAAAATCATAAGATCATCAGTAATCATCTCTTATCTACTCTTATACACAACACTTAGTCATTAACGATCAACAAAGACTAGTGTTACCTCTTGAAGGACATCACTGATCAGCTGCTCGGCCTTTGCAATCTGGGCTGGTGTGCCCGTTAGATCAACAGTCCTCGTGTGAGCACCAGGCTCTGCGTCCATATCTCGAGTGACCTGAATCTTAGCTGCTGACTCTTGTTGAAGATTCTTAATCGTTTCTCCACCTTTACCAATGATAACTCCGACTCTCATGTTCGGAATATCAATCTTCTTGCTAGTAGTCCCAGAGAAGCTACCATACGAAACAGATGGAGCCGTTTTTGTCATCTGCTTACGCTCTAAATCACAAATCAACACGCAATAGCATCAGCTTCAATCCAATTTAACAAACACGGGAAACAAAGAGCGAAAAAAATCATTTTTTTTTTCAAACAGAAAAACCCAATTCCAGGAAACAGAGGAAACGGAAACAGAGGAAACGGATAGAGAACCAGAAACTAACCATCTTTCGCAGTCGCTATCTTGTGCCTTTCAGCGATCTCAGGAACCACACCCTTTGGCCTTGCATGTGTTTTAAACACATGTAATTGTTTACAAATCTCAAGAAGCAAAATCCTTCGCAACCCAAAAAAGAAAAGAAAGAACATCTTTTTACCAAATCCTTCGCAATTGCACGGCTTGTTTCAGCGTGTAGAGGTTTCAGAGCGACTTGAAGCAGAGGAAGGATATGAAGAAGATTGTAATTTCTTGATTGAGCCACGAATTCTTCCATCTCAATGGTTCCATTCACCAGATCAGCCACGCAATTCCAGTAACCGGCCGCTCTCTCTACGTTGTGGTGAAGCGAAATCAAAACTTGGCTCCCGAATTTCGCGCTGATGCTTTCCCGTATATTGGCAGGAATCATGGATCCTGAGTCGACTCTGCCTCGATTCATTCTTTCTCCCCGTGAATCAAAAAAAAGTATACGAAGAAGAGATGTTCTGAATCGAGAATCGAGAGAATCTGAGAGGAAAGTAATACGAAGAAACTCGGAGAGAGAGAGAGAGAGAGAGATAAAAATCTGAATTCGATTCGATTAGGGCTTTTTTTTGTTGTTTAAGGACTTTACTGATTAATATATACTTATATAGAGATTCAACATCTTAGTATTTTTTCTTCTACTTTTTTTTTATAGCAAAACACATCATTTTCATACTCTTTCTTTTATAAACTTGTTTCATTTGATTTAGACACACAATTTTTATCTTTAGTTTTCATATTAGCCTTGAATAAACTCTTGTTAGATAAATTTTTAAAAAGTTTCTATATAATCAAAATCAAAAAGGAATCATGTATTATTTCCAAAAGTAATTTAATTTTTAATTATCTTTTTTAGTTTAAATCAATAATAATTATTAATATGTAATAGTAGAAATTTAAAAGAATTAAAAAAAATAAAAAATAGTGGGGTAAAATGTTGAGTTTTATTAAACAAAACTATTATGAATGATAAAAGTTGAATAAATATTAAATAGTTTGGTGGAAGAAGAGAAGATAATGTGAAGTGTTAAAAGGTAAAAAAATGGTGTTGAATAACAAAATAATTGTAGTTAATCTTATATCCTAGAATATATTAACAGATCATGCTTTTTTGTGACGTGTTGACTCAACAATTTCTTTGTATAATTTTTCTTTTTGATTAATTTAATTACTAGCTAATTCTATAAACTCGTTTAAATGAAGGGTGAATTGGTTTAATATTACTAAATTTTTTCATAATTTGAAAACTAACCCAGGTTTATAAAATTTTGAAAACTAACTTTTTTAATAAGTGAAAAGACAATAAAACCATGATCATTTTCCTATTAATAATAAGGAAAAAAAATCTTATTTAATTTAGATATATATTGAATTTAGATATATATAAAAGATCTTTTCGAAAATTTGTTTAGATATTTTTTAATAAATATTTTAAAGTACACATGTTATTTTGAAAATATATTCATATTTACCACAAATATGAATCAAACTCTATAAATATATACACATAAATATCAAATTCCATTTTGCGTCTTGGGTGTTTCTCAGCGAGGGAATTGGAAATCTCAGAGGCCAGATCTCTGAGACCATATTGTTCCAGGCTCTTGAGAAACTCATCAGAATTTATCTTCTGCTTGATAAATTCACCGAGAATCTCTTTGAAGCTTCTGGCATTTTCACCCAAAGCTTCTTGGATCTTCTGCATCAAACTTCTCTTGGGTATGGGCTGTGGAAACACCTCCACAGCCACTTCTGGGAGTTGTATCCCATGAACTTGGGCATACCGATGAATGCATTCGTCAGAACTGTGTCTTCCATCAATTTGTGCAGAGATCATTCCCATCATAGTGGGAAAAGCCCATCCCGAATTTGTGACGAAATCGAAGTCTTGTTGACTCCAATTCATGATTTTTTCTGAAGAAATTTGACAGAGATGAAGAATTTGATGAGAGAGCAGAAAGATTTTCGCGAGAAAGCGGAAGAAATTAAATTCAAAAGAGAGAGATGTTGGAGAGAGATGCGAGAAGAGAGAGATGGATTTAGGGATTTGGGTTTCAGTTTAGGGATTAGCTTTATTATATTTTAATTAATGCTATGCTTATTTTGGAGAAGCGTCTTTTCGAAAACTAGCCGTTTTTTGAGCCGTTGAGCCGTTTAACAATTTTTTAATTTCAACTGTAAAAATAGTTTTGAAAGACACGCAACTTTAACACTCGGCTCCAACTTCTTCCCTCATGTAAGCTACAAACAATTAGTACACGATTAGTTTTTTTTTGTTCTAAGAAATCAGAAAATTAGGAAAAGAACAATATATTGAATGATAAAATTATCACAGTAAACAATATATATACTGAAACAGATTACGGTTTTCTAAGGTTATTTTATACTACGTCTTTGCCCTTTTTTATATACTAAATATAAATAATAAGATCCATATAAATAAAAAATAATTAAGTGATTTCATTAAGAATGTCAAGTCAACAATTTATTTATGCCAAGATATGTACAAGAAAAAATTAATTAAACAATTTATTTATGTCATTATCTTGTGAGAATTAATGAAAGAGCTCTATTCTCCAAAATCACTTTACAAATAATAGTATAGATCATTACAAACATGGGTATATTTTAGATATCATGAATCTATTTAAAAAAATAGCTAGATAATAAACATATGTAAAAATGATGTTAGTCTAGAAACTTCGATCAAAACTAAAAATGTAAGTTTCTACTTGTAATGATTAAAACATGATCTATAAAGTTTGTTTTGTTATTTGATTGCAAACTCTTTGATAAACATCATCTCCAAGATCTCATTTATTTTGTGTGATCTAAAAATATTATTAGTTACTGATATTTCAAAATATTACGGGATTTATGTTATTTTACGAAGGTTGACTAAAATATTAAGAAGAAACTAGTTATAACATATGTTTTTTTTATATTTACACAGGAAATTTTAGTATTTTACTAACAGTTTTAAGATGATTTACCAAATTTCACAACCCCCAAAAAAGAAATAGTTATGAAAGTCTTCTCCAAAAAGCAAAAAGTAACCTTTTAGAGTTTTTTTCTTTCTTTTGCATGCAAATGTATAGAGAATATTTAATAATGGTTGTAAAAAGGAAGGACAAACATGAAATAATGAAATTTCTACTAATTGATTTAATTAATAACTAGGTGATTTCCCACACCTTGTGTGGGTTCAGTTCTTTATAATGTTTGATTTATTTAAAATTTAAAAAGCCAATTTTATAATCTGGTTTTGTTTGAAATCAAAATTATAGTTGTAAAGGAAACCTATTTTATGAGCATAATATTATTTATCTCTTACTTTTTGATATTTTACTTTTATGTGATATGGGTACATTTATAAAATATTGGTAAGGCTTCCAAACTTAAAGAAACTTCTTCATTCAAATCCGCCACCCATAAAACTTTATCATATATTCATCTCTCTCTTTCCTTACATCGTCTAACTTTGATTCAAATCAGGTTGTATTCAACCACCATCTTCCAATTTCTTAATTAGTTTCTATTGTTTTCAGTCACTAACTTCTCCGTTTCAAGTCTTAAATTCCCAAATATTTGTGATGATTTCTTTAACTTCTTCGACGTTTCTTGAAACTCTGAATCTATAATTTTCTTTACAGTTCAGAAATGTCAACACTTGAAACTTCCTTCTGTTTCTTTATCGAGTCCATGTGATTCCTAAATTACTTGTAGAAGAAGCAACGACTCCAATGCCAAGCCCAAAAATTACTCCCAAACAGCATCAAATTATTTGTAACATAAACATAAAGCGTATATTTTGTGGTTTAGAAACGACACCATAGATAGAGTACAAGCATCCATGGTCGCTCCGAGAGAAATAGCAAGCGTTATCATAGTATTGGTTGTTTTGTCCGTGGCTATGAAGGTGATGAGTCATGAGTGTATATGTTGATTATTTCGTGAACATGCTTAAGCTCATTGACATGGCAAGAAATTGTAATCAAACTCTTCTTCAGCTTCTTTTAAGAGTCGTAAGAGCAGAAGATGGCTCAAGAACATGATAATGGTGGTTATTGTGGTTATGGTTATGAATTTATGATGATAGAATGTGTGGAGATGGAGAGCATGAAAACGAAACTTGACCACCATCTGCTTCTTTTACTCTTAAAATATTATTTGTACTTGGAATTGTTTCAACAGCTTGCATATGTTAATCATGGAGAGACCATGTCTGCGTGAGGCTCTCCCAAAAGAGAAACAATCGATGAAAATAGTGAAAAGAATAAACAGTCATGATAAATATATTAATAGACCCAAACCAAGAATAAACTTGACTATAAGAGAAGAAAGAAATTATCAAAATTTGACCTTAAGTAAGACATCCCCATAAAAAAGTTGTAGCTTCTCTATGGTCTCAGGTTAGAGACATGACAAAGTTCTACTAAATACTGAATGCTTCATTGTTTTCAATTGCTTCAGAATATGAGTCCATAACCGATCGTTTTCCTTCAAGAGAACAAAACGAAATCAGATCGAATAGAAAAAATTCTCAACATAAACTATTAATGAATTTAGAGTTCTAGCTATTCATCAATCCTAATACTTAGGATCATATAATTCAACTGATGACGCTTGCAAAAATATTAGAAACATATAGTACATATCAAATCAAAATTAATGCTTCCACGATTAGACGATATGGAGAAGAAGAAAAAACAACAACTTAGTTAATATGACTTTGCCTATGGTTCAGATCAGATTTACATTCTAGAAAGTTTAGAAAGACACGCAACTTTAACACTCGGCTGCAACTTCTTCCCTCATGTAAGCTACAAACAATTAGCACACGATTAGGTTTTTTTTTGGTTCTAAGAAATCAGAAAATTAGGAAAAGAACAATATATTGAATGATAAAATTATAAACAATATATATACTGAAAGAGATTAGGGTTTTCTAAGGTTATTTTATACGTTTTTTTTGCCCTTTTTTATATACTAAATATAAATAATAAGATCCATATAAATAAAAAATAATTAAGTGATTTCATTAAGAATATCAAAGTCAACAGTTTATTTATGCCAAGATATATACAAGAAAAAATTAATTAAACAATTTATTTATGTCATTATCTTGTGAGAGTTAATAAGAGAGCTCTATTCTCCAAAATCACTTTGCAAATAATAGCATAGATCATTACAAACATGGGTATGTTTTAAATATCATAAATCTATTTAAAAAAAAAACTAGATAATAAACATATGTAAAAATGATATTCCCTCCGTTTCAGAATATATGATGTTTTAGCTTTTTATCTTGTTCCACAATATATGATGTTTTAGAATGTTTAAGGTACTTTTTGCCAATTAATGTTAAGAAACTACAAACTTCAAGAACCAATAATTAAAAGTAACTGAATTCTTGAATTTCTATTGGTTAATATATTATTAAAAAGTGGTTTAGGTAAGAGAGAGATGCATTAATTGGTAATGAGTAAATATTTTTTAATTTATGTAAAAACTCTAAAACATCATACATTCTGAAACACAGGGAGCAAGTTTCTACTAAAAATGATAGTATAGAAACTTCGATCAAAACTAAAAATGTAAGTTTCTACTTGTAATGATTAAAACATGATCTATAAAGTCTGTTTTGTTATTTGTTTGTTTTTCTTTTTTTTCAGAAAGAAACTGTTGAATCTCCAGCCAATCTAACATTGAGATGATGAATCATTTGTTGATCAGTGTTAGATCCAATAACAAGCTTGTGGTGTCCAGTGATTAGTATCCTTTTACCGTCAGTATCCACAATGATAAGCTTCACGAGAAGGCTGAAACAGAAAGCTAACCGTCTGGTTTGGTTAAAGACGAAGGAGTTGATATTTGCAAAATGTTGAATGTGAAATACGGCTAAAGTTTTGGACTGATATGTAATTTTCCAGAACAATGATAAGATAGATAGATAATAAAAAATGACCCCACTAGATATTACCAGACCGCGTAAAGAAGCGTCTGTAGCTGACGCGTTTGATTGAGACACATTTCTCATCAACTCTCTCACTCACGTTATCATTTTTTGTTGCGTCAACGGTTCTTGGTGATGAATTTTCATAACTAAACAATGGTATTAACTATTAACTATGAACATATACTACTTGATTTGACCAAAAAAAACATATACTACTTGTAGTATTAATGTATTATGATATAAAACCACTAGTTTAAGATTGAATCAGCTAATGAATTAAGATATCAAGACTTGTTTACTTGAGTTAAACTCTAGATTCACTTGAAAAGTTGAAAGCACCTTTTCGAGTTTGTAAACTCTAGATTCACTGAAAGTACGTATGTATGCATAGTCTGTTCGGTGGGTCCCACTTTTTTTTTGGGTTGTCGGGTTTCAGTGTTTTCTTTTCTTTTGTTTTTTCTTTTCTTTTTAACTGAGTTTCCGCTTTTAGTTAAAATTTAAACTGTCGTCAGTAAAAAAAATAAGTCAGAAATATATCACATCATCATGACCGTAGGTTTAAAACTTTAAATCATATATGGGGTTCTGAGCCCAAAGGAAATTAAAAGCCCAGAAAAAAAAAAGAACAAAAGGAAAAGAAGAAGATAGGCTTCGTGGAGGTTTCTGAGTTTTAGACAGGAGTAGATCTGTGTTGTTGCTTGAAGAGAGAGGAGGGGATTTTCAATTTTTTTAATTTCTTTTCCTTGATCTGTTGAAAAGACAATAAAAATCCGAAGAACGTTCGGATTGAAATTTTAGATTTAGGAAACGGAAAGTGTGGAGGTTTTCTGAGTTTAGTTAGGAGAAGATATGTGTCGTGTGATGTGAGAATATCCTTTTCCTTGATTTGGTGAAAAAATTCAATAAGAATTTTTGGAATTAAGGAAATGGAAGTATTGATGAGATCTCCTAATTCCTGAGGGTTTTCCTATTTATTTGTGAGATTATCTCTATATATATATAAGATAAGCCTCTGTATCTTATCAATGGCTACCGAGACAAGACAAGGATGTCTAATAAAAAACGTTGCTTGTTGATGGCATCGAGTATGGAATCGCCGCTGCCCCACGATGTGGTGGAGCTCATCATGGAGAGACTTCCGGCGAAATCTCTGATGAGGTTCATGGCTGTATCAAATCAATGGAAATCAACAATCGAATCACCCTTCTTCCAAGAGAGACAGTTGAAGCATCGTCAGCAATCAGGAGATCCAGATGTTCTCATGGTGTCAATACATATTGGCACGGTCATGGAAACTGCAAGGACACTTGTGTTGGGTTCGTCCTCATCGGTCAAGATCCCTACTCCTTGGGACAAGTCACACTTGGTTTGTCAGAGTAGCTGTGACGGTCTCGTTTGCCTCTACAATACACACGTCGAGTCCGAACCCGGGTTTGTGTTCAATCCCACCACTAGATGGCATCGGAGTCTTCCTCTCTGCGAGTTACAACAACTCATTATCAGCTTAGGAAACAGTTACTACAGGCTTAGACACGGAATGTGTCACTTTGGATTCGGTAAAGACAAATTTACGGGCACATACAAGCCCGTTTGCCTCTACAACTCTTCAGAAATAGGCCGAGAAGACGCTACTACATGCGAAGTTTTCGACTTTAGCACCGACTCTTGGAGGTATGTCACTCCCTCTGCTCCTTATCGGATTATAACCTTACCCGATCCCGCCTATGTAGATGGGTCGCTTTACTGGTTCACAGAGTGTGAAGAAACTAAAGTTGTATCTTTCGATCTTCACACGGAAACTTTTCAAGTCGTCGCTAAAGCTCCCTTTGCCGATGCACCGGTTCAGGAGATAGTCATGTGCGACCTCAACAACCGTTTGTGTGTATCCCTAAAGAAGGGCTCCAACCAAGTGATATGGTCGTTCAATTCAGGCAACAAGACATGGGACACAATGTGTTCCATAGATCTCGGTTTTGTTTCTTCCTTGTTTGTTATACCACCGATAGTATGCGCTCTCCGGCCCCTGTCACTTTTGGATGGGGAGAAGAAGCACTGTGTGTCACATGAAGCACTGATGACATATGATCTTGAAACCAAATCATATGACTCTGCTTTCTCTGCTGATTCCATCGGGAATCCTCTCTGTTATTTCCCCAGTTTATTCTCTGTTTCATAAATTTGGTGCTTGTCAATGTATAATGAATGTATTATTTGCTTCAAGCTGTTTGTGACATTACGAAATAAGGTTAGGGTCCAGAGTCTTGCTTGTTATGCTTTCCTTTTGTTTCTTCTTTGCTTCTCTCATTTGAATAATTACCATGAATTAACAAGAGACTGGGGTTTGTCTTTTCGGACCAGAGCTTAAAGACAATATTTTTTTAAGAAGAGAGGCAATCATGATGAATCCATAAGCTATAAAGAAAACAACTCGAACAACAAAAGAATATTGTTCTATAGACAGCATCAGTACACCCAAGAATGAAGCTCCTGTTGCTAAAGACAAGATGTCTGAAGCTTAGTATTCTGGAACCAAAATCCGATCTTGTATGTCTGAAAATGTCTGCACATCTTTGCCCCATAACCTATTTTTCCAAAGAAACAGACGAATAAAAAACAGTAAGTGTCACATGAAGGATTTGATCACTGAGAATTTCACAAAATCCGAAAAGAAATAAAAGAACAAAGAGTTTGTGGCGTACCAACAAGCAATACCGATGGCGTTTGCTCCGCCTTTATCTGCCTTTTCATCATCTCCGACATGCACTGCTCTGTTTGCTTCTACGCTGATTTGCTCTGCGCATGAAACATAACATACAATATAAGTTGTAAGCTTTAAAGCTGAAGGCCGAAGCCTTTGTAAGGGAAACAACAGTTTAGATTATGATTCAGAACCTAAAGCACATTTGAAGATTCGATCATCAGGCTTCTCGTATCCGACTTCTGAAGACACAATCACAGCGTCGAACCTGCAAAAATAAAACGGCAAACCATCATAAACATTTACAGTGGCATTCAGATCTCAGTTTTCATAACAGAAAGATGGGAAAGCTTACATATCTATGACGTTAAGATCCTTCAATAGCTTTTTGAGCCTGGTATCGAAATTAGACACAACAGCCAGCTTAACTTGCAATCATATTAAACCCCAGTTTCAGAATTCAGCAATAACGAATACAAAACAAAGTCATATCTACGTGAACTAAGAGAGAGAGTTCTTCAACCTCCAGCATCTTTTAGTAGTGACATTGTCTCATAAGCTCCTTCTGGGAGATGCCACGCCTCACCATTCGCGTAGTACTAAGGAAAAGAACATAAGCATCAATGTGAGCACATGAAGCATACTAAAAAGACCAAAACTCAGCTTCTACATGTACATTACTTGGTAGACTTCTTCAAAGTAGTCATTATCAGAACAACCAGTAGCTTCCGACACAACCAGCTTCCAAAACTGTCTTCCATCTCCCTGAAGATACAATGCAACATGTTTCAATAATACATAACTTTGCAGGAAAGAATGAGAGATCGAGTAACAAAAACAAAAAACCAACCTGGTAACGCAACTTCTCAGGCCAAGGAGAAGCAAAAGCTCTCTTGAAACCTTGCTTGATCTCAGCGGGACTTGTCTTGAGACCTGAAATAGAAAGAGAAAAAACCACAACAACTTGAGATCATCCGAAACAGCAAGAAGAAACGTAGATCGAATTGTGTTTTATATCAAAGGCAAGTGTAAGAAAGTGACCGTATTTTTGGCCCAAGGAAGCGTAAGTTTCATGGACAGGTTTTGACAGTTGCAAAAGAGTTCCTCCAGCATCAAGCAACAATCCATCATAAGCTCTCTTAATCGGCTTGCCTTCACAGTTCACAGAGACCAAATATTAATGGAAGAGCAAAAAAAAATCAGTTTTTCATCAAATTCACATTTGACTTTCGTTCATAAGAATCCTAATTGATAGAAAACCCAATTTCAGGTTTTTTTTCGCTAGGAAACAGAGGAAGAATCAGAAACAAACCGGTGCTGAAAGAGACAGAAGAAGAGCGGAGTGAACCGGAGAATCTGCCGATTGGTCTCAATGCTTCAATGAGATAGCTTCCTCGTGTACATCTCAAACAAGCTTCCATCTTTGTAAATTGTTCACCCCGAAATGTGAAGATTTCTTGAATTACAAATTCCAAACGTGTAGATGGTTTGATTTCCAGTATTGGTACTTTGTAAATTCCAGATAGCTGTGAGGTTTATTTTGCAATTTAACATTAATAGGTAAAACTGCAAAATAACCCTCAAGCTATCTGGAATCTACAAAATGATCTTATATTAATGTTAAATTGCAAAATAACCCTCACAGCTATCTGGAATTTACAAAGTAACATTTTATTATAGAAATTGGGAACCCAAACGCTCCATACCAAACGCTCCATAATATGTGTCGTTTCAATTGAATCAAAACGACCAATTTTAAGGTCATATCGTCAAAGACTTGTTGGGCATGTTATTAAACCAAAGATCATGTGATTAAATCAAACAGGGTGATTAAACTTTTGTGGCATGTCATTAAACTTCGAAGTTGTAAAGTATTACATGGTGCACTGTTGAAGTAATGAGAGCTCATGAGCAAAAGTATAGTATTGAGAGCCTATGAAAATAGAAAAATCGTGTGAATATCTAGAAAAAATCGAATGGCAACATCAAAGTCAAAATCACACCCTAGACAAAAAAAAATAAAAATAAAGATTTCTGGAAAACAAAAACCAAAATATCACTAGACAAAACAATAAAGATTTCCGGAAAACAAAAACTAAAATATCATGCTAAATCTAATCTTTCGTCTAGTTTTCAAGTGGTTAGATATCTCTGTTTCTCTCTTCCGCTAAATTTAATCTTCTGTCTTCAAATTCCATTATCATTCTTTAAAATGTCCATTCACTTTTTTATCGCATGCAAATTTGCAAGAATCTCCACTTGAACATTCTCCTTACTGAAAATCCTTTTTTGGTCGACCATGATTCCTAAATTTCACTATTTTTATTGCGGGCAAATTTGCAAGAATTTACACAAAGTTCACATTTTATAGAATACTCAATTTCATGTTTTGCTTGAATCAAATGCATCTTACATAACCCAATTCTCTCTTTTCCTTATTTTAATCAGGAAACAGAGGAAACCAGAAACTAACCAGAAAAAATCGATTCTCGATTAGATTTCACTTGTAGAAAGGTCAGAGCCATCTTTCATCTTTCTGCAAGGTTGAGAACCCGAAAACTCTTCCATAGAGTTTTTTCTTTTGTGGACAAATTTGCAAGAATCTACACATAAACCAAAAAATAATCAGTTTTTCCAATCAAATTCACATTTGGCAGAATACCCAATTTCAGGTTTTGCTTGAATCAAATGCATTTCACTGAATCCAATTCTCTCTTTTCACCATTTTAATCAGAAAACATAGTAAAACCAGAAATTAATGTGATTATACAATTCTCACGGCCTGCAATCTCTCTCCTCTTCCTTTGCAATTATACAATTAAGTTCTAATGTGATTTTTTTGGTTATATTGTTTCAGTTTCTGATTTTGAACTATACACGAAAAGTACACTTTTGTGCGGTGATTAACAAGCATATTCCCTTATATCTATTATTTTTTCAACAAACACCATCTCTTTAATCAAACATCATCTCAAAGATTTCATTAAAATCATAATAACTTCTCTCATTCACCAAAAAGGACTCGTTAAAATTCAAATGATCTCAAATCACCAAAAATCTCAAGTTGAATAGCGCTCTTAATTAGTTAGGGATGCTTTTTTTGCATTTTCCATGTATGGAACATTATTATGTAAAACTTGATTAGTCTGTGGGTTGTTCTGCAAAATATCATTAATTTAAGGTCCGCAATTGTTTTCTCTTGAAACCTTCCGCTTGGTCGAGAGTGTTACAAAAGGAAAATCGACAAAAACCCTGAGGAATTTTCGCGTTCGCCGGCGCGCAGAGAAATTGTGGAGTAAGCTGATACTCTCTTTGCGAAGAAAATTCTTCTTCGGAGACCAGAGATATGGCGACGGAGCTAGAAGAGCTAGTCGATTTTTTATCGTCTCCTTCTCCGCCTGTAAGCTTTTATTGCATTGGTTTCATCTGTTTCTGAGCTAATGGAATGCACCGACAATTAGGCATTCTAGGCTTTGTTCTATTGAATTCTGATTGCGTGGAGCAATAATTTGTAGGTGAAGAAAGCTGCAGTGGAGATTGTTAGTGGATTAACTGGTTCGGAGGAAGGTTTACAGTCTCTATCCAAGTATTCCGAGATTCTACTTCCATCACTGTCTCGGCTCCTAAGTGAAAGCAAGGTCCTTTGATTATAACACTTAAGAAGCTCTATTATGTTCTAGATTTGGATTAGTATTGATAAAGATTGAAACTTTTTTGATTTTCAATTTTCAGGAGGTGTCAGAGCCAGCAGCTCAGGCTCTTGTTAATCTTTCTCAGAACACTGAATTGGCTAGGAAGATGATTCAGATGGGTTTGATCAAAGTGGCCATGGACATGTTGTACAAGCCAGAGTCTTGTATTACTAGATTGCTTGTGATGCTTCTAGTGAATCTCACTCAGCTGGATGATGGCGTTTCTTCCTTGCTTCAGGTCATTTTTATCACATCTTAAGTGAAATTTTGTGTAAGAGAGTGTGGTGTTTTGTCTTTTAGTAGTGTAATGGTTATGTTGCTAATCATGTTAAACGTTATGCCTTTGTTAGATTGAGGATGAGAAGATGCATGGACTACATCTCATGAAGCTTGTTAGGTCTTTCTGCAGGTCTTCTGGAGAATCTTCTGGTATGCTCTTAGCTCTTTAGTTTTCAGCTGGTTTTGTAATTTGTCGATGTATATCTTTATTTCTATACACAATATTTTGGAATTTCCTCTTTCTGTTTCATATATCTAATTCCCAGAAAGACTCAAAGGTCCTAAAAGTCCAATTGTTTACTGTTAATGTTTGATGCCACATTGTGTTCCTTATTGCTTATCCATAAAAGTAGGAATAATTTGTTGGAGGGTTTTTAATTTCTCTAATATATGCACCAGATGATCAGTTTGAGCATGTTGGCTCAATCCTAGTCAACATATCGAAAACAGAAGACGGGAGGAAAATGCTACTGGAGCCAAAGAGAGGACTACTAAAACAGATCATTAGGCAATTTGATTCAACTAATCAATTGCGTAAGAAAGGGGTACGTTCTAAAGAGTGTAGCATATTATTACTCGCTCTTTTAATGAACATGTTGCTTAATCTACCTTTAGTAAATTTTAAAAACATGGATTATGCTTATTGGCTTTCAGGTTGCTGGGACTATCCGTAACTGCTCTTTTGAAGCCAAGAACCAGCTCCAGAATATACTCTTGATCTCAGAGTTTCTCTGGCCCGCTCTGCTCCTACCAGTTGCAGGCAGCAAGGTTTATTGATTTTGCCTTATAGCTACGATATCGTTGCCAGGAACAACAGTTTTTGACTATGTTTTTATTTTTAACGTTCCCTAGGTGTACAGTGAGCAAGATATCTCAAAAATGCCACCTGAGCTTGGAAGCGCACTTTCCATTGAGCGAGAACCAGTTACTGATCCCGACATTCGCGTTCAGACTCTCGAAGCTATATATTTGATCATCTTACAGGTACAGCGATTCTCTACCTCGCATTCTTCTCTTTTCTGAATTCTGAATACAAAAGTCCACTGACATTGCCAAAACTTGTTCTGATGTTGCAGGAGGCAGGTCGAAGGGCATTCTGGTCAATCAACGGGCCACGGATTCTACAATTGGGATACGAATACGAGGAAGATCCAAAAGTAATGAGAGCCTACGAGCAAGTCGGTTCTTTGGTATGTTAACTCTCTCCTCTCTTTCATTCACTGATTGACTCTACTCGACTTAAGATAACATTGCCTATTCTCTTCGCTGTCCCGTCCTAAACCAGCTTGTTGAAGAAAGTGGAGGCCCGGAACCGGAAGAATCATCGGAGCCGACAAAAGCAGAGTCTTAAAAGTTGCATTATGTGTCGTCTCTTGTTCTTGTCCCCATTTTTTTGGCCTCTTGAAAGAAGTTACTTGTTCTGTTCGCTTAACTTAGTTGTCTTCTTTTCTGTGGCACATGAATCTTTGACAAGTGCACTTAGTTGTATTGTAACACTAGATTCGTTGTTTACTTGTCTTATTAGCGTTCCATTTCTACATTTTCGTTATGACTGTGTTGTTGTGTTATCTATACACATTTGACTATTTTTCTAAGCTATTTGAATCTGGATCGGAAATTTAACAGAAAAACTTGTTTGGTCTTTCTATCTGATTGGATTTTAATGATAAAAATATTTTTGAAACATATCTTGTGGAAGTTTTCAGATTAAAACTGTATGTAGATAAATATAAAATAAAAACAATATTATTGCCACCTCGTGGCCACCGAATATTTCCACAATCGGACAGAAAGTACAGAGAGGCAAATCAATGATTATGTTCTTCTCTAGACTTTGGCATGTGTTCTTTCGAACTTTAAGTTCACGAAATCGTAAATTAATAAGGTTAGGACACATTAAAATCAAAACCAGTTGGCGCCTTTGACCATTCCCTTCATGCCACGTAGACGTTTCCGAATAGTCGGGCCCCACCTAAATACCGAAAATTGAAAATCATATTACAGATGAGATCTTCATCTCTCCGCGTCCTCTGCGTCGTCTTCTTCTTCTCGACAAAGGAAGAGAGAGAGAAAATACCGAGCGACGACGAAGAAGATTCGATATCTCTTCGTGTAGTTTAGCTCTTTGAAGAGGGGGAATTAGCGAAGAGTAATGCGAATTTCTTCAGGCGGTGTTTGATTCGTTTCTTTGAGTTGAGGAGGGGAAGATGATTGGTTTCGCGATATCGGATGAATTTCTGGGAACATTCGTGCCGATTTTGGTGTATTGGGTGTATTCAGGGATGTACATTTGCATAGGATCTTTGGAGAGATATCGACTGCATTCGAAGATTGACGAGGATGAGAAAAATCTCGTTACCAAATCTACCGTCGTCAAGGGCGTTCTTCTTCAACAGACTGTCCAAGCCATTATCTCCCTTATTCTCTTCAAGGTTTCTCTTTTTTTCTATTCCCTTAAAATGAAATTTTCCCCGAATCTATTGGATTCTGTTGTGGTGGTTTATGCAATGTTTCTGTTTTCTTACGTTGTCTCTTGTTGGTGAAAATGTCGAGACTTTATATTAGTGATCCAATGTGTGGTTGGTTAGTGAACATAGGTTCTAAGAGAATGGAGTTAGTGTTTCTCTGTTTTGTTGTCTTATGAATCAGATCTCTGGTCTCCTGTTTCATGCTGTTTTAGATTTTAGAATTTGTTAACATCTTATGTCTAAGTAGATATTAGCTGTTTGACTTGAGATTCGAACATCTTGGCGTTACTTTACAAAAGCTAATTTATGTTTTCTTTGTCTAATAGGTGAAAATGTGGTTGAAGGAATACAATTTCACATGTTGAAACTTTTGTTCTCTTGCAGTGTAGACCATTAGAGTATTTTCTTGGACTTTCTCATTATTCATGTGTTCAGAGTCACGAGCTTGTGATGTTTCTCTGTGTTGGAAGCAACTGTTTTTGAGGTTTTTAGTTGCTCATGTTATAGTCTGTCAGGTTATAGTATACATTCTTGATATGTTTTATTGGTGGAAGTTTATAAATTAGCAGCATGAAGCGTTATTTTCTTGTATACCTGAAGTTTTGTTTTTGATTCAGATAACAGGAAGTGATGCAGATGCTGCAACGACACAGGAATTTTCACTTCTGATTCTCATCAGGCAATTTATCATCGCCATGCTCGTAATCGACACTTGGCAATACTTCATCCATCGCTACATGCACCTCAACAAGTTCTTATACAAGCACATCCATTCTCAACACCATCGCCTTATCGTGCCTTACTCATATGGAGCTTTGTACAACCATCCATTAGAAGGTCTTCTCTTGGACACCATTGGTGGTGCTTTGTCTTTCCTCTTCTCTGGCATGTCACCAAGAACGGCTATCTTTTTCTTCTCCTTCGCTACCATCAAGACGGTAGATGATCACTGTGGACTTTGGCTCCCTGGAAATCCATTTCACATCTTCTTCAGTAATAACTCTGCTTACCATGACGTTCACCATCAACTCTATGGAACCAAATACAATTTCTCGCAGCCCTTCTTTGTCATGTGGGATCGGATTCTCGGTACTTATATGCCTTATTCACTTGAGAAAAGAGCCAATGGAGGATTTGAAACACGGCCAATCAAAGTTTCCAAAGCTGAGTAACTTATCACTGCTAAGTTCCTTTTTTTATCATTTGCTCGCTAGAGAAGAACCACTATAACCTTTGTGTACTTTGTAACTGTACATACAATTCCAGTCTCTACATTTCGATCTACGGGCTTATGTTTACTGTGTGTAAGCTAGCAGTAAACTTCAGATGTTCTCTGTCGTTATCATCTGCTTGTAATTTCAGATTTTGAGACATATGTGAGAGTCTCATTTTATCTCCTTTATTAGCAAAAGACACACACACACACAGTCATTGAATTCTTTCTTTTATGCATTGTGACTCTTGCTTCTGTTGTTCTTATCCTTTACACATGGAAACTTTATAATTTTGTTTCTCTGTTTAGTTAGCTTCATAGGCCTATGAAGTGATTGCTGAATTATTGAACAAGTGGACCTTCTGAAAATGATACAATACCTATCTTCAATATCGATTGATACTTTGGGACATGGTTGATGTTTTCTTGACAAATCTGGTTTCATCATTGTTTCTAAAATATATTGGCGAAAAGTTTATTTCCTAACTAGATCAAGCTGGTGAGCTGAATCTTGCATTTGAGCTTGAAACTGCATTCCAATCAATCTTTGTCCCAAAACCTACATTCCTCAGGAGTTGGTTACAGAGACGCATCATCATCAATGATACAATTAAGGTTCTTTGTCTACTTCTACTTTATCTCATTATCAGTCACATGGTCTTGGCTCTTGAGATGAGTTCTATACCAAAAGATTATGGATTGGCTTTTTAAGACATGTTAGGTGAAATGCCACTGTCATCGATTGATTGAGTTTACTCATTAATGGCTCTTTTAGGCAACTCGTACGGATTTTCAATTAAACCGTTAAATCTAACCCCCTAATCAGGTATCTTTCTATTATTGAGACAGGCACATGAAAATGAGTTGGACCCATTGTGCTTTATGACTAGTCCCTGTGCTGCATTAAAATATGTCTCCTGAGTCAACAAAAGGTTCTAATCACACCTTTCATAGGCCACATGGAATTGCATTCTTTGTTTATGTCTTTATTTGCAAGTTAGTAACAAGTGTCTAGTCATCACACGGTCCAGTTCTTGAAACTCTGAGGCGATAATAGATGAGTTCTTGGATCACATCTCATCTTTACTTAAATGTTGTCTGGTCAACAAAACTTTGTTTTTTAAGGATTGATTGATGATAAATATGTTATCAAGCTAGATTAATTTCAACTACAAGAATTTGAAGATGGTATTAGCAAAAAAGAAGATCATTTTCACTCAATAGACATTACAAGAAAAGCACAAAGGAGCTCACATTTTCTTGACATTACTAAATATACAGAAACGGTGATTGCGTTTGAGAACCAGAACTACTGCTTATCTTCCTCCGTGTTTCGATACTTGTCGGATTACCTTCTACAGGGAATCTTGGAACATAACTCGGTGTTCTGTTCGCGCTTGTGTACGAATCACCTGAAACTCTAACCGATTTATGACTCTTGCAGCCCAATAACAAACCGCCACCGCTCGATTTACGTCTCTGAGGCGCGGTTTCTCGGTTTGGTTTGGAGATTACCGGGATTCGAGGAATCTGAAAAGACCGGTTTTTGACAGGACTCGTTGCACATTCAGACATAACAGAGTAGTCTGCTACACTTGCCGTTACTACACTCCACGCTATGCTTACCTCACTTGGTGCATAACAATTCGGTGAATCTGAATTGCTGCTTCCTTGCCTTGCAAGATAGGGTTTCGCCTTCCCCGTTGCGCTCTCAATCTCAAATAGATCCGAACTTAGATCGCTCACACTCCCATCTTCCTCTTCTTGTTCATACTTGACAGAGACTTCACGCTCCTCTGTTTTCACTGAGCTTGAGAATTCCCATGGAAATTTCTTCTGAATGATTCTCTTCTCAATAAGAGGAGATCCGAAGATTTCCAGAGACTTCCTCTGCTCTAACATTGCTTCTTGCTGTTGTTGATGAATCTTCATCTCTGAGGTTAGATCTGCAGAGAAACTCGTTTGGGTTTTGATCTTCTTCAGACCAGAGCTTCTTCTCTTCTCGTCGACGACATCCACTGAATTCCAGTTAGAACAAACGCATCTGCAGCCAAGATTAGAGAGAAAACTCTTCTTGTTGCTCACCTTGTGATTGCTATTAATATCCTTCTCCTGCAAGTAACTGTTGCATCTAGGGCTTTCCTTGTTGTTCTTCTTCTTCTCATATTTGTTCTGAAGCAACAAGCTCTGACTATTCCAGCTGGATTCAGACCGAAGACTCGGAGTTTCCGAGGAATGCTTCGAGCTTTGCTTCAGACCAACGAAGACTCTCTCGACTGAAACTTCTGGGTTTGGCAGAGGAGAGGAAAGTCTAGGACTGTGGTCGGAATCCATATCTCCATTGAAGTACTTCTCAGCTCCAAACACACTGATCTCCATATCTTCAGAAGCTTTCTTGCTAATTCCAACAGCATCATGATGCTCTTCTGGATTGATGTTCATTTGCGTGAGAGCATCTTCCTTGCTTGTCAAGTAAGAGAAAGAAGTAGAAGAAGAAGAGAAAGGACCAAAGAGATTACTACTGTTATTGTTCATCATGAAATCAAAAGATTTGTTTGGAGTTGAAGAAGATGAAGTTAATGCAACCATTTCTCTTTTTTTTTTGTTGTATAATTTGTTGTTGTTTGCATTACTATTTCTTGTGGATGATTTAGATTTGGGTTTTAAATAGAGGAACATGGGGGAAGTTACTGGTCTTCTCTGAATCTAAGTGTCAATTGTTCAATGTGTGTATGGTCCACATTACAAGGACAATAGGGCCAATTTGCCAGTGACTCTGTGCTAATGCTTGAAAAAAATATTAACTATTTTTTGTCTTGATTATCAAAAAAAAAAATGAAAATGAAAAGAAAATAAGTGGATATCATTCTCCTATGGAACAAAATTACAAATTAGAAATCACGAGGGATGTATTTATTTTGTTACATACTGACAAAGACCTTTACGAGTTGATCGTTGAAAGCTTTGGGCTTCTATTGACATAAACAGGCCCAAAGTCGGACGACATCGTTTTATGCAAGTATACACTGATACGGGTATTTTTCTACCCGACCCGTTTTAGTTGGAGCTTATCCTCTTCCCTCACTCTAAGAACAACAGAAAAAAAGTTGAGATTATTCAGTCAAAATAATTCAAAATGGTTTCGCAGATAATCTCGTGTTTAGCTCAACCTTCGTCTCTTTTCTGCATCTCGGATCGCCGGAGTCTAATTCTGCCGAAGACTTATAACCGCGACGGTTTGATTCGGTTTTCTCGGGGATTTGCTAGCCGCGGCTTATCTACGGTTAACCGGAGGAAATGGAGATCCGCATGCATTTTCAACTCTGGGAAGGATACTGGAGGAGAGGAAAAGGTTACTATCTCTCTAGCTCTAGCTTGATTTGATTACTGTTTGATTTTCCGAGAAAAATTCAGTTTGTTCATTTGAATCCAAATTCTATTGGATTTCGGAAAGTTTCGGATTTTTTGTAAAATGTATGAAGTATTGATTACAGGGAGGTAGCTCAGAGTGGGCGATACTTGAGAGATGGGAAGTTCCATGGGAATGGCAGACTGTTTCTTTAACTTCGCTTGCTTGTGGATTAAGGTACTCTCCCTTTTCTGACGCCATTAAAAAGCTTTACTTTGGATAAATTAGGGTTTGAGTTTGATGGAAACATAGAACTGCGTTAGGATAAATGTGATGGTTGAACATATGCTCATCTCTTTGTTATTGGTTAAATTTCTAAGGGTGTTCAGTGACTATCCTTTCTTGTAGTTGAACATATGATCGTCTCAAGCTCTCTACTATTTTTAATGTATGGAGTGAGATTAATTGTGTTCCCAGGCAGTTTTATTTTGACAGGATTAACCGAAATGGCGGTCATACCCTTCTTAGGAATCGATGTTGAGAAACTGAGCTTGGACGATAAGGCCGAAATTTTGTTCCTCGATCAAGGGTACTATTAACTACTATTCATTGTGTATTCTATTTACATAACTCTTGTGCTTTGTTAATGTAAACTTGTTGAAGAATCTCAGTGCCTCGATGAGTTGTTAAGTTATTGAAATGGCGTTATGTTGAATCACAATTTATCTTGAATATTTTGCAGCTTAACGACTGCAGTGGTGCTTGCTGTCATATTCACTGTTGCTAAAACCTTCGAGCCACTTCCTCGAGATATTTTGCGCTATGGTACTTTGCTTTTGTATTCTCGGCACTGTCTTGGATTGATTACTCTTTTTTTTTTTTTTTTTTTGTGTATTTGACCTTTTTGTTCAATCTTCAGATTTGAAAGAACCTTTCAACCTGAAAAAAGGATGGCTCGTGTGGGGTGGAATCGGTCTGGTTGGTGCTGTTGGCGCTATTGCGTTAACCGGTACTGCTTTATCCCTTTTCAGGACAGAGACACCTGAAAGAGAGGTTAGGAGAATTTACTACCAAATTTTTCCTTTCTGAAATGTCTGATGATGGATAATAGTAACGAGGCTAGTTTGATGTTTTCAGGTAGACTCTTTGATGAAGCTTCTTCCATTAATTGGATCCTCGAACATAAGGTATTTCCGCAAAGTAATATAAATTTAGGATGTGCATGAATACTAGAATCTGATCACATCTCTCATGTGATGAATGTTTCAGCACCTTAAGCTTAGTTGGCATAACTGGAATCCTTGCTCCACTTCTTGAGGAGACTGTGTTTCGAGGATTCTTCATGGTCTCTCTTACCAAATGGTAAAAAGTCTAGTCTTCTTCTCATTAGCTTCTGGATAAAACGCTTACTACGAATTTGTTTCATTTCGGCTTTCAGGGTCTCGACCCCAGTAGCGATCACCATCAGCTCAGCTGCGTTTGCCCTTGCTCACTTCACACCCGGTGAATTCCCGCAGTTGTTTGTTCTAGGTGAAAACATAACTCAAAAACATTATCATTAGCATCTTCTCATGTTTGGAAACATCTATTGACTGCTAATATGTGTCTTTTTTTCATCTGGTTTAGGATCGGTTTTGGGATTATCGTATGCGCAAACCCGCAATCTCATTACACCGATGCTCATACACGGTTTCTGGAACTCCGGAGTTATTTTGCTGCTCACTTTTCTTCAGGTACAGAGCTCATTCCTATGATCAGTACAATGTTTAATAGACCGATCAACACTTAAAACTTATGCTTGTTTCGTCTTTGGTTTATTCGTAGGTGCAAGGGTATGACATCAAGGAACTATTGCAGGCAACAAACTAGTTTCGAGCTTTTTGCTCTTTGTTCTGTAACATGAAAAAGCTTTATTATGTGCTCGATTTTAGTAATATCTTTTTGTATTATAAAAATCTGAGTTTGTACAATGCGAAAAATCAGAAACTCTTAATTCTACATGCACGGAATCTTTCTTAGATCCCTTTACTTGAAAAGAAAACTCTGCACTAAGTTAAACACTCCTTGGTTTGGTTACGCTGTGACTTGTAAGAAGGCTGATTCGGAAGGACCTTCGCGTAGATCTTCTGATGGTCTTGCGACTCTTTAAGTTAGCGCCTTCTTTCCACTTAAAGCATTGAGAAGCATACACCTGAATCTTGGTGTAAAACTAGTGAATCACGGCTCCATTGACAAATAATTAATCACGGCTCTAGGTTGACGCGAGCTGAGCACCAACGCAAACCGGGTGGCCAAAGCCGCTGCTTCCTGTTTAATCAGTTTATGTCACTACATTGTCCCAAAGACTGTCAAAATGAGAGAAACGTTTGTAGTAAGCGTGTTTAAAAGCTAACCTGTCTTTGTCTTCTCCGGTGCAAGATACTAATGGCTGATGCCATGATGTAGCAAGGAAGAAGAAAACTGGCAGCTCGGAGTAAGAAAAGCTGCAAACAGATTTAAGATCATCATTTTATGGTTTGGAGTTGGAAATTTTATAAAACTTCCACAAGAAGAGTCATCTGCATAATCTGTTATAGAAACTTGATTTGTTAACTTACAGAAAGCATTGCAGAAGGGTCATCTTCATCATCATCTGCATAATCTGGTATAGTCAGTGCATATCGCAATAGAAGAGTCATCAACTGCAAAACAAAAAAAAAAAGAGAAGGATGTTATTACAACTCAGTACAAACAAATTTAGTAGTGGTTAAAACTTGTCGAGAAGCATTTTTAGGCTTACTATGAGAGCAGATGCTCGGAAAAATGCAGCTAGACTGGAATCTCGAGCTGTATAATCATCATACTCCGACTCTAAAATCTCACGCTCAGCTTCTGCCATCGCCAGGAGGCGTGGATCATGTAAATCCATACCTGAGATCCTCCATCCTCCACTACAAAACATACATACATTGTTTAAGTCAGAACAATAACAAGTCATTATATTGTACTACCGAATTTATGAAAAATGATCATACCCAATGTCGATAGTAGTTTCTTCAGATTGGATTGGAGGTGGTGGAGAGGTATATCCAGCTTGGTATGGCTGAAACAAGACAAGTTAAATAATGGTGTTTAGATTTTATCAATGCCATTAACAAATGTGCTCTTCTCAATTTGTTCTGGATAATGATAATCTATCATATAAATTGTCACCGAGAAAGCTGTATATACCTGATGACATATTTCACATAAAGTGTTTCCCTTTTCATTGCACCAATGTTGAACACATTTCCTGTGAGCATACTGCTCAAAACCAAAAAAAACTTTATTCAATACTCAGTTTCTTAACTACAGTTTCATTTCATGAATGAGCAAATGAAAAATCTACCTTGAGGCTTCCATTGCAAGCACATGGGCTCTCGAGATTCTTAATCTCGGATTCCTCCTGACAAATACGACACTCCGCAGACCAAATAAGCGAATCATCCTCCGTGGTAGTTTCTCCGCCGTAGATATCAATTGCATTATGGTCCTCCGCCACCGCCGTGACACCAGACGGCTCCGGCGTCTCCGATCTTATTTTCTCGACCTCAGCGAGAACCGGAACTGGTCGCATCGGCCCGTCGACATATACAACCATGTGATCACTCATTTTCAGTCTTCTAACTCCAATGGACTCCACGAAAATCCAAATTGAAACACCCTAAAATCCAGATCAACACTCTAATCAGACATGAATCACTCCGAGGAAGATCTAGATATCCGAATCCGGGAAAAATCGGAGGAACATAGAAAGATGAAAGACTGAAATCTAGAAAAGAAAAATCACCTGGAGATTTTTGGGAAGAGATGTGTTTATAGCGGGAAGGGAAAGCTTTCTCGTCCTTGATTTTCAGAGCGGGAAAATCGGGAGGAATGTAAGCAGAGACGCAAAGAAGTTGTGGTTTGCTTCCAGAAAATTTTTCTCGAGAAAGATTTTTGCTCAGAGATTTTCCCGTAAATCAAGCAAATGGGAAAATGGCTTTTTATAGCGAAAGAGAGATTAAGAATTAAGAAGAGTGAGAGGAAGAGACAGAGATAACGACGTCTGAATAGATTAACGGCTCCGTTAGTTTGAGCCGTTGACCAGCGTTATAACGTTATAACGGCTCCTAGTGGCAGTCTAACAGTTATTAATTTATTATTACCAACAGAGATTAGATTAATACTACTTGTTATCCAGTTAGGTAGGAATTAGGACATACCTACTACTATATACAATAACCTACAAACAAATACAAATTGTTTGATTCAAGGGTTAAGGCGAGAGTCATATAACTCGAAATAATACTTATTTCTTAATTTAATACTCCGAAGATCAGTTATAAAGTTTTTGAATCTTCAACTTTATATATATATTATCCCTTTAGCATTTACATTTTATTTTGCTTAAGAAATACTATGTCATTTTAAATATAGTAGTCTTATATCAATTTTGCTTAGTTTTTTCTGTTAAAATAATGCATACAGTATGTTGTTTTCATACTACAATACACATTTTCATATTTAAATAATACAGTAATCTATTGTTTTGATTCTAATATAGATGAAACTTTCTAAAAAGATGTTTATGGATAAGGTTAAAGGCAAGATACAACTAGGAAGAATAAGATTCATTAAAATAAGTAAACACTTGGTCTTTTTTTTAGACTAAAGTAAACACTTGGTTTGAAGAATACTACAGAACTCGTATTCTATATCATTTCAAACATATTAATGTGGTTGACCAGAATTAATCAGATAGGTTTAGTCCTAGTGGCATGTTTTGAAAGCTATTGACCGTTGAGGTATAGAAATGGTCAAATTATTCCGTAAGGAAAGGTTCAACAAGGAAAGACATGGTCACGCATACATATCACGATACAGTCTGACACAATATTGAATGAGAAATGAGAATAGACGCTCTCGATGTCAGGTGTACACTACAAGAAATCACGCTGTTAACATCACTTAAATAACGTCACTTGTTAAACCGACGTAAAATTATTAAAAAGGAAGGGATTTGGAGTCATTTACTAAACCGACGTACCAAACCGATGCTAAATAAAACAAAAATTAAATTTATTAAATTGTATTAATCAATTAGAACAGTTTACTATTCTCCCGTCTTCTTCCTCCGCCTAAACTCTAACATCCAAATTCAAAAATCAAAACCCAGTTTCATCCAAATCATGAGGGTTTTCGTTTTTCTGAATCCCTAATTTGATTTCGTTAATTCCGCAGTCGTCGCCAGTGTCAATAATCACAAGGTTGCTCGAGTTTATAGAAATCCGATTTCGATCCTTTCTCCAGAAGCTCAGGCGAACAATCCGATTTCGGGTCAAGCTCAGGTTCGTAAGTTTGAATTTCCTAAAAATTGAGCTGTGTTTATGATGAAATAGCTTGAATCTAACAATACTTATGAATTTCGTTCAAGGATTTGTGAAGAAATTTAAGAGGATTTTCAGAGCTCGCGAATCTCAAATTTCTCTGCAAATTTAAGGTAAACTTTCGATCCTTTTAAATTTGCAAAGGTCAAAATCAAGTTGTTTGAAGCTATATTAGTTTTGCATCCGATCTATTAGTTTTGAGCATATGAATTTATCTTAGAATATGAATTTTTCATGATCTTAGAATAAGAATTTCTCTTCATGGTTCCATGGGAGAAAGCCACTAGTGAAATAGTGGCAACAAATTTGGTTTTGTTGAGTCTGATTGTGAAATTTCATGATCCATTTTCTCATAAAGCATTGTCTTACGAGAAATCTAGTTTAGCTTCTTTCATGATATTATTGATATTGGCTTAGCTTCTTTCATGATCTGGGAATTGAACTTCTGAAAGCTTTAATTGACTGTGAATGAATCTCTTGAATATTTGAACTTGTTTTGTGAACTTTGGTCTTCTCAAGTCTCATATTTGATTTTGTCTACTGATTTTTATGAATGGTATTGTGTTCGTTTAGTAGCTAAACATACTTATTCTTGGATGAACTTTTATGTAGAACAATGGACAAGTCTTGGATAGTAAAACATCATTTGTCTCAAGACTATATAAATGGAGTAAAAGGGTTTTTGGATTTTGCCTTTGCAAATATCAATTCAGAAATGATAAAATGCCCGTGTAAGCGTTGTTGTCTTGTTAAATACAAGGTTAGAGCTGAAGTGAGGGTGATTTGATTTGTCATGGTTTTCTACACACCTATACAAACTGGTATTTGCATGGTGAAGAATTAGACTTAGAGGAGCAGACAGTTAGTTTAGATAATGCGTCTAACCTAGATTTCGTTGAAGACCCAACTATGACTCTGCTTGAAGATGCTTTTCCGAATATGGATAACAGTTTTAGTGAGTCTGCTAGTCCTAGAGAGGAGGATCATTCGAAGCAGAAGGAGGCACTTGATGATTTGTTATCAGATTGTAATCAAGCTCTCTATGAAGGATGTCAGTCTTTTAGCAAGTTGTCTTTCATGCTTAAGTTGTATCACATCAAGTGCATGTCTAGAATCAGTGACAAAGGAATGTCAATGATAATTGAGCTCTTGAAAGAAGCATTTGAGCACGCAAAGCTACCAGATTCTTTCAACGATATGAAGAAGATTATTCGAAAGTTAGGATTCACATATGAGACCATTCATGTGTGTCCTAATGATTGCATGTTGTATTGGGGAGAAGATGCATCTAGACACACTTGTAAAGTCTGTGAAAGTTCAAGATGGAAGACACCTAAGCCAGTTGCTGAGAAGAAGAAGAAAAAGAAGCAAGAGGCGGCCAAAGTACTTAGATACTTTCCACTGAAACCGCGCCTGCAACGTTTCTTTATGTCATCCAAAACTGCAGAGTATATGAGGTGGCATGATAGTTCTAAGAATACAGATGGTAGGCTTAGGCATCCTAGAGATGGAATGGCTTGGAAATCATTTAACCAACAGTTTCCAGAGTTTGCATCAGACCCGAGGAATGTCAGATTAGGATTGGCAACTGATGGTTTTAATCCTTTTGGTTCTATGAGCACAAACTATAGTGTATGGCCTGTGCTATTGTTCCCTTACAACTTTCCTCCTTGGATGTCAATGAAACAAACCTCGATGATACTTTCAATGATAATCCCTGGAAGGAACATGCCGGGAAATGATATTGATGTCTATCTTCAGCCTCTTATCAAGGAACTAAAAGAGCTATGGTATGATGGAGTTTCTACATTCGATGCATCTTTGAAAGAAACATTTTGTATGCGTGCGGTTCTGTTATGGACTATAAGTGATTTTCCAGGGCTAGGGAATTTATCTGGGTGGAATGTATACAAAGGATTAGCATGTCCTTCTTGTAACTACGATGCTACAGAGCTCCGTCTACACTATGGCAAGAAAAACTGTTTTATGGGACATAGGCGTTTCCTTCCTGAAGATCATAGTTTTAGAAAAGATAAGCAACGCTTTGATGGTTTTATTGAGACAAGGGTTTCTCCTACTACACCATCAGGAAGTGTTATTCTCCAACAGATTGGAAATGTTGATGTTACATTGGGGAAGAGAGTAGATGCTGTTGGTAAGAAGAGACGCCGTTTGGAAATTGGGGATAATCAGTGGAGAAAGAGGAGTATATTTTTTGAATTGCCTTATTGGAAATATCTTCTCTTGAGACACAATCTAGATTTGATGCACATTGAGAAGAATGTGTTTGATAATCTGATTTTTACTTTATTAGATGACAAAAATAAGTCGAAAGACAATCTTAATGCTAGAAGAGATTTGCAAGAGTTTGGTATTCGTGAGAATTTATGGCCTGATCAAAATGGTAGATACCTTCCAGCATGTTTTACAATGACTACGCAAGAGAAAGATATTTTCCTTAATATTTTGAAGAATGTAAAGTTTCCAGATGGGTATTCTTCAAACATTTCTAGTTGTGCTGATGTGAATCAACGAAAAATGGTGGGTTTAAAGAGTCATGACTGCCACATCCTAATGTGTCATCTATTTTCTATTGCCTTACGGAATGTGTTACCAAGGGAAGTATCGTTTGTTATAACAGAGCTGTGTCAGTTTTTTCGAAAAATCAGTTCAAGGGTACTTGATATTAGAGATTTGGATAAGTTGCAGGATCATATTGCACTTACACTGTGCCATTTGGAAATGATTTTTCCTCCATCATTTTTTACTGTGATGGTGCATTTGACCATCCATTTGACAGAAGAAGTTAAGCTAGGAGGCCCGGTTCACTATCGATGGATGTATCCTGTGGAGAGGTACATTCTTTTGCTGATTTTGCTTTAATATACTTGTTTACATGTTCTGCGTCTATAGGATTTTGCTTTAATATACTTGTTTACATGTTCTGTGTCTATGGTAATAACATAACCATGTTTCATATGTGTGTTTATAGGATTTTTTCTCGTTTTAAATCCTATGTTCGAAATCGAGCTCGACCCAAAGGATCTATATGTGAGCAATATGTTGCAGATGAGTGTCTAACATTTTGCTCCATGTACTTTGATGGAGTGGAAACACCTTTTAACCGTATTGGGAGAGTGGATGAGATGTTCATTGAAAACGTTCTTGTTGAAAATTCAGTGATCATTTCTGATGATGTTTCTAAGATTAGTTTAGTGAGACAAGTAGATGACAGTATGGAGGTATTTTCTTGCTTTATCATATTACTTGATGATTTTCTTGCTTTATCATGTTTCTCATAATTCAGAAATGATTTGATGAATATGATTTCTTCTTGCTTATATTTGGTTTTGTCTACTGAATTTAACAATGAATCTTCTTGCTATAATTCCAGGTGTAAATATGGCTGGAGCGAATTCTCAAAATGATGATTTCCTAGTTCCACCTCCTCTTGGATCAGAATTAGTTAATGGAAAATGGAGAGTTCGTATCATAGGATTGTAAACTTTTATCCCAAGTACAGTCTGTTAATATACACAGTTTGTAAATTGGTTTGAAATGACATGTTTTTTGTGTTTTAGATGGTGATTCAAAAATTACAGAGGAGATGATTTCGGGAAAAGAAGTGTGGAGCATGTTAAATCGACGAGTTATGGTTGATTTCAATAGAAATGGTCAGCCTATCAAAGATTCTGGAGGATTGTTTGGTTCTTGGTTAGGCTCACTAAGTAATGACTTCAACGTACTACTTATCAATTACACGGATTGGAGGAAAGTTCCCAACTATAGGAAAGAGATGGCTTGGAAATTGATTCAGGTAATCTCGTACCTTCTGAAACTGATGCCTTCTCATACCTTTTGTATACTCGTTTTTCTCTGTTAATGGTTCACTTTTATAAACACAGAAAAAATTTTGGTTTGATGATCCAAGGAAGAAGAAGAAGTATGTTATATCTGCTTTTAGATATCGTTGTAAAGACTTGACGCAGCGTCTTTGGAAAAAACATAGACAAAACACTCTATAAGAAGCCTTTGAAAAGTGTCCTGGACTGGTTCCAGAAGATCAATGGAAAGAATTTGTGGAAATGTAATTCACTGATAAGGCTAAGGTAAATAACTTTGTTACACTTTGCTATATAAATAACTATGTAACACTGATAAGGCTATATATTTGATTCAGAAAATGAGAGAGCGTAATATTATAAGTCGAAGTAACCTTAAGATACCATATGTGCTTGGAAAAAAGAGTATAGCCAGAAAGTCTAATGAGATTGTAAGTTTAGTTATAACTTACAAATTAAAATTAGGTATGGATCTGTTTATCTTGCTGATTTTTTTTTTATGTGAAACCATTCATCTCTTAGGAAGAGGAAACAGGCATTGAACCAAGTAGAAGTGAACTTTTTATTGCATCTCGGACTAGATCCGATGGAAGTATTGTTTGTAATGAAGCCAGAATATCTGTGGTAAGATTTCTTATGCTCTGCTGAGATTTCTTATGCTCTTCTGAGATTTGTTGTGAGATTTCTTTATGTTCTGTGATCCTTATGTTTAGTGATCATTTGTAGGATAAGCTGAAACAAGCAATGACTCAAAATAATCAAAGTGAAGCTACAAGAGATCCATTTGAAGATGTGTTTGATCGTGAGCATCCAGGACGAGTTCGATGTGTAGGCCATGGTCCGACACCGACCAAGTATTTCTTGACACGTGAGCGTACTCCGAATAACGCTGAGATCGTAGAAATGAAAGCTCGCATGAAAGGAATGGAAGATAAGCTTGAGATCTTGGCTAATGCTCTCTCGACAATGGAATGCACTCTGAATAACACTGAGATCATAGAAATTGAAGCTCGCATAAAAGGAATGGAAGATAAGCTTGAGATCTTGGCTAATGCTCTTTGTAAGCTTGTTGGAGAAAAATATCCCAACCTGGTAATTTCTTTGAGATCTTGGAGTCATTTGAATCATTTCCAAGTTCATAATTTCTTATTGATAACACAAAATTATCTTTTACAGGTGACTGCAAAAGAAGAAAGTTCAGGGAAATGAGCAGGTTAGGATTCAAATTTATATTAAGAATTCTAATGGTTATGGTGTGTTGTTTTAGTTAAGAGCTAAGTTATCGAGAACCATACTTTCTGTTTGAGTAGTCTCATATGTGAATGGTCTTGATTAGGATACAGATTCTGTTTTAATGGTGGCTAGCTAAGTTATAGAGAACCATACTTTCTGTTTGAGTAGTCTCATATGTGAATGGTCTGGTTTTAGAAGAACAGACTTTTAGAAGAAACAGAGATTCTGTTTCGTTGAAATGTATTAAAGGTCTTGCTTTCATTTTACTTTTGGTTACTGAAATGATTAGAAATCATGATTACTGATCTTACTTTTGTTTTTGCAGGTGAGATATGTTCAGGTGATATATAGGATTCGTTCGGGAAGTTGGAAACAAAACATTGTATTTTCTATTTGATATTACATTCATACGCTCCTGTCAATCTTTCATTTATACATAAACAAAACATTGTATTTTCTACTTGATATTATATAAAAGATTTGATTTTACTATGAGTTTATTGTCATCTAATGTTTTAAATTACAATTAGTTTATTGATACTATGAGTTGTATTAGTGACGTTAGGCTTTTAACATTTACGTCGGTTTTAAAAATGACATAAACATAAGTGTTGGAGTCGTTTGTGAATTGACCCTAAACACACAAAATAATGATGCTAAATATATGACGTTATGCCTAACGTCGGTTTTTTAACTGAAGCAGCAATTGACGTATGGTTAACGTCGGTGTTGTAAGTGAAGCAACAATGGTCTGCGTCATTGAATGACACGTCGGTTTATAAACTGACTTCAAGTTTTTAGCGTCATTCTTTTACCGACGTGAACCTCATATATAATCGACGTTAAACTCCGTCTTGTAGTGGTAATTGTTTATTCATTAGCTTGTTTAATACTAGGAATATAAAAATTACATGCTTAAACAAATAAAGAAAAATAAGGAGTATGAAAGATTGGTCGTCTGACTTACATAGAGTTACGATTTTATCACTGAGAATTGAATTCTCAATCACAGCAGATTCCAAGTCTAGACAATTTGGGAGACAATTTTCTTCTATTGTTTTTTTTGGTAGACTTTGAATTGTTCAAAGCAAGTAAAGTCAATTTTTCTTTTAAAAAATGAGAAATTATATCGAAATAGTAGGGATAATTGGCATTTAATTTCAATGAATTGTGAGGTCGCAAATGTTTTCTTAAAAAGTCGAAAGTACACACATACCGCCACATATATTACCAACAATGAACAACATCGCAAAACTATTATTTCAGAAGAATAAACGATGACAATAGTTCCAAACACAATTTAACGTAACACTACAAATAGATGACACAATTTACTTGTTTTATTGGAAACATGATATTTAATAGCAACCATATCATATTTTGTACTTAGCTAAGTTACTTCAGCGAAGCATCTTTCTAGATTTACTACTGTAACCAGAAGTGGATGTGGGAGTGTTTAGTATAAAAGCTCCCAATGCCCAATCTAGTGATATCTTTTTTTCTCCTGCTTTATTTGCAAACTCGATTCTGCACACAAAACAAACATTTAGCTAACCGACATTGAATTGATCCAATTGTTCTTGGATTTATGGAGTAACAAATTTAATTACCTTTCATCATCAAGAGCAAATCCAAGACTATCGTGAAGCAGTGAGATAATATATGCTGATGAGAAGCAATACCCATCCAAATATTTTTCTTTAGTTGTTGGATATTTCTCTTTCAACTTGGACCATTCTTCTCCACAGAAACTCTTTCCAGCTGAAATCATTTGAGACAGCCAACCCTTTTCTTCCAATCCAAAGAACTGATTCAGACAGAGAAACATAAGACCATGTTCAAACAACTTCTCCACAAAATCTTGTCGTTGACCAACATGAAAATTCAAAGGATTATTAAACCTTGGAGGTGTGGTAAAAGTTCTCTGTAGCCAAAAACTTTCCTTGAAGATCAGGTGTGAATGTTGATCCAATCGAGCAATGGTTGTAAGGACATTTATCTTCACACAATAAAAGTACCAATTAAAGCTTCATCCATAAGAGACAAAAGAAAATTGGCACAGAGCAAATTATTCAGCTATTATACCAATAATGATCTTACCTTTTCCTTCCTCCAATATTTTGAATGTAGCAGATCGGCACTCAGTGAAATTACCAGCAGCTTGTACTGATGAATTCTTGCGAGAACTTGCGTCGAAGATGTATCCTTTAGGAGTACAAGGGTCAGTAACTATTCCATCCTCTGTAGAGTTCACAACTGTATAGATTGAAAACACTGTATTATCAGTTTTGAGGTAAAAAAAAGAAGATTATTATTTCATTTGCCTTAAAGAATATTTATCAACAACTAACCTGAGTTCTGGAGTGATTCCAATAACTCTTCTTCTGCTTCATCCTACAAGACAACAAAAAAGTTATTAGCTTCTTGAAAAACATCATTACAACAAAGAACACAATATCTGAAAATGCTCTCTTCTCAGAAGTTACCTGTCCATAGTGGAGGAAACTGTGACTGTAGATTTCGTATGCAACATTTCCGTACGAAATCGTACGCGAGAACTCAGGAGGCACAACCTCACTCGACACAAACGTCACCTAAACACATGCACCAACGACCAAAACATTCATCGATCGTGGACCATTTACGACATATCCCATCAAGTCTCATAAATATCATTTTAAATGCATAGTTTCTCTCCTCCACAACAAAGTTGATGTTTATTCTAAAACTCATCAAAATTTGTATTTAATGCATAGTTTCTCTCCTCCACATCAAATTTTGAGGTTTATTCTAAAACTCATCAAAATTGTATTTACTGCATAGTTTCTCTCCTCCACGACAAATTTGACAGAGAGAAGAGACTAAAACCTGAGCAGAAGCACCACCGAGCTCAACAATCCCAGTTGTTTGCAAAGGATCACCTCCAAGAGATCCAATCGCATAATTTGCAACAACCCAAGCATATACTCCTTCATCAGATCCTGACAAAAATTTCCCAATAATATTAGCACCAATAAATGAAACAATAAACTCTTATCTAACAGAAGCACTAACCAGAGATGACAGAAGCCCATTCGTCTTGAAACTTAAACCCAGAAGATCTAAGAACTCCTCTTGTAACTTCAAGAATCTGATCTTGAACACTGACTTCAAGCAATCTCATCCCAGCAGTCGCCATCAACCTAATCTCACTCTTCTCCAACATTCCCTCCGGAACTCTCCCTTTTGCGAACTCCACAAGCTCCTTCACCGACACACTCGCTCCTTCCGGATTATCAGCGTACGAAGACAAACCAGGACTCAGCTTCAAGCTTCCGTAGTTCTCCGCCCCGAAATCGAAAACCGGTTTCCCGGACTCGATCCAGTACCTGAAAACGTGAATTCGGGTCCCGGAGCTTCCTCCATCGATAACGACGCTGTACCGGAACGAATTTCCCCGATTCCGTAGAGTTGAACAGAACACAAATAGTAACCCCAATGTGATAGCGACGGAGACGACGGAAGCGAGAATTAGCAAGAGAATCGATTTCGTGCGTTTTGACTTTGGTTTAGTGAAAGTGTACGGAGACGACGGCGGTGATTGGTGGTTGTGGTGGTCAAGTTGAATCTGAACCATGAGAGGCTCCTCCATCTCCGATTTCATTTTCTCTCAGCCTGTAACGAGCATGAGATCGTTTTTTGTCAACGTTATAAGTAACCGTAACGAAAACTGACAAGCTTAGAAGTAATGACATCTTAACGTAAATTAAGAAAAACGCGAGAAGAACAAGAAGTAACGCATTAGCAAATTTTTGTGAATTTGAAGTTTTGTTTTTCTTAGTTTAAAACCTGATTTTATAATCGGAGTTCGAAAACGGCCGTTTGAAGACCGCCGCCGGTGAAGCTCGTTGGCTACTCTCACTCTCTCAGTCTCTTTGTTGTTTTTGTCGTAGTGGAGAAGACATGGATGCGGTCAATGGAGCGCCAATTTATAAAATTTACAAGTTGTGCATATCCAACTAAACTAACGAACCCTTTTCGGGGCCGGGTCGGGTCATAATTCAAACACGTGATTCACGAGTCCGTTTTATAACCACACAGAGCCACATAGGTCTATTTTCATAATTCTGATATGGTTTTACTGAGACTGATGGACATCAATCCAGGATATTGGATAATGTTCATCTACGAGAAATCCTGATAAATTAAAATGATAGGCTTTTGCAGATTTTTCTAATTAGCTTTTTAGATTTGGTTTTCATATCTTTGGTTTCTTGTTTTTGTTTTTGCTGTATGATTTTAGATTCGAAGATGCAACTGAAATGATGTGAAAACTGAATTTTTACATGGGTAGCAGATATGTGATAATGATTTACTTGTTTTATTTTACATACCTTAATTCACAGAAAGATATTAATGAAGATTGTATTTTTCAGAGCTAATGTAAAATACATGAGATATGTGATAATGATTTACTTGTTTTATTTGAAACAATATTTTTGTTTATAGTGAGTAACTAGAAAATCATATTTTGTATCTGGCTACGGTACTCAAGTCAAGAATTTTTCTAGATTTACCACTGAAATCAAAAGTGGCTGTCGCAGCATTTAGTATAAAAGCTCCTAATGCCCAATCTAGAGGTATGCCTTCTTCTCCTGCTCTACTTGCAAACTCGATTCTGCACACAAGACAAACATTTAGCTTCTTTTTGCAAAACCGACATTGATTGATCAAATTGTCTTGAATCTGGGCAGTGAAAGTTTACCTTTTATCATCAAGAGCAAAGCCAAGACTATCGTGAAGCATTGAGATGATATATGCTGATGAGAAGCAATACCGAAGCAAACTCTCGTCATTGAATGTTGGATGTTTCACTTTCAGCTTCGACCAATCCTCTCCACAGAATCTATTTCCGGCTGAAATCATTTCCGACAGCCAATCTTTTTCTCTCAACTCAAAAAACTGATTCAGGCAGAAGTACAAGACACCAAATTTCATACAATGCTCCACAAATTCAGAAATCTTGACGTCGACCAACATGAAATTCAAATGAATGTACCTTGGAGGTGTGGAAGAAATTCTCTGTAGCCAGAAAACTTCCTTGAAGATTAGGTGTGAATGTTGATCCAATAGAACAATGCTTATAAGGACATTTCTCTGTACACAAAGTAATCTCATAAGAGATCGAAGAAAATTGAAACTGAGCAACGATTCTCAGTCTCAGCTATACAAATGATGATCTTACCTTTTCCTTCCTGCAACATTGCAAATGTAGCGGATCGGCATTTTGAGAAATTACCAGCAGCTTGAAGTGATCCGGACGAATTTTTGTCGAGGATGTATCCTTTAGGAGTACAAGGGTCAGTAACTATTCCTTGTCTTGTAGAGTTTGTAGCTGCAAGCATTGAAACACTGTATGAGTTAGGAGGGAAAAGAAGCTTATTACAATTGCCTAAACGAAAAACTGCAGTTACTAACTCTACAAAAAAATTAACTTCATTAAACTGATGATTACTTTAAATTTTTTATCAACAATCAACCTGATTTGTGTAGTGATTCCAATAACTTTTCATGTGCTACATCCTGCGAAGCGACAAAAGTTAGTAGCTTCCTCAACAATAAATAAAGATTAAAATCCTTTGTTTTGGAGGCATGTTCAACAATTTTGAGGAAATTTAAAAAAAATAAGAGATCATCAAGCAGCAAATAAGAGAACAGTTACATAAAGACTCAAAACACCAAACATTCAAAAGGGATGAACCAAAGAAAACAGTTTCTCAAAGATAAAATACTCAGAAATCACCTGCCCAAAATTGAGGAAGCTGTGGCTGTAGAGTTTGTATGAAACATTTCCATAGGATATCGTACGCGAGAACTCAGGAGGCACAACCTCACTCGACACAAACGTCACCTAAACAGCCATCGATTACAACCAACCATTTAACCACACAGTTGAGGTTTATTTAAAGACTCATAAAAGTGGTATTAAATGCATACTTTCTCTCTTCCACAACAAATTTGACAGGGAGGAGACTAAAACCTGCGCAGAAGCTCCTCCGAGTTCAACAATCCCAGTTGTTTTCAAAGGATCACCTCCAAGAGAGCCAAGCGCATGGTTTGCAACAACCCAGGCATATATTCCTTCATCAGATCCTGACCAAAATTTCCAAAAATTTCCAACATTTACTATCACTCAAGACTCAACTAAGTTAATAATAGAAGAAAATGAAACATAAATCAAATTCCTTTCCAATACTTCAACATATCAACCAAACACTCTCCTTTACTCCTACAATCACATTTGATCAAATGAAGAATTGATTCCAGAAACTAACCAGAGATAACAGAGACCCATTCCTCTCGAAACTGAAACCCAGAAGATCGGAGAACCCTTCTGGTAACTTCCAGAATCCGTTCCTGAACAGGCAATTCAAGCAATCTCATCCCAGCAGTCGCCATCAACCTAACGTCACTCTTCTTCAACATCCCCGTCGGAACTTTCCTCTTCGCGAATTCCACCAGCTCCGCCACTGACACGCTCGCTCCCTCCGGATTATCAGCGTACGCCGACAAACCAGGACTCAGCTTCATACTAGCGTAACCACCGTCCCCGACGAAATCGAATACGGATCTCTCCGATTCGATCCGGTACCGGAACACATGAACCCGGGTCCCCGAGCTCCCGCCGTCAATCACGACGCTGTACCGGAGCGAAACTCTCCGATTCCTCCCGGAGAGAAATGTCGAATAGCAGACGAAGAATATCCCCAAGGCGATAGCTAAGGAAGCGATGATCAGCATGATGATCAATTTCGTGAGCTTCGGCTTGGGTTTAGCGCCGAGCGTGGTCGATGGTCGATGGCCAGCTCGAGTCTGGAGCTCGAGAGGATCCATATCTGATTTATTTTCAAACCTCGAACGAGCATGAGATCGTTGCATCAAGGTTTAAGGGACCGAGACGAAAGCTGACAAAGGAATCATGAGATCTGAACGTGACGGAAAACGCCGGAATAAAAAAACCGGAAATTTTGTTTTTTTGTGAATTTCGAAGTTTCCTTTTGTAATCGGAGATCGATAGGGGCGTCGGAGACTGCCGCCGGTGAAGGTCGTCGTTGCCTTTCAGTCTCCGTTTTCGTAGTGGAGAAGAAATTGGTCGCTCGAGCGCTCCTATACGAACTTTACAAATTACAACTTCACAGTCCACACCTACTCCTGGAATTTCGGAGCCGGGTCGGGTCTTATTTAAATTGATTATCGGGTCCTTCTAAATGCCACAGTGGATTTAAATTGTTTTATATGCATTGTTGCATACAATGTTGTTGATTAAACCCATGCAAAGCATATGTCACATAACCATGTCGCATATTAATCACACTCTAGGCCCACAAAACCCAAATTTTCCTCATTAACTTTTTTTTTTTGATCTTGTAAATCGTTTGGCTTTCCTAAGTCGTCGATCGTCGTCGAAAACTGTTGAAAAATATACCACATGTGAATGAGGGCAGAAATTTAACACTTTCTTCTCATGATCTCATCGTACAATATATATAAAGGATGGAGTGGCGTTTGTTGAGAGACAATGTGCATGCCTATGAAATACAGACGCCATTATGATGTGATGCCCAATGTCATTTTACGCTAAGCATAAAATATATGAAAGAAATATTTGTAAGAACCGTAAATAATCAATAGGAAGTGGAGTAGTAGTGGTTGCTCATTATGTTTCCACGACTCTTCTCCTCCATTGTTGATTAATATTTTTTCTATTTTCCTAATTTGAAGAGATAAGATCGATCGAAGATTGAATGTATAACATGTTTAACGCTATAACTGTGGACAGATCCTTGACATATAATATAACTACTACAGTTGACCCTTTGTTACAAAGCGTTAATTAGCGAATAATCAAACGTTTAGTATATACGTTAGTTGGTTATATTGGGGAATTGTTTAACCTTGGGTCACATGTTCACATGTTGTAACGTACGTTCAATCTAATTTCATTCTACATTTTAAAATTAGTTAAGCATGTTATAAAGTGGGAAAATGCCAATAAAAATTACATACCTATCAAATTTTGCCAAATATCAAATTCGATGCGAATGCTGGTTTTGTGTAATAAACGATGGAATCAAACAAACAATCCAAAAAGACTTCTCAGATTGGCCATGTGATGTGTTTATTATACAATATACTTTTAAATCCAAATATGTAATGGCTGAATGCTTTTTTCCACAAAAATTAAATTATATATTTCTTTCACAGAAGATTATGCTTTAATTAGGACAGTGCTACATAACTAATTAAACAATAATGGTACTATAAGGGATATGCCATTTGTTTGATTTGTCTATAAATATGAAGCTGAAAGTTCTTAGCCATGCATTGCAGACACACGAAAGAAAAAGAAAATGGGAGCAATGAGCTGGTCTATCCTCAAGCTTTTAATGTTACAAGGTCTTTTCATTTCACCTCCCCTACCACAAAAAGAAAACGAGAGCAATGAGTTTGATTTCTTCTACTTAGTTCTTCAGGTCTATACTCTCATTCAACCCAGCTTTATTATTCTCTTTGACAAATGAAAGCATACATATAATGAAACTGTCTGTGAAGTTTGTAACGTTTATAAATTTTATGTTCGTATAAAACTATAGCCAAATTAAGAGTTATTTGTATAAATGTAGTGGCCAGGCGCTTATTGCGATACAAAGCGTGCTTGTTGCTATCCAACATCCGGTAAACCTGATGCAGATTTTGGCATTCACGGTCTTTGGCCTAACTATAACGATGGTTCATGGCCTTCAAACTGTGATCCCGACAGTGAGTTTGACAAATCTCAGGTAGGAGTAGGACTAATGTGTAATATTCCTTTTTTTTTCTTTAAACAGTGATTTGATTATTTATTTATTTAATGGTATATATCATACATACGAATACGAATGTATAGATATCGGATCTGGTAGATAGTTTGAAAAAGAAGTGGCCAACACTAGCATGTCCGAGCAATGACGGGTTCAAGTTTTGGGAATACGAGTGGGGAAAACACGGCACGTGTTCCGAGTCCGTATTGAACCAGCATGACTACTTTGAAAATTCTCTTAAACTAAGAGACCGAGTCAATCTCCTCCAAGTCCTCACAAACTCTGGTATGTTACGTTTTAATTCCAATTAAGTCACTATATAATTATAAATGAATATCATATAGTTATAAACTCAACTGACATTTGGGGTAATTCTAGGAATCAAACCAGATGATGGGTTCTATGATCTAGAAGAGATCACCAACGCGATAAAAGATGCGATTGGGTTTACGCCAGGAATCGAGTGTAACAAAGATCCGGAGCGTAATAACCAACTTCACCAGATCTACATTTGCGTCGATACATCAGGAACTGAGTTGATCGAATGTCCAATCTTGCCTAGAAGAAGATGTCCATCTCAGCTCCAGTTTGCTAAGTTCTAATTCTATGTTTCTTTGAGTGGTTCGGTAGCTTGTTATGGAAGATCTATATCAATTATATATCATGTGTTGTTTTGTTATCTTTTGAAAAATTCTCTTCACTTTTCAGCGTCCAAATATATGGGGACTCTAAAGTGTAATATTTTATGTTACTTTTATCTAAATTTAATCAAATAAAGTTTCGTATAATTACTATAGGTATATTATATAATTTATATTGTAAATATATTTAAATGCATGCATGAAGGTCGTCGTTGCCCGTTTTCGTACTGAAGAAGAAATTGGTCATCACTATCTGGATTTGTTATTGTGTTTGATATGCGATCCCTAGTATGGAAAAAGCTTAAGGTGGATAAAAGAAATTCACCCGTTTCTTCAAACTCTCATAACCTAAGAAGACTTAATTAAATCCTCTTCATTCATTGAAAAAGAAACATCACACTTCACACTTTTGAATATCTAAATGTGGTTACAATGTACAGACTTGATACTTCAACACTTTCTTCTCATCGTACATTTTGAAGGATGGAGTGTTTGTTGACAGCAAAATTTGCATGACTAGGAAACACAGACTACTAATACTATGATGTCGAATGTCATTTCACGCGAATTATAAAATATATGTAAATTAATATTTGTAAGTACCTTAATCAACGGGAAGTGGAGTAGTAGTAGTAGTAGTAGTGGTTGCTCATTGTATTTCCTCGTCTCTTCTCCTCCATTATTGATTAATTTGCTATGTTTAGCTCTTCTTCTATATATTTATGTATTCCTAATTTGAAGAGATGAGATCGAAGATTGATGGTATAATATGTTATTACGCTATAATCGTGGACAGCTGATCCTTAACATATAACTATGACTACTACTAATCTACTACAGTTGACTTTTTCTTACAAGGCGTTAATTAGCGAATAATTAGTATACAGTACAGTAGTTATAAAATTGTTATGTCTATAAAGTTGAAGCTGAAAATTTATTAATTACGCATTGCAGAATCAAAGAAAAAGAAATTGGGAGCAATGAGTTGGTCTATCCTCAAGCTTCTTATGTTTCAAAGTCTTTTCACTTCACCTCCCTTAGGAGAAGATGGAGGCTATGATTTCTTTTACTTCGTTCTTCAGGTCTCAACTCTGATTCAACCCAGCTTTACTATTCTTTTTTTAACAATACATTTATATAAACTCCATGTCAAACATTTATAAAATATAGTGTTAAATAGCCAAATAATATTTGTTTGTATATATGCAGTGGCCAGGCGCTTATTGCGACACAACGCGTTCTTGTTGCTATCCAACATCCGGTAAACCTGAGGCAGATTTTGGCATTAACGGTTTGTTGCCAAACAGAAATGATGGTACATATCCATCAAACTGTGATCCCGACAGTGAGCTTGATAGATCTCAGGTATATATTATATATACATGTACATAGCTTTGTGTAAAATTTCCTTGTTTTTTTCCAAAACAATGATTTATTATTTATTTATTTAATGTATTATGTATATATAGATATCGGATCTGATAAGTAGTCTGACAAAGAAGTGGCCAAAACTGTCGTGTCCGAGCAATGAAGGGTTCGAGTTGTGGAAACGCGCGTGGAGTAAACAAGGCACGTGTGCCCAAAACATTATGAGCCAACATGGCTACTTTCAAGCTGCTCTTAGATTCAAAGACCAAATCGATCTTCTCCAAATCCTCACAAACTCTGGTATATTAATACTAATAAGTCTATCATAATGTAATATTCGTATATATACGTACATTATAAACTCAATGACCTTTTTTGTTGTGTGGTAATTGTAGGAATCAAACCAGATGATGGTTTCTATGGCCTAAAAGAGATCACCAACGCGATAGAAGAAGCGATTGGGTTTACGCCAGGAATCGATTGTAACAAAGATCCGGAGGGTAATGACCAACTTTACCATATCTACGTTTGCGTCGATTATTCAGCAACTAGGTTCATCGAATGTCCAGTTTGGCCTGGAGGAAGAACATGTTCACCTCAAATCCAGTTTGCTAAGTTCTAAGTCTATCTTTCTTTGAGTGGTTCGTTGTTGTGGAAGATCTTAGTTATGTCACTCCTGTGGTGTTTTTGTTATCCTTTCTAATTTCTCTACACTTTTGACTCTAAACATTTTGTTCTTTTGGGGGTCAAATTAGACTCTAAACATGTGTTGTTGTTATCCAAATTTCATATGGACACTAAACAATTAAACATGTAAGGTTAATTATATGTTACTTTCTCTAATACTGTATTGAGTAACATTCACTAAATAACATCCGCTTAAGTTATGGAAAGAGAGACGACATGCCATATAATCAAGGATGCCTATATTAATGTCTCAACCTAACCTTGTTATATAATAATATTTTTATTAGAGTTATAGACATAGTTATTCAGATTATGTGAACGAGCAATAAACTGAATTACAATACCTAGCTCAGTCTTAAACGTGGCATAAGCCGGACGACATGCCATCATTAATGGTGCCTATATGGCTATATTCAATGTCTCAAACTTGTCATTATATTCTGTTAAATTATTTTATACATATATATCCACTAGTGGACAAACAAGTTGAGAATAATAAAGATAATAACTATATAAAAGAATTATAATGAATTTTATTTTTTAATAATTCATTCTCTAAACATATGATTGTTATGGACCTTAGTCTTTTTTTAATCAGCAAGTACTGTCATTATAATCTGTTTGGAAAATTACTTCAAGAAAACAAAATATAACACAGAGAGCAAAACAAATGAGAGGAATCATCATCGTAAGCTTCTTAATTTTGCAGAGTCTTGTCGCTTCTTCGTCTCAATCAGCACCAGACTTCAATTTCTTCTACTGGGTCAACTACGTATGTTTCCAATTTCCAACATCAAGTACATGTATGTTTACATTTAGATTTATTTGTATATTTATATGTATGGTAGTGGCCAGGAGCAATATGCGATAGCCAAAAGGGATGCTGTCCTCCAACGATACGCGATACGGCGTCGGATTTTATGATCCATGGACTCTGGCCTCAATTCATCAATGGCACTTGGCCTGCGTTTTGCGATCAGACCAATCTCTTCGATATCTCCAAGGTGATATATAGTATTTTACTCATATTGTTGATTTGGGATTCACTAACTCCGGTTTAGTAGTGAAGCCGAATCAAAACTCATTTGACAATTTGAGATATTAAGAATGCTACATACAGTATTGCTACTTTATACTCTTCAATTCTTCATACAGTAATTGTAAATGTAATAGTTAAGATATTCAAGAAACTGAATCTCTAGAGAAGAATTACAGATATCAGATCTAATAAGCAAGATGGAGAGGAAATGGGCAGAGTGGGGAGTGTGGACATGTCCAAGCAACGAGACTAACCTATGGGAACACGAGTGGAACAAACATGGCACGTGCGTCCAGTCTGTATTCGACCACCACTCTTACTTCCAAACCAATCTCAAATTCAAACAAAAACTCAATCTCCTCAACATCCTTAAGCAAAAAGGTATATACATGAAAAAGATTCAGAAAAGAAAACAAATCCGTGAGAAAACTTGTGTTAATTGATATCATTGTTTCTTGTGGTACAGGAATCAAACCGAATGATGGGTTTTACGGTTTAGATGAGATCAAGAACGCCATCAAGTGCGTGATCGGATTTGCACCGGGTATCGAATGCAATGAAGATGTAAAAGGGAATAAGCAGCTTTTCCAGTTCTACATCTGTCTTGATAATTACGCCAAAGAGTTTGTGGAATGCCCCTACGTCCCGGATAAATCTTGTGCTTCCAAGATCAAGTTTCCAAAGTTCCCAAAGAAAAGATTCTCTCTTAGCGAGTCTCTAAGTGCGATGTCTTCTGTATCAACTACCTAGAAAAACAAGAGACTGAGAGTGAGAGAGTGTTTCGTTGTTTCTTCAATAAGAGAGAGTGAATGTAATAAGCTTCTTCTATAACTATGATGAATCACTGTAACGAGTCTTTGAATAGAGGAAGTTACACTTACGCCTAGTATGGTAAGAACCCATGTTGCCCAATTGCGATTTCAAAGGCTCGCATTCTTTCACCTCGAGCACTTCCATTTCGATCATATGATGATATCTCATTGATCTTGAGGTCTATCGAAGCCTTGATTAGCTCCTCTCCTACCCGTTTCGCTGCTTCCTGAAATACATAACATGTAATGAGACCATTGGAGACAAACTTCACATTCTCAAAGAAACAACATCATCTAGACTAGTATCTTTTTTTCATCTAGCCTGGAAATGTAATCATTTTCCAAAGAAGACATCAAATTTATCACGGATGAAGCATAGACAATGCCACCAATAACTATAACCATGAGGATATCAAAGCAAAAATCCAACAAAATGCTACTTAATGGACTAAACTCTATAAAAATTCAAGCTTTTTTCTTGGCTCAACTTACAATGACGGTGCATGGAGGATCACCACGAATGGACTTCTGCAATGTACTAGCGTAGAACAAACACTTTTTGTTAAAGTCATCGACCAACATAGCATAGAGCTGCTTCTCTGAACAGAATACTGAAAGTCTTGGTTTTGTTTGTGTTCCGTTAAACTGTCACCCAAAAACGATAGGAAATTTTAAACAATGCTGCACAAAATTTTCAAACTCTCCTGTATTATATAAATGAATCAATGGATGTCTTTAGGAAAGTTACCTTCTTTCTGCTCCTCCGGTTCCTGGTTTTCGGGCTTTCGACTCGAGAATTCCCTCTTGCGTCAATCACAAACGGCTTCACGGACGTCTCTGATCGAAATCCGTGAACCAATTAAGGAAGAGTGAACAATAAGATGGGAAGAAGAAGAAGAAGAAGGGAGTAAGAAGAATCATCATCACTTACTTGTTATTCGAATTGGATAGAAGACACAGGATTTCAGCTGAGTTCCGAAAATGTCGGAAACTCTGAATTGAATAGGAGAGAGAGAACTCAAAGCAGCCATGCGAGGTATCATTCGAGAAGATTACGCCCAGTCAAATAAAGTTGTTCTCTGTGGAATTTAATCAAACACCTTCTGTGCAGGAATGATTTCTGAGTATTACGTACAATTATTCAAAAATGGAAATGTAATGAATAAAAAATAGATTAAACATCGAAGTAAATATCTTTTGTTCGTTTTGTGCTTTATTGAAAGAGGATAAGGATTTGGAATAAAATATTAATTTGTTTTTTTTTTTAAATTTCTCAGTCTCAGCGCGTCAATGGTTCTAGAGTCTTCTGTAACCTTCGTTTTCTCCTTTTTTTTTTGCCAGTTTCCAAATGAAATCACTGTGAAACCCTCGCTAACATATATAAACTCTTGACCCTTTCCTCGCCGAATTCTATCCAATCTTTCAGTTTTCTTCTCCTTCTTCCCCTTCTACTTCTCAGTGCCCAAGAAAGTTAGCTCTTTTTTTTCGTTTTCTGTCGAAAAGGTCTTCTATTTTTTTCTCTTACGATTTTCGGTTGTGTGTTGGCGTGATGGCTTCAGAGGCAGATTTCGCCGAGTTTTCAGCTATGTTTGACAGAATGTTCGAAGGACGCCAAGGCCTCTCTCGCTTCCTACCGCTGATTTTAGCTTTAGCCGGAGAAGCCGATGAGGACGAAGAAACCACCGGGATGACGACGAGACACAGAGAGATCGTGATCGATCCGGTGAATCGGAGAGTGTTGATGATCGGATCGGCTTTGGGGCTCGAGGATCTCTTAAACGACGTCTCAGGGAAACAAGGGAGATCGCCGGCGTCGAAATCATCGGTGGAGAGTATGCCACGTGTCGTGATCGGAGAAGGCCAGGAGAAAGAGGGATCTTGCCCGATATGCCTAGAGGAGTGGTCGGGAGGTGATGTGGCGGCGGAGATGCCGTGTAAGCACAGGTTTCACTCCAAGTGCGTGGAGGAGTGGCTGGGGATTCACGCCACGTGTCCTCTTTGTAGGTACGAGATGCCTGTTGACGAAGAGGAGAAAGAGAAGAAAATCGGCGTTTGGATTGGATTCTCTGTTAGTGGCGGCGAGAGAAGAAGCGGAGAAGACGGAGGAAGAAGAAGACAGAGTAACGGTGGCTCAGACACTCAGGATGAAACAGAGGCTTAGGCTTGGTAGTAGAGTAGAGAAACTTTTGTAAACTTTTTCGTTTTTTTTTTCCGAGTGAATTATCCATTTCAATAAAATTTGGTACTTGGAATTGATTTTTTTTTTCAAGAACATGATTCATTGCAACAAACAACACAAAGACAAAGATTTCATTGTTAAGTAGTTGAAGGTTGAGAGCTTTCTTAAGGGAAAAGGAACTGTTAGGGTTGTGGTTGTGGACTTCCTTGTGGAGTAAGAAGCCTCTCATCTTCTTCTTCTTTCTCTGTTTCTCGTTCTCTGAGTATTTTGATTCCTTGGTATCTTCCCAACATTAAAACCGTAGCCATAGGATTCGTTCCTGGCGATTCTTCAAACGTTGAACCATCAACCACTCTTAATCGTTTAACACCACTCACTTTGTAATCCTCGTCCACGACAGATCCCACAACGCAACCTCCATGGTAATGATAATAAGTTCTCACATTCTCTTTACAGAAGCTCTTAAGCTCTTCATCACCTCCCAAAAGCTTCTCCTGACTTTGTGTCCCCAAGAAAAGCGTCACAGTCTCTGACCTCGCCACGTGTTGAAGATGCAGAACCATCTCTAAGCATGCCTCCATGTCTTCCTCGCTCTCCAAGTAATTGAATCTCACTGAAGGATTCTCTCTAGGGTTAGTGCTGTTAAGCCTGAGCCTCCCTTTGGATTTAGGGAACGCGATTTTCGCTGCTATGGAGATTCTTGTTGTGGTAATGTCAGTTGGAAGAACCTCGGATTCCAGTATGAACTTGTAGTCTTCTGCTATAGCTGCTACTTGAGGTGGCTCCAGTGTTCTGTTTTGCGAGAATCTATCAACAAGAAGAGAGATTGCTGGATTATCCGACATTCTTCTTCCTACTCCTCTGAGATTGACAGTCACAGGAATGTCGAAATCCTTCAGATGTTTCTTAGAACCAATCCCACTCAAGAGAAGAATCTGTGGACTACCTAAAGCTCCAGCCGTTAGTATAACCTCACCTCTATGCTTCTCAACATGAGCTTTATAGCTCTTACTTGAGCTCTCATCACTCTTCATAAACCTAACTCCAACCGCGCGAGTCTTATTACCATCAAAGATCACGTTTCTCACCGTTGCGTTTAGAAGAACAGTGATGCGGTTTGGTTTACCAAACCCTAAAAGATCTGCAGATGTATGCCTTTTCCCACACGTATCATATATGCTTCCACCAATCTTTGTCCCTTGCGTGTGCTCCAAACTATACCCGTTGTAGGGATAAAAACCTGCTTCAAGAAACCCGAAGTGCACAACGGATTGCCATTGAGTCAGCTCCGGCATGAAGACAACCTTAGACTCAACCCATTTGTAAGAATCTTGAACAAGATCTTTGTCCCAGCCAGCTTTCTTCACAAACTCTTCGCTGGCTCGGCTGTAAAATCCACCATTTATAGCTGACGATCCACCAAGAACTCGTCCTCTGTAGTTCTCGATTCCATCTCTAGAGGTGAAACTTTGTGCGACCGATGAGTATTCATCTGCTTTTAGGAGGGAGTATCCAAAGAGATTTCTTTGTTCTACTAATGGATCTCCATAAGGCGAGCCACCGCGTTCAATGACCAGAACAGAGAATTTTTCAGACAGAGTCGCGGCTAAAGAACATCCTGCGGTTCCGCCTCCAACAACGATGTAATCGAATGACTTGCCGGAGATTTCTTTCGGATCAGAGGTCATGTAAGGCATTTGCATTCCTGTAAACAAACAAACAAACAAACAACATTTAATCAAAAGCAGGCATGTATATATTTGCTTCAAAACAAGTCGACACTCTACAATACCGTGTGACAGATTAATGAACATGGAAATGATGAAGATGAACACAGGAGGAGACATGTTTGTTTATTCTGAGTGTTTAGTGGTCTGATGAAAAGGGATTATTTGGTTTATAATGGAAGAGGTTGTGAGTCTTAAGTGATGATTTTGTGTCTCTTAAGGCATCAGCAGTAGTGTAGACATAATGATCTGAGAAAATGGTCAACAAATAGATAACTAAAAAGAAGTTTGTTGCTAAGGAGCGCGTGGTTAGAGATCATGATGCTCTCTTTGTTGGATAATTATGAAATTTTCCTTGCATAATCATATATCCATGCCTTAAAGTTATGCCCGCTTGATCATTATGATTTTTAACTTTAGCTGTTCCAACTAAAAATATGAGTGGATTTACACTCTGGGTCACTTTTGACTTTGAGTTTACATAAAGAGTGACATTTTCTCAGAAGTGCACTTTTTTGTCTTGTTATGAAAGCAGATTCCACTTTTACCCTTAATGAAAATTGGGTGAAAATATGTTACCATTTTTTTGGTTAACGAGAAAGTGGAATCTGATTCTTGTTCGCCGGCTGTTGTCATCGGAAAATTTCTATGGTTACCCAACATAATTCGAAGTTCGATTCTCTGACTATATCAATTAAGATATGCGAAAGTAGATGTGTACAATTATGTAGTGGATAAAAGTTATAAAGAAATTCAGAGTTCATCCAATTGATCTGCAAACCTTCATGAATAGCATATGTGACTTATGAGATCAATGTTTCCTTCTCCATAGATAAGATTAAAACTCCCTGCAACCTGCTCCACAAAACAGAGAAAGAAGAAACAATCCACACAAAACTATCCACATTTGTAGTGTACAAAAATATATGGACAATTTGAAGCATGGACGGAATGTTAAAAACTGAATGAATTCATCCATATGAAGCTATCCAAATTATTTTAGGAGGTGATATACTAGCCATATTCAAAACGAGCAACATAAGAGATGAAGAAATATTTATGGACAATATATTATGGATAGACATTCTGTGGATTGTATGTGACAACATCGTTTATGGAAAAGTATTTATTAACAATACCTAATACAATCTCTGCAAAAGATAATGATACTTCTAAGTCTTTTGTAATTGTATTATCATAACATAAAAAAAAATTAGAAAAAGTAACCTGAGATGATCTCAAGCTTGAGACCAAGAGAGCTAAAGAGTGTTGGAGCCTGTTCGTATTGAGCAATAGACGAAGCAAGTAGAGCAGTTTCTTCTTCAGTGATGATCACTTTCTGTAATTTATATGCCACAATGAACAGAAGAAAGGCCAAGGCCTCAGAGATGATTTTGGAGCTTCAATAGTAATCTTCCCTTTCCACAGAGTTGCCACTTTCTCTTCCCTTCTTAAGTCTTTGGCGAGCTCCTCAAAAAGAAGAACCAAGATCTCTGCGAACGAGTCATGTGTGATCCTTCAGTGATATCTTCTGTACTAGTTCCAGAACATATGCTGCTGGATTAGGCAAGGCTCTGAGAAAACTGTAGACTTCATGGTGCGTAAGAGAAGCTGAGATTCCATGATCTTGCTGGCTGGTGTCATCATCGATAGGTGGCTGCTTCCCACTTTTAACAAGCACATTCTGAATCTTGGTCGAATAGTCCAGCTTTGCCGTCAGCTCGTTTTTCTGCGACCTAAGTTCTTGTGTACCTTGTTCGACCAGTTTCTTCAAGTTACCAGATTCAGACTTGTCCTTCTCGGAATCCTTTAATTTTTTTTATCAATGTCGGAGCTCAGACTCTGCAACTACTTCTCCTTTAACTCTAGCTCTCGAGACCTCTTCTCATTATAAGCTTCAACCAGCTTCAATTGACTGACGCATAACAATATATTAGAAGCACCGGCTTTGAGATCCCCCATTGATTTGCGGAGCTTCTGTCTCTCCAATACATCGAGCTCTCCATGACTATTCTTCTCCATTGAAAGGAGCCGCAGCTGACCCTAGAATTTTCAGACCATAGTCAAAAGCAATTCATCCACATAAACTTGTCCATGGTCTCAAAGCATCCAATTTAAACCATCCACAAGAAACAATTTGTGTCTAAGTGCCTACCAAAAAACTATCCAAGAAGAGACGATGAGAGTTACCATTAGCAGGTCGGAGACGGTGGACCAACACAAAGCCCTGACGTTTTCTTCTCTCAGTGATTAGTGATGAACCCGAGATCCAAAAAGTTCAATCGCTCTCTCTCCTCATCAGATCCGACCAAAGTTGATGTATCAAAACTCCATAGCCTTGAATTCGATGTTTCGTTGTTGTCGAAGAGAACTATTGCCTCAATCAGATTCAAACCCAGAGTGAATGAGGGATGGAAACAGCAGGGAAGGGAGCTACGTGAATTATAAAACTCGACGGAATCGGAAGGTTGAGACTTGACGGAAAAGAGGAGAGGACGATGCAGTAGGAAGGTGAGACTCGCCGGAGTCGGAGAGGCGACAGTTCCCGTGAAAGGATTTTCGTGGAAGGATTTCTATGGAGTTCAGAGAATGTTAAAAAAGAAGTAAAAATTGAAACGAATATGCAGATCGAAGGGAGAAACGGCAAAGAAAGTAGCTTCTTTTAGAGAGAAATGAGAAACAACAACGGAGGAAGAGGTGTTTCCGGCAAGAAGAAAATAGTTCTCCGATGAATTTTTGTCGGAAGAGAAAGGTAAGAATTGTTGAGTAAATGTAAAAAAAAATTAACGCATAAAGATCTCAATGAAAGAGGGCAAGAGTGTAAACTCATATCCTGAAAGTCCACCTCTGATTGAAAGTCACTCTTTCTGTAAAGTATAAGTGAAAAAGTCCCTCAATGTAATATTCTCCAATAAAGTTAGTTAGAAAAAGGAAAAATACAATTAGCCTTAATTCGAAATAATTAACAACATGATAGATGATCTGAAATTCATAATGGTAAAGAGTAAAAGAGAAGACCACACCATTGTTTGAAAAAACCTAAAGCAATGTTTAGTGGACGCAGGAATATATCAAAACGAAATACACACACATTCAAGTCATGTGATTACAAATTAAATATTCAAAGAAAGTACATATTCAAACTACCATCAACACCAATGAGGAGGATTCAAAGTAATATTTGTTCATGAGTTCACATTTCTTAAACGTAATATAAACAACATTTCTCAGAATTTACAACAAGAATTCTTGGTAACACAACACTCTGGACCGTAACCATATTTTAAAGGAGTTGCAAACTTGGATAAATAAGTACAGTAGATATAAGTATGCATTGAGAGTTTTATTCAATAGAGAACAGACTCGGGAAATAACAGACAGGAGTCCCAATGGATTCAGCCGAGAAAGCAACATCATCTGATTGGGTTTCGGGGTCAAGTGTCAACAGTGACCGATTTTTCACACGACCATAAAACAGCAACTTCTTCTTCTTCTTCTTCCCACCGTCCAAAAGTGCTAGTGGAGGGAAGGCGCACCGTGGTGAGAGATCATACAAAAAGACAGTGATTGGCAGATCTATGGAAAACATTTTGACCCATGTCTTGTTGCCTGAATCGAACGACCATATCACTTGGTCGGGCCACTTCTTCTCGGATACGCACAAGCGGTTGTCCAGGTTGCACACCAAGATATCTACAAAATCGGAACTGGCAAAGGGAGCTTTACAGATGACTTGAAAAGCTTCCGTGTGGAGATCGAAAGATACAAGATGAGTCGTCTCCTCGCAGACCGTTAACCAATGAAGCGACCCGTCTACAAACACAGGATCGGTACAACCGACAACCGGATAAGGAGAAGCGGGAGTGACATACCTCCACGAGCTGGTGGTAAAGTCGAAAACTTCGCATGTAGTAGCGTTCTCAAGGCCTAGCTCTGAAGAGTTGTACAGCCAAACGGCCTTGTATGTGCCCGTGATTATGTCTTTACCGAATCCAAGCATATAGTGTGTTCTTGCGTATCCAAGCTCGAAGTAACTGTCTCCTAAGTCGATGATGAGTTGTTGTAATCCAGAGACAGGGAGAGGCCTGTACCATCCAGTGGTGGGATTGACCACAAAACCGGATTTGACGGGATGGTAGAGACAAACCATACCATCACAGCTGTTATAAGAAACAAAGTAGTGTAAGTTCTCCTTCTCCCAAGGAGTAGGGATCCTGACCGACGATGATGAGCCCAAAACAAGTGTTCTTAGAAGCTCTTTCTGCGGGGGCTTCGAACATACGGACACCATGAGAACATCTGGATCTCCTGATTGCTGACGATGCTTCAACTGTCTTTCTTTGAAGAATGTTGATTCGATCGTTGTTTGCCATTGCTTCGATACAGCCTTGGACCTCATCAAAGATTTCACCGGAAGTCGCTCCATGATGAGCTCCACGACATCGTGGGGCAGCGGCGATTCCATCATCAAGCAACGTTTTTTATTTGACATCCTTGTCTTGTCTCAGGAGCCATTGATGATTGATGATGATGAGATACAGAGGCTTTTTTATATACGACAATAAACACCAAAAGCGCTCGAGGAAAAGGAAATACAACAGTTTCCTTTTCTCAACACTTTCGTCCCTCGTGTTTCCCTCCTTTTTCTTCTGGGCTTTGAATTTTTCTCAAATTTTATGATTTAAACCGACGGTCAGATTTGTGTGAGTTTTGTATTAATTTGTCAAGTTCAACACGTTTACAGAAGAAGTAAAAAAATTATTTGTTTTTCAATTTTATTGGCTAGTTCTATTAAAAAATGATGATGTGTAAATGTGTAAATTTTGAATTTTCTAAAAATACATCACTATCTTGTCGATCTATTTGACTTGGCTTCTTCTTTCAGGTTTAACTTTTTCATTTTCCCATAATTAAATTCGAGCAGCTATTTTTTATCCTATCTTCAATGTATTTAACTTCAATTGTTGTTAAAGTGTTGACAACTAAAAACTATCTTTAAACTAGTTTATTCAAAAACAACCTTTTTATCGTTCTTTTTGAATCATGAAATCTGCTACTTTGTTGATGATTTCTTGTGTTCTGATGTTCCTCGTTCTACACCATGTGAAAAGTAATTTTAATCCTGTCAATTGTTCATCTGAATTTATTCCTTTTTACATTTTAACAATTTCTTGGTTGATATAAAAAACAGAGGTGGAAGCTGCTCCTGCACCAACTGGAGTGTGTGAACTTGCAGATCAGTTCCCTGGAAAATGTGGCGATGGCGGAAGCAATATGTGCATAAACGAAATGCAAAAGAAAAAGCCAGAACAAAAATTACGTTGCGAATGTTTTGACCATCCCACTATCATCTTGGGTTGGAAAAAACACATGCAAATGTCGACATGATTGCTAATGACACCGTTACCGAAAACTCTTCAGTAATAATGATTAAGAGATGAAATAATTAAAGAGAGTTTTCGATCCGGTGTTGTGAGAAACTCAGTAGTATAATGTGTTTGCAAACTAGATTGTTATATTTATTTGTTTGGGGGTAAATTATTAAGCTAGTCTCAAAATATAATTATGAGATTCTTAAGCAGGTCTCCAGAAAGTAGATGCAAGACAAAAATAACAATCAAAGCTCTAAACAAATTTGCATACAGATCTTCCAAGATGAGATCACTTTACAGTTCTTCAATGCTCTTCCAAGATCAATACTTGTCAAAAGGTTAAATGTTTTTAAGTAGGTCAAAAGAATCAACCTTTTGATCTTTCTACTCTCTTTGTTCCAGCTACCAATTATAGGCTTTCTCTTTCCCTCTAGAATGCAAAACGGAGACTTGATTCGTCAGATTCTCCAGGCCAAATGAGTTACTCTTCTTGATTTTCCTCGGAGAATCTTTGCTCGAATTACCTCTCAATGAGAGACTTTTCCTTATCCTGTTCCGGTTTATCATGATCATAGTGTTTCTCTGCGGCACATTAAGAGCACTCTCAACACAGTCACCAGCCTGAGCACATCCCCATGGTCTTGTAGATGGCCCATCTTCACAAACCGGTTTAAGCCTTTGAACAATGTTGTGTGATCTTGAATGTTCTCCTTCTTGTTTGCTGCATACTGGACAAGGCGGGTCACTGCGGTGAGCCTTTGGAGTTGATTGGTCAAGACACTCCGCGTGAAAGACATGCTGACATGGAAGCACTCCTGTGACAGGCATGTCCCGGTTTCTTATGATGGAACGAGATCCCCAAGGAGACTTCTGTGAGAGATATCTGTTGCACAATGCACATTTAAACGTACTCGAAGCTGCTACTTGCTGTGGTTTTGTAGACTTACTACTCTCGTCCCAATCAAGAACTGGCTCCGGAACAACATCTAAAGAGTCAATGCTGCTTGTAGTCCCGCTACTCCAACTGTACGCATCCGCAGAGTCAGATGTCGTTTCTCTAACGTTATCTGAACGATGGAGTATAGGATGAACCGGTTTGGAGAGGGAGAAACGCCGGCTTGATAAGTTCCGGTTAGGTTCAGAGTCTCCGATACCAGAAGATGAGAAGGAAAACCCGGTACCGACGTTTCTTGATGTTCCCGTTTGTTGCTTAAGAACTTGATCTGCAGAGAGAAATGTGAAACGATATTTAACACTGATCAAAGCATCTTGAGTTAGCATGTGAACAATGTGAGTTTTAGTGCAACAAACCTCTTCTTGCTGCAGATTCAAAATCATTAGGAGTCCAGTGAAGAGCCTGAGGAAGGTCGGGACTACGAAGAACATTAGCATTTGATGATGTAGAAGATCTATAGAAGCTAATGCCATCGGTTAATCCATGGACGTCCCATCTCGATGAAGGTGGAGAGAAGCTTGTATTAGTCCTCCAATAAGGCTCACGAGGGCCAAACGAAAAATCTTGACTTGCGGAATTTGATCTCTCTGATTTCGCAGCCACACAACAGAGCGAACCCATTCTTAGCTAAATTTCACAAAAAAACAGACTCTTTGGCTCAAAAAAGCCTCCTTTTCAATATGTCTGAGGACTCTCCGAATCGAGCTTAAGGACATCTCCAACTCCATACGAGACACATTGCGCAAACACACCTGAGCAATCACAATAGCACCAAAGTTTCAAACTTTCAATCATCAAAACAAACATTACTCAGGACTTCTACATAAAGACCACACAGACCCAATTCTAATCTGGAAGCTCATGAACGTGAATTTAATCTACCAACCCAGTATTCTACTCATTCATCCTACGACTAGTAAAGATCTGGCCTTTACTTTTTTGGAAATGCGTTTTACTCTTCGTGAAGAAGACCAGAGAAATGAAGAATGACTCACATTGTTGAAATTCTATAGCAGAGATTGTTCATTGCCAATGCATTGTGAGTGAATTACCAATGACAGTAAAATCCGTTATAAAATTGCAGAGATGAGTGAAGTAAAAGGGCTTACTGCTTTGAAACTCGGAGAGAAAAATGAGGAAGAAGACGACTGTTGTCGGAAGAATTGATCCTAATTGCCGCGAATTCGATCGAGAAAAACCCTAATTTCTTGGAAAGGGGACAATTCTGCTTCTTCTTTACTGTTCTGTTTTGTACTTTGTACTTTGTTTGTAGCTTCACCTTTTATCTACAGTAAATCGGTAATTAATGTGATTCAAATTAAAGTTGAATACATTTGCTGACGAAGGAAAAGTCTTAATGCATTTATTTAATTTTGAAAGGAAAGTGATTTCATTGAATTTTTTAGTCAGAGAACATTAATACTACATTTAAATATGCATATTGAAATAACTATGGTATGAATATTTTCTTCTATTATAATCAAGTTGCATGCATCTTAAAAATGATCAATAAAATATCTAATCGGAAATTCATGAAAGAATCACAGATACACAGTTGTGTAATGTGTATTCGTTTGATTATCTTTTTACTAAAAGAATACTATATGTGAGTTAGGCCTAATAAGCAGCCTCTTTAATTTTTATTTTTTTTCAACATGAAAATTATATTAATCAAATGTCAAACAAGCAGGGCCTACAAACGAGAAGTTGATTTCATAATTTAGCGTTACAACTACAATAAATCTTACTTGTAAGAACACAAATGATAGGAGTGAACAGACAGGCCAATCAACTCAGAGTTCGTCATTTTCGCTAGATCCGAACAATCGGTCTCAAAACGGAAGCAATTCAACTTTTGCCCCTCGAGGTCATTAGAAAATCACCCTAGACGTGAGTCCTTGTTTGGCCTGTGTGTAACTTTTAACTAAACCATAAACCTAACTAGAATAAATACATAACGAAATAAAATTTTAGTTACTTGACCGACATGTAATTGATCTAATCTGAAATTCTGTCTGTATACACGATCTGCGTCGACTCCTTTGAGGTATTACAACATTGACTATCAAAATTTCTACGCGTGTTTGCTGAGTAGTTTGTACTTTGTACAGCCTAGCAATTCGATATTACAGATCATTTAAATACTAGTTTGGCAATTGTCACTACCTTGCAAACGGATATTATTTGTTTTCCCTTATCTTTTTGTATTTTAGATACGAATGTGTTCAATCTATCACATGCTGCATAAACTCTATTAACGAAGACTGATTCAGATTAGTTGGGTAACTATATTTAAAAATATATGTAATTTACAGCTTCACATGCAACAAGTCAATAACCCTTGCCAAACAATACAAGTGAGATAAAAAAAAAAATCCAATCCATTATAATTTAATTTCGTTATTTTGTCATTAATTAATCCCATCACATTAGTATTATTTGACAAAATATTGTAAATGTTTCTGGCCGACACTCAAAAGTACTGTGGTTTAAAGCTAGGGCCCGATTGGTGTAGTGGCTGTTAGGACTTTTTGGCATTTTACAGTCTTGAAAGTTCAATTTTTGCCAATCATGCTTTTTGTTCCTATTTTTTCTCTAAAGCCGTAACTGCCGACTTTTAAAATTTTACTCATTGAACTTCTTCATTTTTAAAAGTCTGTTAACGAGACTTTTAGTGGCTGTAAGATTAGGGAATTTTTTTATTATTGATAAATCAAACACTTTTCTTCTAACGCATTAAGATATGTTTACTTATTCCAACATTTTTATTAGATGATGATTTCAAAAGCACATTTCTATTAGATGATGGTTTCAAAAGCTATATAAAAGTGTTTCAAAAATCACTAAATATTTTTAACTCATCAAAGTTTTGATAAATTATACTTTGCTGATAAAAAGAAATATCAGTGAAAAATATTTCATCATAAATAAAAAAATTTGTAATAGGAAAAATAATGTAATATTTTTATTTGTAGATATTTTATATTAAATTTGACTGATTTTCTTTAGTACCCCTTTCTATTCATAAGTTTTAAATTCATTAATGTATTAACTGATATAATTTATATTTTTGACAAAAAAAAATATTATTTAAATCAAAAATAATAGTTTCTAAAGTTCTTACAGCTTTTGTTACTAATCAGACTTTCATTATTTTTAAAAGTAACAGTCACAGTCTCTAAAGTCAAATTCTCTACAGCCTAAAGCCTAAAGCCAAAGTCCTAAACAATCATGCCCCTAATCTATCATATAAATACATTTCTGCCAAACCAAAGAAATTAAAATGTATATCGTTGACTAGCAATTCAATTTATTTTATTTTTGATGAAATGTAACATTGCAAAACCATCTAACGATTTTCATTTGGCTATTTAAAAACTATAATATTTGTAGAAAACCTGATAACTAATGTTTACTAGACACCTATACACTCGCTTTAGAAAAAACTCAGAAAGACTAGTCGATTTGTATAAAAGTCCAATTTTTTTTCTTTCTTTTTTTTGTTAAAGGATTTGTAAAAAAAAGTCCAAATTACACTTTGTTTATATTAAAAAAATATTGCAAAATCAAAATATTGGTTCACCAAACTATTAACTATATACTGATTGATGGCTGTACGATAATTCCCAATGTAGTTGTTGATAAATTTTGGACCACAAAAAAAATAACTTTTGTAATTCAAAAGTAAGATATAATCAATAATCAACTAATCACTAACCTTCGAAGCACAAAAACAATTAAACAACGACGAAAAAGTCATAATTAGCTCGGCATAATCCTCGATCGAAGCCACAAACTAGAAGAAAAAATATACTTTATTTCCAGGTACGTATTATTTAAATACTATTACATGGTTACGTCCTTACGTGCCGTCACGTCCCGAAGAACAGTGAAAAAGAGAATAAATCTAAAAAGCCACCTGTCACGACTAATCTCCAGATATTTATATTTATAGACGTTAGCCCCACTACTTGCTTTCTCTGCTTTCAAACCCCAAAAAAGCCAAAAAAACCATTGAAGCAGAAGGGCAAGAGAGAAGCGGTTACATTCTCCGGATCGACCGGTCAAAGCTCCGATCATCAACGGTTCCTTCTCCGGTAAGCATTGCATGTTCCAGTTTCTTGTTCGATGAATGTTGTAGAATCAAGATCTTGCAAACTGTCTATTTTTTCTTGGTCGGTGGTGTGTCATGGAGCTTGATCGGTTGAATTCGTAAGAATCCGATCGTTAGCTAGCTTTGTGAGGATAGATTTGATCTAGTGAGTAATTTTGTTTCCTGATTTAGCATAGTTGACCGACGAAGTCAAATGTGTTCTTATCTCATCATTTGGCTCTCTTAATTTGTGTTAGCAGATTTTCATTTTCCTTGGAGAAGCAATGTTTGTAATGATCCGAGATCTGATCATTATATAGTTGGATTTTATTATCTCCCTTTAAACCTGAATTTAGAATTCTCAAAAATATTTTTTGAAAGTGTTAAGACTTTTAATAACTCTGTTTTTGTGTATTAATTTCTTCAGTATTTTTTATTTGGAAAGCAAGAAGCTTTAAACTTGCGGCATTGTGTTGAAATGGCTAGTACACTGAGGAACATTCATGGTAAGAGATCTAATTTGCAATCTGAGTTTAGTGGAAATGGTGGAGGAAGTAAGAGAAGAAATCTTCATGATGATGATACAGATCACAACGTTATCGGGTCAGAAGACACTGTGTACCGCTACTTGTGCCCCGTGAGAAAGACCGGAAGCATTATCGGGAAAGGTGGTGAGATCGCTAAGCAGATTAGGTCTGACACCAAATCAAACATGAGGATCAACGAGGCTTTGCCCGGGTGTGAGGAGCGTGTTGTCACCATATATTCAACCAGTGATGAGTTAAACCATTTCGGAGACGATGGAGAGCTTGTTTGTCCTGCTTTGGATGCTCTTTTCAAGGTCCATGACATGATTGTCACGGACATTGATGCTAATGTTGATGCTGATGATGATGATGGAGAAGATGATGATGTTAGTGAAAGAAAACAAACGGTGACTGTGAGGATGCTTGTGCCGTCAGACCAAATTGGTTGTGTTATTGGGAAAGGTGGTCAAGTTATTCAGAATCTTCGTGTTGAAACCAATGCTCAGATTCGTGTCATCAAAGATCATCTTCCTGCTTGTGCTTTGACTCTGAGTCATGATGAGCTTCTTCAGGTGATTGTTTATACTTTATACACTCACTATATAGTTTTGTTTATAAAAACAAAGGTCACTGAGTGTGTTTGATTTTTTTTCTTCAGATAATTGGAGAGCCTTTGGTTGTGAGAGAGGCTCTTTACCAAGTTGCTTCACTGCTTCATGCTAATCCGTCAAGGTTTCAACACTCACTCTTGACGGCTCCGAGCTCCATGCATCAACCTGGTGGGATGTTGATGTCTGCGGCGCTAACGAGCTCTCACAGGAACTACGCCGTGCATAGAGATATAGCAGACGCGAGGGAGTTTTGTGTTTGCTTCATCTGTCCGGCTGAAAATGTCGGAGGTGTGATAGGGAAAGGTGGTGGTTTCATTAACCAGATCAGGCAAGAAACTGGTGCAACGATTAGAGTCAATACCTCGGAGACTGATGATGAGGACTGCATCATTTTCATTTCATCAAAAGAGGTAAATATAATGCTTAATCTCTTATATGGTTATATCTCATATCATTGCTTTTCAAATACGCTAGGTTTTTTCTGATATTTTTTGTTTGATTTGGTTTGTTTGTGTAGTTCTATGAAGATCAGTCTCCAGCGGTAAATGCAGCAATACGCTTGCAGGTTCGGTGCAGTGAGAAAGTGGGCAAAGATGCGAATGATTCAGCAATATCCACTCGTTTGCTTGTGTCGAGTTCTCAAATCGGGTGTCTCATTGGGAAAGGTGGAGCTGTTATATCCGAGATGAGGAGTGTCACACGAGCTAATATCCGTATTCTCCAAAAGGATGATGTTCCAAAAATTGCGCGTGAGGATGAAGAAATGGTTCAGGTAATACACATATTCGGATTGTGTTTGGACTTGTTTTTGATGTTAATCTAAAGCCCCTGTTCCATTTTTGGTTGCGGTCAGATTACAGGAAGTCCTGATGCGGCCATGAAAGCTCTTACGCAAGTGGTTTTGCGATTGAGAGCTAACGCTTTCGACATGGATCACGGACTTGTCTTGATGCCAACATCTTTTCCATATTTCTCTCAAGTGACCGAAAGTTCGAGCAAAGCCAAATACGCAAAACGCGATGGTGGTAAAGATCACGACCATAGTAAACTAGTATGTCTACTTGCCCACAAGATTCGAGTATGTCAAATGTTATGTGCATCAATCGAGATATTTCACTAATGTGTATATGATATGTTGTTTGTTGCAGAATTCGAACTCCAAGAGAAGAAACAATGCTTCTTAAATCGAGTGAAAACCATCTTAGAAAAAAGTAATGCTTTTATGGTTTTCTTTTTTATTCAAAGACATATAAGAAGTTGATGCAATTTTTGTTCTTTCAAAAAGATGTTACTTGTAGAAAGAAGAGAAATATGTTGTTTATGTAATTCACAAAAGAAATGTAAACACGAGGAGTGTGTATCTTCATCTTTATTTCTACTTTGGACCATATTATATTTATATTGTTTGAATTTTCACGAATGCTTTCATTAATTCTACTTCTTGGCGTGAAATAAATTGTGACATCACTTTCAGTCCTTCTTTATGGACTTGATGTTGTTAAACTAAAAACTGAAAAAGTTGTTCGTCACTGGAATAAGCCCCGTTCTGTTTGAATCCAGTGAAGGACCCCAAGTGAATTACTGTTAATCGGCCATAATATCTTCGCCGGAGAGACCATGAAGGCTCCACACACGAGTCTCAGCCCGATTGTGTCTCTCCAAGCACAAGACTCTCTCGTTACCGAGGCCGCATCTCTACGGAAGGTGGCCCGGCGACTTTCCTGGGCCTAGACTTTGACAAGCCCATAGCCCAATCACTTCTTCCAGTGACGATTGTTAACAACCATGGGTCTTTGCTTTATTTATATCACTGTGATCCCAGAAATATAACCGATGTGGGATGTTGTTCGTGTGTTCACCTATTCACTGGTTCATTCAATTTCAAGCTATCTATTTGAGTATTTTCTCTATGTGAATAAAATATTTTTTTACTACTATCAGAAAATTTACCATCAAATTAGTGAACACTTCATAGTTTATAGATTGTTAGCTAGGGACATGAATATAATGCCAAAAGGAGAATTCCTATTTGTTGTTGTTGGATGTAACAAATTAGAGCAGGTAAAGAGAGGATAGAAAAGCACAAGATTACAAAACAGTCTTTGCTCATGATATGTCCTCAGCAAAAACCTAAATTATCTGTCTTTATATGAAGGGATATATGAATACTACACTTATGCTTTACAATTTCCTTATAATATTATATTCTTCATTGCAAATTCAGCTATTTCAAAGTCCTATCTACTTCTTGAATTGTCTTCACTATTTGAGATTTATATAAGTTGCGCGCACCCTCTCGTGTAACAGTCGCAAAGAAAGAAAAAATGGAGGAAGAAAAGCAGATTGAAGCTGGAGAAACTTCAACATCATCCATCAAAGTTATAACTTTGGAGCCAAAGTTGATTATAAACAAAGGAATATTGATCACTGGATTCGTTCTGCGTTTATTTGCTGTTTTTGGAACTATAGGAAGCGCTCTCGCCATGGGAACAACAGAAGAATCCGTTGTCTCTTTGACTCAGCTTATACTCCTCAAAGCTAAATACAGTGACTTGCCAACGCTCATGTAAAAGATTCAATGTTCTAAACATATAATTACGTATAATATGTTGCCAGTGATTATAAATGTATAACAAACAATATTGCTCTGTCTTGTAGGTTTTTTGTAGTTGCAAACGCAATTGCTGGTGGATATTTGGTTCTTTCTCTACCTGTGAGTATCTTTCATATCATCAGTACAAAAACAAAAACTTCCAGAATCATCTTGCACATCATTGATACGGTAATTCTCTTCCTCTTTTTTATTTGTTTGTTCAATATTATCTAAAACCTAACTTGTAATCCAAGCAAACTTCCACTTTTATGAAACCCGTATATGTGATAATATTATGCTTCTTTGTACTAATTATTATAAGGTGATGTTGGCGCTGGTGAGCTGTGGAGCATCAGCAGCAACAGCGACCGTGTATTTAGCTCACGAAGGGAACACAACCGCTAATTGGGCACCCATCTGCCAGCAATTCGACGGTTTCTGCAAACGCATCTCCGGATCTCTCGTTGGTTCTTTCTGCGCAATGATCTTCCTCATCTTTATTCTTATCAATTCTGCTATCTCCCTCTCACGCCACTAAGATATACTTGTGTCTTGAATCTTCACTAATTAAGGTCTTTAACTAAATTTATATCGAATGTATTGTGATGTAGCTAGTGAGTCCAGAAATTTCATGTAAAAAGAGATGTATGTACAAGATAGTTAAGCAAGAAGCTCCACCACGTCGTCGATCGATTTCAATGTCTTCTCGTAGTAGAGATACGACTCGTACACCTTTGGCGTCCTTACGTAGAAATCCAACTACATTTACATCACAAACATTTACCAAAATTATCTTTAGTCATTGATACAAATTTGAAATATCTTGTGAGTTAAAGTTTTACTTCTCTATGTTCGTGTTTTTTATACTCAAACCGAAAAATCTTTTAACATGTGAATTCCAAACAAAATAAAACTTGTTACTCGTTATATTCAAATTAAAATTTATATTTAATCAATCTAATAAATTATTCACGTCAATCATGTATTAAACGAAAATATCGATTAAATTATATATACCTCACTCATGTTTTGGACAAGCGAATTAGCGGCCTGAACGTAATCATTCCGGCGACTCTCCGGCAAGATGGTCATGGCGTTGGTCAGATCCCGATCCAGATAAGACTGTTTCACTCTTATGTAGAAAATAACGTACCTCCACGACATGTGGTCCAACATCTCCCTCATGTCTCTTAATCCTTCCGCCGTTTGCTTTATACGCGCCGCCGCATCCTCCGGCGATAAGTCCGGCATGAAATATTTTTCCTTTATGAATGACCTTGTCCCCCATTTCTCCTCTGCTACTGCTGATGACGTGGCAATTACGGAGCCGCCGATGCCCGTGAGTGTTATGAGTGAGGTTAGGGTTCTCCGGCGAGTGAAGCTGTTCTTTTGTGATTCTCCGGCGCAGCATAGGACGGAAAATGGTGGGTTTTGGCGGCGATGGTAATTTGGCCGGCGGAGATATGGTGGCGGAGTGCTGGTGGTGACGGAGCTCATTTGTTTTGGATTTTTCTTACGAAGTATTTATGTTAAGGATAGGAAATGGGAGGAGCTGAATAATATTGTCTACTCGAACTTCATCTTTTGTCACGCTCGTATCTCTCAATTTGTATATTTCATGAAAAAATATACATTTTAAATTGAGTTAAAGTGGGCCTATCAGACTAAAAGGCCAACATTGTAAGCTCACAATGATCTAGACGAAACACTTATAAGAGAGGAAATCCTAAAATTAAAATGTAAGAGAATATTTTTTTTATAAGAAGTTGGATGCATGCATCTCATATTCTCATGTCAACATGTTGTTTTTATAGTTTTGCTAAAACTAACACATATGTCTTAGTTTTACAAGATTTTGACATGTAGTTGAACAAAAAAGGTCCTCTAAGTTTATGGTATACACAAAAAATAAACAACTGTAAGTGTCAAAGATTCAAGATTTAATTATGTAATTGGTTTTTGGTGTGTTTTAGTGTTAAGATATATGTCCACCTTTACTTTGAAATGAAAATTATATTAAATATTAATTTTGAGATAACTTTAAAGTGTTATAATTTAGAAAAAGTTGTGTAAATCTCAGCTTAGTTAGAAGTATATCTACTTAACTCTGTAAAATTAACATTAAGTGATCATATTAATAAGATAATTTTTAAATCATTATAATAGTTTTATAAATAGATTGTAAAACAGGTTATATCACCACCACCTCTAAATGTATCTTGTTCTTGTGAATTTTTAAGCTATAGATTAATATTGGGTTTATAGGTTATTGTATAGTTTGAACTTGTATTTCCAAACCTTTCCATAAGCCAAAAATAATTTTTTAGAAGCTATGACGCATCACGGTGAAACCATTCCGTTGATAGACTTGAAAGAAGTTTCTAATGAGATGTTGAATCAGAAAATCCGTGAAGCAAGTGAGAAATGGGGTTGTTTCAGGCTGGTCAACCACGGAATTCCCGTGGAACTGATGTCAGAAATGAAGAAGACCGTTGGAGATTTCTTTGATCGTCCATACGAAGTGAAACTGCAAAACACCAATGTGTTACAAGGACATGGTTACAAGTCTCCAGATGAAATCAATCCTTTTCATGAATCGTTGGGGTTTTATGACATGGCATCTTGTGAGGCTATCAACACTTTTTGTGATCAACTCAATGCCTCTGCTGATCAAAGGTTTTGTTTTGTTTTTATTCATTGAGGTTTTTTATTTTGTGATGAAACATGGATTTATGTCATTTTATGGACGTTGGGTTTGTTTCTTGGTTACAGGGAAACTATGATAAAGTATGCCAAAGCTATTAATGATCTTGCAAAAGATTTAGCTAGGAGATTAGCAGAGAGTTACAGTGTTAACACCGACATTTTCAAAGGATGGCCAATGGTGTACCAAATTAACAAATATAACTTGAAACCAGAAACAGGATCTAATATGCGATTACACACTAATTCTGGGTTCTTGACAATCCTTCAAGATGATGAAAATGTTGGTGGACTTGAAGCTATGAACAATTCTTCAGGAACCTTTTTCCCCATAAACCCAATGCCAAACACACTAGTTGTCAACCTTGGCGAAATGGCTACAGTGAGACTGATAATGATAATAATCTTATAAGAAAATATGATCCAACTTTTTTCAACCAAACTATATATTAATACACATAATTTTTTACTTTTTGGGACAGATATGGAGCAATGGAAGGTTGTGCAGTGTGAAGCACAAAGTGCAATGCAAAGAAGCAAAATTCAGGATTTCAATCTCCTCTTTCTTATTAGGACCGGTGGATGCAAATCTTGAAGCTCCAGATGAGTTTGTTGACGCTGAGCACCTCTCTACAAGCCTATCAGCCAAGAAGAATTACATCATCTTAGAAGGTCAAGGAAGCGTCGTGATGGCCAAGTTCTCGAGCTTATAACAATGAAAGATTCGTCAAAATGTTCCAAAGACAAATTAAACAGATGCACTATATGCTAACCATAAACTGCATTTATTTTTTTTATTTTTTATTTTTTTTGTCGACAGCCTCTGTTTTTACAACTCAGGGATCCAAGCTGGAAGAACAGAGTTTACATAGTACACACTAGTAGGTAGAGCTCGAGCACTCCGTGCTAACTTGTCCGCCTTCGTGTTGTTGGTTCGCGATATGTACATAATGGAGCACGAGGTAAAACATCTTCTACATCTGTCAATCTCGTCCAAAAGTATCCGAAAAACTGGCCACTCCTCAGGTTTAGACACCATCTGTACCACGTCGGAGCAATCCGTTTCAAACACCATTTCTAACTTGTTATGTCGCAGCATACATTGCATTGCCCATAGCAAGACTTCCACCTCGGTTTGAAGGGAAGAAATTCCCCTCCACAGGTTACATGTGCCAAAATGCTCTTCGCCTGTCTCCATATTAAAATTGTACCATCCTAATCCCGCTCGAGAATCCGATTCCTTCCAGGCTCCGTCCACCTGACATCGATCACCCATAAAACCTGAGTCCACCGTGTCTGCCAAAGGTACACTCACTGCGCCCTGGCGCGTTTGAGCGGACGCCCAGGCCGACGCCTCTGCTGCCGCATGATTGATAATCTCGTAAGGATCCCAATCTACGTTAGAGAAGACCTTATCGTTTCGGGCTTTCCATATAAACCAAATTAACCAAGGGTACATTCTCATCCTATCATCATCTGGTAAATTCCAGAAAAGATGTGCCACATTCGTAAACAAACCTTCCGTTGGGAACCTGCTAATGGCTGTTGGAACGGGAGATAACGCCCAAACCTGTAACACCGGTGGGCATTCAAAAACCATATGATTAATCGTTTCTGCCGCCATTCCACAGCGCATGCATAGTGGATCAGTCTGTATACCACGGCTCCGTAATCGTGCTCCCACTGAGATACACCCCGATAAGATTTGCCATAAAAAATGTTGAAGTTTTTGGGTGCAGGGTATTTTCCATGCCTGTGCCTGAAGGCGGCAGACATCTGGGCCAAAATGTGGCCTGGTGTCATCCTCTCTAGACCTTTCGGCCAGTGTGTACCCTGATTTAACTGTGTACTGTCCTGTCTTTGTATAAAACCATCTGAGCGAGTTCGGCCTATCCCGCTGTGCTGTCGGCATCCCCATAATGAGGGAGATATCCGTACTCTCAAAAAGTTGATTTAATAGTGGAAGATTCCACGTTGATTTTCCAGGAGTCATTATATCCCGCACTCGGAGATGTGGGTAATAATTTATCCCGTTTCCCTGTGCTGACCTCGGGCGAGATGCTAGAATCCAAGGATCATCCCAAACTGAGATAGATGATCCCGAACCAACTCTTTTGATAAACCCTTTGTTAACCAGAGGTCGAGCTGATACGATACTCTGCCATCCGTAGGAAGGAGAGTAGGATTTTATGGGGTCCAAAGGAGTGGCATTCCGATAATAACGTCCTTTGAAGACCCGTGAAAAAAGTGATCCTGGGCTATCCAGCAGGCGCCATAGTTGCTTTGCCAATAGCGCCGTATTGAAATCCTCGAGGACCCTGAAGCCCAAGCCACTCTCAGACTTATGCTTACATAACTTATTCCAAGCCAACCAATGTATCCCTCTTGTTTGTCCATTGTTACTCCACCAGAAATTTGATACCGCACTAGACAACTTGTTTGTGACTCCTTTAGACAGTCTAAAACAAGACATTATATGCATAGGCATAGGCAACTGCATTTATATGTCATGCATATTTGTTAGCTTTGCTTAAAAATAATAAATAATGATGCACCCATTGTAAAAGAAATAAAAATAACAAGTGATGTGGTTAATTGATTTTTGCTATATATATGGGTAAAATTTACCTTGAAATATCTCTTGATTTTCTATGTTATTTTGCTAGCTTTTGCATGAGGTAATGTCTGTTGAAACGACGTCGGTGTCATACATTATGAAAAATAATTTGTTGACAAAACGACGTCACTGTATAGGTAATGTATAATTCCTAATTGAATCAGTAGTCTTCTTCTTCTTCGTCACTGAGTTCCGTTTCGTATCCCGTCCGGTGAAAATGGAGCGTAGCCGAGTGACCGGAGAACCATCGACTCAAACCAGGATTTTGCTCGCGTCACTATCTGCGATGGTCGCAGAGACAGTCACGTTTCCGATCGATCTCACAAAGACCAGAATGCAGCTCCACGGTTCGGGATCCGCTTCCTCCGCTCACCGAATCGGCGCCATCGGAATCGTCTCTGAGATCGCGAGGCAGGAAGGAGTGATTGGTCTCTACAAAGGTCTATCTCCGGCGATTATCAGACACCTGTTCTACACTCCTATCAGAATCATCGGGTACGAGATTTTGAAAGGACTCATAATCAGATCCGAATCCAACAACGGCGAGTCTCTTCCTCTCGCCACAAAGGCCCTCTTCGGAGGAATATCTGGTGTTATAGCTTAGGTAACGATGCTTCTTCATCTAATTGGATCTTTAGATTCTCTAAACCGATCAGTTGGTAGAATTAGATTTACAAATTCCCATTGAACAATCGATCTCTAATGTTTAGCTTCCATTGAAAATGCTTCGTTGAAGAAGGAATGAAGGAGATTTTGTCCCAATTTTCTTGATTTTTAGGCCTATTATTTGTTCTTCACCAAACTAAATTGCTTCGTATTGTGTGTTGATACTAGAAATGCAGGTAGTGGCAAGTCCAGCAGATTTGGTGAAAGTGAGAATGCAAGCAAATGGTAGATTGGTGAGCCAAGGCCTGAAACCGAGATACTCAGGCCCGATCGAAGCGTTCACCAAGATCCTACAATCAGAAGGAGTGAAAGGTCTATGGAAAGGTGTGGTTCCAAACGTACAGAGAGCGTTTCTAGTGAACATGGGAGAGCTGGCTTGCTACGACCACGCCAAGCACTTTGTCATCGAGAGAAAGATCTCCGGGGATGACATATACGCGCACACCCTCGCGTCGATCATGTCGGGTCTTGCTTCCACGACGCTGAGCTGCCCGGCTGATGTGGTGAAGACGAGGATGATGAGTCAGAACCAGGGGGAGAGAGCAGTGTACAGAAACTCTTACGAGTGTTTGGTGAAGACGGTGAGGATTGAAGGAGTGAGAGCTTTGTGGAAAGGTTTTTTCCCGACTTGGGCTAGGCTTGGTCCATGGCAGTTTGTGTTTTGGGTCTCTTATGAGAAGTTTCGACACCTTGCTGGTCTCTCTTCCTTCTAGTCCCCACTCTCTCTCAAGTAGCATCATCTTCTATTTGTTGGCTATTTGTAATTGGTATCCAGAACAAGCAAAAGTGATGAATCATCTTCTTGATTTAGCCTAATCCATTACTGCGTTTCTTTGATTTTCATTTCGTTGATGACTATGTTAGCTGTTGGAATCGTGACATTTTAGATCATTAGTCAAAAAAATTTAAGATAAAAATCTTTTGATCCTATCTGGTCGCACGGATTTAGTATCTAAATATGTAGACAGATCCTATCTTATCCAAAAAAAATACCATTATAAGCTGTGATTTGGCGAGCTTATAAAAAAGGACAGATCTCTCTTTGTCTTCTCCTCCACCTGTGAAAGTAAGATCAACTATGGCGGATCTCTCTCTTCCTCATGATTCTCTTTTCCTCGGATTCGACAGTTCTACTCAGTATGTTCCCTTCCCTCCGATTTAACCAGTTAACTGATTTTCGTTTCTCTGTTTTCAGAAAAATCGAATTTAATTTACAGTCCTTGATCACAATATGTGTCCGATGATTATGGAATCCGTTAGTTTTGTGATCAATTGATAAAAAAATTCGATCTGAATTGTGATTTCGTCAGGTCATTGAAAGCAACTGTGTTGGACTCAGAGCTGAACATAGTGACGACCGAGCTCGTTCATTTCGATTCCGACCTTCCTCACTACAAAACCAAAGACGGTGTTTACAGAGACGCCAACGTCAACGGCAGGATCGTGTCCCCTACTCTCATGTGGGTGGAGGCATTGGATCTCATCCTCCAGAAGCTCTCCAGTGCCAATTTCGATTTCAGCAAAGTCGTTGCGGTTTCAGGAAGCGGGCAGCAACACGGCAGCGTCTACTGGCGAAACGGTAGCTCCGAGATATTGCAATCGTTGGACTCAAAGACATCTTTAAAGGAACAGCTTGAAAACGCCTTCTCTGTCAAGGAGTCTCCGATATGGATGGATAGCAGCACCACAGTAGAGTGTAAAGAGATTGAGAATGCTGTGGGAGGAGCCATGGAGCTGTCGCAGATCACTGGCTCTCGTGCTTACGAACGTTTCACTGGTCCGCAGATACGGAAGCTTTTTAAAGAAGAGGCGGGTACGTATGAGAGCACGGAGAGGATATCTCTTGTTAGCTCCTTCATGGCGTCTTTGTTGATTGGAGGTTATGCTTCGATTGATGAGACTGATGCAGCTGGGATGAATTTGATGGATATCAAGAAACGTTGTTGGTCTAACGCTGCTTTAGAGGTTTGTTTGTGGAGTTTGTTTTTTGAGTGTATAAGTTTAGAGAGTGTAATGAGAGGCTTTTTTGATTTTGCAGGCTACAGCTACAGGTTTGGAGGAGAAACTTGGAAAGTTGGCTCCAGCTTATGCTACTGCTGGTTCTATTTCTCAGTATTTTGTTCAGAGGTCAGTATTATCAATTGTGACCACTCTTGTGATAAAACATAGCTTAGAGTTTTGAAATTATTGTGGTTTGATTGCAGATTCGGTTTTGAGAAGAAGTGTGTGGTGGTGCAGTGGTCAGGAGATAATCCTAATAGCTTGGCAGGTCTGACTCTTAGTACTCCTGGAGATCTAGCGATCAGTCTTGGGACGAGTGATACGGTAAGGCTCACAGGGTTTTATTGACATGTGTACTTTCCCATTTCTCATGTCTTAACATTGTAAAACTCTTGACAGGTATTTGGGATAACGAAAGAGCATCAAGCAAGTCTTGAGGGACATGTGTTTCCTAATCCTGTGGACCCGGAGAGTTACATGGTAATGTTGGTTTACAAGAATGCTTCTCTCACACGTGAAGGTACGCTCTTACCTCTGTTATTAGGTTTTGCTTTGTTTGCTTCTCAGAAACAGAATAATATGTGACTTTTACGTTTTCAGAAATCCGTGACCGTTGCGCTGAGGGATCTTGGGATGTGTTTAACAAGTACTTGCAACAAACACAGCCACTAAACGGTAAAGTTGTTGCCAATTCCATAATCTTTCAGGTGTGTTCATCTATAATATATTCAGATTCTTTCTTTTCTTCTGTATCCATTAGATGGGAAACTCGGCTTTTACTACACTGAAAATGAAATCCTCCCTCCTCTTCCCGGTATGTTCTCAAGTTATTCTCCTTTCCATCCCCATTGTTCTCGGCCACAAGACTAATGTTTTCTCCCAATGCTTAGCTGGCTCTCATCGTTACGTTCTTGAGAACTTCTCCGGTGCGTCTCTTAAGGGTGTGAAGGAGCGAGAGGTCGATGAGTTCGACCCTCCCTCAGAGGTTAGAGCAGTGATTGAAGGTCAGATTCTTTCAAAGCGGGCTCACGCGGAGAGATTCGGTATGCCTTCTCCTCCATTCAGAATAGTAGCCACAGGAGGTGCATCTGCCAACGAGAACATTCTGAGTCTGATCTCGGCAATCTTTGGATGTGATGTATACACTGTACAAAGGCCTGGTAACGACACTTTTAACATAAAAACAAGTTGCAGCGTGCTTTACTTGTTGATTTCTTTCTAATGAACAAAATTTATGTATGTTTTGTGTGGACAGATTCAGCATCACTTGGAGCTGCACTGAGAGCTGCTCATGGGTGGCTCTGCAACAAGAAAGGAAGCTTTGTGCCCATCTCAAATCTATACGAGGGGAAATTGGAGAAGACGTCTTTAAACTGCAAGCTCAAGGTAAAAGCAGGAGACGAGAAGGTGGCTTCCACCTACGGTTTGTTGATGACCAAGAGGATGGAAATTGAGAAGCAGCTTGTGGACAAGTTAGGACACTTCTGATTATTAGTAAGAATAAATTAGTTCACAACTGGTTTAGTTTTTACTTTTTCGTACTCAATTAACTTTGACCAGCTTGGTTTGAAGTCCAAATGCTTTAAATAAAATTGAGTTAATTTCCTCTAAACTTCACAACGAACTAAAGTAGTTATGAAGTAAAAAAAAGTGTATTGATGTACTTGATAAATAAACTCTGTATTAGAAAATATACAGAAGTGTATGTGAATCTGTATATCAAAGGAAAATTATAGAATTTTATGTATGTTAACGAATTACGATCTTGTACAGTAAAGTGAGTGTATTATTGGGTTTTGTTCATGTATTAAACAGAAAAAGAAATGAATCTATATAGATTCCCTTGCATTTCTCGATTTCTTTCCTTTGAGAAAGAGAAGAAATCAAGAAATTGGCGCGTGGAAAAGGAAGGTTATTTGTTTTCTTGCGCACGTGAAAACGTTAAAGTGTAAAGGCACTGACGTCATATAAAAGCAGAAACCACACGACTCTGTCGGAAGAAGAAAAGTCTCTGCAGATCCAAAGTACTTTAAGCTCGATTTCGGTCTTCAACTTTGTTCTCCTTTCTCGCCTTCTGCAAGTCACTTTCCACTTCATCTACTCCTTCGTTTTCACCCGAGAATTAAGGTTCCTATCATTTCTGAAATCTTTTTGAGTAGACTAAGAAGAGTTCCAAATTTAGACGTCACTGATATTTTCAGCCTAATTCATTACTGGGTTTTTCTTCAGTTTAGATGTAATTGATGCGTAATCAGAAGGAGTAGTAAAAGCGATGAATCATCATCTTGTTAATTTAGCCTTGTTCATTTCTGGTTTTATTTGATTTAGACGTAGATTTCTTTTTCACTGATGACTATTTTAGTTGTTGGAGTTGTCACGTTTTAGATCATTAGTCGATTTAAGATAAAACAAATTGTTAAACATTTTTCTTTTGATTCGCTGGAAGTCTTTGTCGAATTCAGACATACTTTAGTGATTTGATAAGAGAGATTTGTCTTCATCGAAACTAATATTTTTTTCTTTATAACATTGGACTTAGGTTGTTGTGCTGAGTAGAGAAAGAAAGATCTCTCTGTTTTTCAAAACTCTCCATTGATGATAATGGCTGAGCTCAACGGAGTCATCATTCCAACGATAGACTTGGGAGAGGTTTCTGATAAGATCTTGAATGAGAAAATCCGTGAAGCGAGCGAGAGGTGGGGATGTTTCAGAGTGATCAACCATGGAGTTTCACTCTCTCTGATGTCTGAGATGAAGAAAACCGTTATGGATCTCTTCGAACGTCCATACGAGGTGAAAAAACGTAACACCGATGTGCTGCTAGGAAGTGGTTACAGAGCTCCAAACGAAACCAATCCTTATTACGAAGCGTTGGGTCTCTACGACATGGCTTCTCCTCAAGCTGTCAATACCTTTTGTGACCAGCTCGACGCTTCTTCGGAACAAAGGTTTCTCTCTCTTTTTTCTTTTGGTTGGTCTCAAAAGGGTTCTTGATTCTTGACAAGAACATTGATTTGTTTTCTTGATGGATTTTGGGGTTGCAGGGAGATAATGGTTAAGTATGCGAAAGCTATCGTTGGACTTGCAAAGGATTTAGCTAGAAGACTAGCAGAGAGCTACGGTCTGGTTGAGACCGATTTTTACAGAGGATGGCCGAGCCAGTTTCGGATTAACAAGTATCACTTCCAACCGGAAGCCGTTGGGAAACTCGGTGTGCAGTTACACACTGACTCTGGTTTCTTGACGATTCTTCAAGATGATGAAAACGTTGGTGGACTTGAAGCCATGGACGCTACTTCAGGAATGTTTTACCCCATAAGTCCGGTGCCGAACACGCTTGCTATCAACCTTGGAGACATGGCTGCGATATGGAGCAATGGAAGGTTGTGCAATGTGAAGCATAGAGTGCAATGCAATGAAGCAACAAAGAGGTTTTCTATCGCCTCGTTCTTGTTGGGACCGATGGATACAGATTTGGAACCGCCTAGCGAGTTTGTGGATGAGGAACATCCTCGACTATACAAGGCTATTAGTCACGATGGGGTGCGAAATATTAGGATGACTATGAAGTTGCATGACGGAGAAGCTCTCAAGCATATAACCTATGAATGATTGATTACTTAAATATAACATAAAAGGTTAAGATATGAAACCAAAAGACTTTTATTTTTGTTAGATTTTTATAAGAATGAGAAATAACTCGCAATGTGAGGTGAAGGAAAAGTTATGTAAAAGGTATGATTGAAATGAAATAAAGATGAATATGAACAAACATTGGTGATGATTTATATTGCTTTAGGGAACAATGAGGGTCCTGGAAGAAGATCCATTTGGGGCATCAACTAGCTTAAGCCCTGGAATCCAATCCTCACAATTCATTACAAAAGGGGAGATTTTGATTGCCTTGGCTTGACAACCATAGCGCGGAGCTCTAATAAAACAAGGCTCCATCGACATGGCTCGGACACATGGTGGGTCAGGAGCTGTGCTGTTCTCTGGCTTGTAGAGTATCCATGGCTTCAACCCTCCAAGACTATGAGCAATATATCCAAATGTAGACCTTGCGGTTGTGACAATGTTGTCAGTTAAGCTCAGGAGGTAGATCTCGGCCAACGCCTTTTGGTCGTGAAGCTTCTTGTCTGTTTGTTGAACCTTTTCTCCACTTGGTTGATAAATTTTAATCATCTCTCCTGCCGTACTTGGTCGTCCCCAAAACATGCTCTTTAAGTTCTCAGAGTACTCTGGATGCAGAGATGTGACAAGAACAGCTTTAAGTTTCTGGCTTCTTGATGTAGTATTAGTGACTTTTGATTCTTCTTGTGTAGAAACTTCAGGCAAGAGCTTCTCTCTTTGTGTGCAGGCTAGGATCTGGTCCATGACGTGCTGGAAATATCCAGCAGGCCTGCTAAAGACTCTTACTTGAATCCCAAGTCTCTCGTCTGCTCTGGCTAAGTAAGCGTTGTAGGATCTAATGACCATACCCCAAACTTGGTTTGTAGGGTGAAGAAGATACCGACTCAAATGGTGGAAGACAGTATCTTTCTGTGGGAATAGCTTGATGAGTTCGGTTTGAAAACTAGGGATTAACCATAGAGATGGAATAAAGTAGAGGTTAGATTTGGCGACCAGCCAAGGGACTTGCCCGATGAGATTCTGATCTTGTTCACAGAAGAACATCTTATCATGCTTCTTGTAATCATGCATCAGATAAAGAAAGAGGTAAGACGGTAGTGCAGTCGAGTGAATGGCATGGTTTTTCAACATTGTTCCGTAACGATGTGAGTGTCCCCACTGGAAGCGATCTATCTGATCTGTCAATGGAAAATCCAGTGGAAGCAACCAAGAAGAACCTGGAAAAGGCTCACAGAAGAGATCAGTTATACCCTTGCGTTGGTCAACAAGAATGACTCTCTCTGTCAAGAGAGCATAGAGGAACACAGAAACCAGAGAAATGATTCTGTTTCCAAGACCAGCCATTGGAAGCCACACAATGTATCTGCATTCACCAACAGATCTACTACCATTCTCATGCTTATTACCAAGCTTATCTGTTGCTCTCTTGTAACCATCTGTGCCTGGACCGCAACGCTTGTGAAGCATTTCGTAGCTTCTAAGCTTAGAGACAAGAGATGCAGATGATTTGTATGGTGAAGGCTTCCGCAAAGACGACTGATGATACCTACTCAAGCAAGACTCCTCATCAAACTCTGTAGCAAGAAGCCCTCCTATAAGTTTGTCCCTCAGCTTCTTAGAATCATTTGAACCTTTTTAAAGAACTTTGAAAATAAATTAACCCAAAAAGATGAAGGGTCTTGTTACCGGACATTGGAAGATCAGACTTGTGGCTGTTGAAAATGTAAGATGATTGTAGTAGTAGCACCAAGCAAAGCACAAAGCAAATGGCGATTGTTATGGTGAGCTTCATCATACCGGAGATCCTAGACCACATGTTTTCTACCTGTTGTTGACCACAACGCTTGTGAGATGAGATACTGAAAAGGCTTGTAAGGTGAAAGCTTGCGATACAAGGAAGATTGGTACCTACTTGAGCAAGAACTTTCGTCAAATCTGTAGCAAGAAGTCCTCCGAGCAGTTTATCTCTTGGTTTTTGACAATCATTGGAGCCTATTACAAGAAAATGAAGGAGAGAGACCGAAGAAAATGAGAAATTTTTTTCTTAAAGGAACAGAACAAGAGATGGATGAATATGATCATACCTGTGGTACTAACAGTATGTGCGTCAAGATCTGACAGCTGGCGATTGAAGATGTTAGAGAATGCAAGCAGAAGTATATAGCAGAGTACAAAGCAAGTGATGAATGTTCTAGTGGACTTCATCGTACCAGATCTCATTAAAGATTTGCTAGAGATCTTGTAAGGAGCTGACGATGTCCTTCTTCTCTGTTTTTACTCACTCTTACCGTTGCTTGTAAAAATTGATCTGGTTGAGACCAATTTTTTACAGAGAATGGCCCGACTCAGTTTCCCTAAGAATATGAAACAAGAGGTGAGATATGAAACCAAAAGAGTTATGATTTTGTTAGATTTTCCCTAAGAAAGAGAAATAAGAGGTGAAGGAAAACTTATGTATGAGGGAGGAGGTATGCTTGAAACATTATCTTCAAAGTCAATACTAAACTCGCAACAAGGTCTATTTATAACCATTATGATGTCGACTTCTCAACCAAAACCAAATTTAAATTACTTACTTGTCATGTTTTGTATTGTTTTATGAACAAAATCATAGTCAACTCTTTTTGTTTGGATAAGTAAACTTAAGAATGTGACATACAAACCCATTGCGTGATGTATTATGATAACCTGATTCATATGACTTAAATGAACTAAACACAGAATAATACTGCTCTAATACGAAGCCAGAATCTTTCATATATGTCCTCAAATATTGTTTTGTTATTCCTTAAGTATGACAAATAAAGATGCATCTTCTCATAATATTATTGTACATTACATGAAGATATCTGAAGAAAGAAAACTCTTGAACTTTGAAGAATTTTGTGGAAAAAAAAAGATTTTTGTTTATTTGGGGGCATCAACTATCTTAATCCCTGAAATCCAATCCTCACAATGCATTACAAAAGGGGAGATTTTGATTGCCTTGGCTTGACAACCATAGAGCGGAGGTCTAATAAAACAAGGCTCCATCGACATGGCTCGGACACATGGTGGGTCAGGAGCTGTGTGGTTCTCTGGCTTGTACAGTATCCATGGCTTCAACCCTCCAATACTATGAGCAATATATCCAAATGTAGATTTGGCTGTTGTGACAATGTTATCAGTTAAGCTTAGGAGGTAGATCTCGGCCAACGCCTTTTGGTCGTGAAGCTTCTTGTCTGTTTGTTGAACCCTTTCTCCACTTGGCTGATAAACTATAATGATCTCTCCTGTAGTACTTGGTCGTCCCCAAAACATGCTCTTGAAGTAGTCAGAGTACTCTGGAAACAGAGATGTGACAAGAACAGCTTTAAGTTTCTGGCTTCTTGATGTTGTACTAGTGACTTGTGATTCTTCTTGTGTAGCCAATTCAGGCAAGAGCTTCTCTCTTTGTGTGCAGGCTAGGATCTGGTCCATGACGTGCTGGAAATATCCAGCCGGCCTGCTAAATACTCTTACTTGAATCCCAAGTCTCTCGTCTGCTCTTGATAAGTAAGCGTTGTAAGATCTTGTGACCATTCCCCAAACTTGGTTTGTAGGATGAAGAAGATACCGACTCAAATGGTGGAAGACAGTATCTTTCTGTGGGAATAGCTTGATGAGTTCGGTTTGAAAGCTAGGGATCAACCATAGAGATGGAATAAAGTAAAGGTTGGATTTGACGACCAGCCAAGGGACCTGCCTGATGACAGTTTGATCTTCTTCACAGAAGAACATCTTATCAAGATCCATGTAATCATGCAAAAGATAAAGAAAGAGGGAAGAAGGTACTGTAGTCAAGTTAATGGCAGGGTTTCTCAACATTGGTCCGTAACGATGAGTGTGTCCCAACATGAAGCGATCTATGTGATTCATCAATGGAAAATCAAGAGGCAGTAACCAGGAAGACCCTGGAAAAGGCTCACAGAAGAGATCAGTTATACCCTTGCGTTGGTCAACAAGAATGACTCTCTCTGTCAAGAGAGCATAGAGGAACACAGAAACCAGAGAAATGATTCTGTTTCCAAGCCCATGCATTGGAAGCCACACAATGTATCTGCATTCACCAACAGATCTACTTCCATCTTCATGCTTATGACCAAGCTGCTCTGTAGCTCTCTTGTAATCATCTGTGCCTGGACCGCAACGCTTGTGAAGTATCTCGTAGCTCCTAAGCTTAGAGACGAGAGATCCAGATGGTTTGTATGGTGAAGGCTTCCGCAAAGACGACTGATGGTACCTACTCAAGCAAGATTCTTCATCAAACTCTGTAGCAAGAAGCCCTCCTGGAAGTTTCTCCCTCTGCTTCTTAGAATCATTTGAACCTTTTAATGAACCTGAAAGAAAGAGAAGTCAAATGAGCATTTCTGTTTCTTCTGACATAAAATGAAAAAAAAAAAAGATGAAGGGTCTTGTTACTGGTCGTTGGAAGATCAGAATTCCTGCGGTTGAAAATGTTAGAGGATTGTAATAGCAGCACCGACAAAATCACAAAGCAAGTGGTGATTGTTGTCGTGAGCTTCATCCTACCGGAGATCCTACGCCGCATGTTTTTCTACCTTATATCAATATTGATTCTCATGTTCCATCAAGAGGTGAACGAAAAAAATATCCCAAAGTCTGTTTATAACCATCAAAGTCGAAATCTTAACTGTAACAAGTTTAATGCATCATTTGTCCTGTAATATATATTTGGATTGCTTTCTCATTTGATAAGTAAGCTTTAGTATGTGACATATTAACACATTCATAAATGTAACTTGATTCTTACGCATTTACGACTTGTATTAAGTATTAACCCATACGCATGTACGACTTGCAATTGGACAATTTGGACTGAAGCATACGTTGAAAAACTCTTACTTGGATCCCAAGTCTCTCGTCTGCTCTTGATACGTAAGCATATTGTAGAATCTATTGACCAAACCCCAAACTTGGTTTGTCTGGTGAATAAGATAGCGACCTAAATGGTGGACAGGACACTGTATCTTTCTGCGGGAAGAGCTTGATTGGTTCGGTTTGGAAACCAGGGATCAATGACAGAGACGGTACTGTGTAATTGTCTGATTTGACGATAAGCCAAGGGACTTTCTTGATCAGTGAACGGAGGAGCCAGTACCATTTTTCTATTTGTTGCTTCTAATATATGTTTCTACTTAACTCTTGATTTGTCTGTATATATTATGGTTTTAATTAGTTGAAAGCGAGGGAAATGGACTCACGCTCTCATCTGAAAAGAAAAGAGTTTTTTTTTTAATTATTATCTTTCCTATTTCCAATCACTTTTTAACGTGAAACATTCAACAATGTCAAATATATAAATTAACAACAAAGTTTTGTCAGATATATGCTTACAAATTGCAGCCAGTCAAAATCTTAGTGAAACTATACTATGAAAATAATAGATATAGACATATTGTTTTTTGTCGTAAACAATAAATAATTTAATCGAACAAAGCTGCACGTTAAGTATAACTCATAATTTTTTTTTTTAAATATTACTCATTTAACTGCTCCACTGTATAATTTGTAGCGTAAATGAGATTATACGGTCCGTATAATACGGATGACTCACCTTTCCCACTTTCTGTAGCGACTAGCGAGTTTCACCTTATGACTCGCGATTTGACTCATCGTTCCCATCAGTTTTCGTTTCTCCGTCGATAAGAGAGAATCTTCTCTTATCTCTGCTTCCGAGTCCCTCCGCCCAAGTTCCCTCCGCCCAAGTTCTTAGCAGCGACGATATCTCGCATTCTCATCGGAGAGTTTAATCGTCGAATCCGCCGTGATCAAAAAGATTTTAACTAAGGTCAGAGCCTCAGAGGAAGGTTTTTACAGTTTTAGTTAATGGAAGAAAAATAACTAAACTTGGAACCGTTCCTGCATTTCACTATTATCGGAAAAAAAAAACCCACAGCGACGATTAACAAACTTTGCTGAATTAATTCGATTTTATATGAATTTGTTAGGCAACAATGATGAACACAGAAGAAGAAGATTAAGGACTGATTACAATCAATCATCATCTACTAGCTTAATCCCAGTGACTCGATCCTCACAATACCTAACGAAAGGTGAGATTTTTATCGTCTGGGCTTGACAAGGAGAGAGTGGAGCTTTCAAAGAACAAGGCTCCATCGACATTGCCCTAACACACGGTGGGTCTGGAACTGTGCTGTTCCTTGGCTCGTAAAGTATCCATGGCTTTAATCCTCCTAAACCCTGAGCTACATATCCAAAGGTAGACCTTGTGCTTGTTACAAGCTTATCAGTTAAACTCAGTAGATAGATCTCGGCTAAGGCCTTTTGGTCATGAGGCTTCTTCTCTGACTGTTGAATCTTTTCTCCACTTGGCTGATAAACTTTAATGATCTCTCCTGTTGAAGTTGCTCGTTCCCAAAACATGTTGCTTAGCTCATTAGAGTATTCAGGAAACAGAGACGTGACCAAAACAGCTTTAAGTTTCTGGATTTCCGATGTGTTAACCAATTGTGATTCTATTGTAGCTAGTTCAGGCAAAAGTTTCTCTCTCTGTGTGCAGGATACGATCTGGTCCATGACGTGCTGGAAATAACCAGCTGGCGTGCTAAAGACTCGAACTTGAATGCCGAGTCTCTCGTCTGCTCTGGCTAAGTAAGCGTTGTATGATCTCGTGACCATGCCCCAAACTTGGTTTGTTGGGTGAAGAAGATACTGACTCAGATGGTGGAAGACTGTATCTTTCTGTGGGAAGAGCTTGATGAGTTCGGTTTGGAAGCTAGGGACCAACCACAGAGCTGGAAGATAGTAAAGGTTTGATTTTACGACTAGCCAAGGGACGTTCTTGAGGAAAGCTTGCTCCTTTTCACAGAAGAACAACTTATCATGATCTCTGGAGTCATGGAATATGTCAATGTAGAGATGCGACGGTGTTGTGGTTGAGTTGATGGCATGATTGTTCAACATTGTCCCGTAACAATGCGAGTGTTCTCTGTTGAAGCTATCTATCTGATCCGTTAGTGGAGAATGCAGAGGGAGTAACCAGGAAGTACCAGGAAAAGGCTCGCAGAAGAGGTCGGTTATGTCGTTTCTAGGGTCAAGAAGCAAAACTCTCTCTGTCAAGAGAGCATAGAGGAAGGCAGAGACCATAGAGAGAATTCTGTTTCCCAGACCAAACATAGGTGTCCAGACTACGTATTGGCATTCAGCACCAGAGCTTGTTATATGATCGTTGTGACGAAGCTGCTCTGTAGCTCTCTTGTAAGCATCTGTGCCTGGACCGCAACGCTTGTGAAGCATCTCGTAGCTTCTAAGCTTAGAGACAAGAGATCCAGATGGTTTGTATGGTGGAGGCTTGCGCAAAGACGACTGATGATACCTACTCAAGCAAGATTCCTCATCAAACTCTGCAGCAAGAAGCCCTCCTGGAAGTTTCTCCCTCAGCTTCTTAGAATCAGTTGAACCTTTTCAATTAACATGAAAGAAAGAGAAGTCAAGTGAGCATTTCTGTTCCTTTCGCCAACTTTTGAATTTAAACTAACACAAAAGGATCTGTTGTTACCGGTGGTTGTAAGATGAGACTTATGGCGGTTGAAGATGTTGGAGGAAGATAGTAGTAGCACCGAGCAGATTGCTAAGGAAGTGGGGATTGTTATCGTGAGCTTTATCATACCGGAGATCCCAAACGAGATATTATCTTCCCTTTTTTTCATGTTGGTTTTGGTTTCAGGATGAAAGCGATGGAAATGAGAGGTAAAGGAGACGAGCTCTACGAGGTATGCTTGAATAACTTTCTTCAAATCATCAAGGCACTAGTAAAAAGTAAAAACAGATGTTAGGAAAGAGGATTAGAAATCTTCTTGTCCAATAAAACTATTACAAGTCATGTTATCATGTTTAATTATCTCTAGATATTTTTCCATATTTTGTCAAAAAGTAATAATACATTTCATTTTTTGTAATTATATGTTTCCACAATTTAAAGTGTTTCTTATTATGCACTTTACAAAAACGAAGAACAACGTAACAATTCAACTTTATAGATATGGAATTCTAATACAATTTTGAATTTTTTTTTCCAATGATGAATGTAGGAGAAGATGAAGGCTTACAATAAAAATTCATCTGCGGAATCAACTAGCTTAAGCCCCGTGAGACGATCCTCACAACGCCTAACAAAAGGAGTGATATTCACTGTCTTAGCTTGACAACCATAGAGTGGAGCTCTGAGGAAACATGGCTCCATCGACATGGCCCTAACACATGGTGGGTTAGGAGCTGTGTGGTTCTTTGGCTTGTATAGTATCCATGGCTTCAACCCTCCAAGACCTTGAGCAACGTATCCGAAGGTAGACGAGTCGCTAGTGACAAGTTTATCAGTTAGGCTCAAGAGGTACATCTCAGCGAGTGCCTTTTGGTCGTGAAGCCTCTTGTCTGTTTGCTGATACATTTCTTGACTTGGTTGGTAAACTTGTAACATCTCTTCTGTCGAACTCGGGCTTTCCCAGTACATGGTCCTTAGTTTCTCCGAGTACTCTGGGTAAAGAGATGTCACAAGAACAGCTTTGAGTTTGAGGCTTCTTGATATGTTAGTGACTTTTGGGGATTGTGGTGTAGCCACTTCAGGTAATAGTTTCTCTCTTTGGGTACAAGCTAGGATCTGGTCCATGACGTGCTGGAAATATCCAGCGGGCTTGCTAAGGACTCGAACTTGAATCCCGAGTGTCTCGTCTGCTCTTGATAAGTAAGCATTGTAGGATCTAGTGACCATTCCCCAAACTTGGTTTGTGGGGTGAAAAAGGTACCGACTCAAATGGTGGAAGACGGTATCTTTCTGTGGGAATAGCTTGTTGAGTTCGGTGTGGAAACTAGGGATCAGCCATAGAGATGGAATGAAGTAGAGGTTCGCGTTGAAGACCAGCCAAGGGGCTTGCCTGATGAAGTTTTGATCTTCTTCACAGAAGAACATCTTATCATGATCCTGATAGTCGTGAATAAGATAAAGACAGAGGTAAGACATGACGTTTTCTGTGGTAGTTGAGTTAATGGAGTGATTCCTCAACAAATTTCCGTAACAACGCTCATGTTCCTTGTTGAAGCTATCTAACTGATCTGTCAATGGAAAATCCAGTGGGAGTAACCAGGAAGTACCTGGAAAAGGCTCACAGAAGAGATCGCTTATGTCCTTGCGTTGGTCAACAAGAATGATTCTCAGTCAAGAGAGCATAGAGGAACAGAGAAGCCAGAGTAAGTATTCTGTTTCCCAGACCATAAACAGCGACCCATACAATGTATCTGCATTCACCAACAGATTTGCTTGCATAATTCTCATCATCGTCATGACCAACCTTCTCCGTTGCTCTCTTGTAAGCATCTGTGCCTGGACCGCAACGCTTGTGAAGCATCTCGTAGCTTCTGAGCTTGGAGACGAGATGTTGAGAAGGCTTGTAAGGTGAAGGCTTGCGATACAATGAAGACTGGTACCTACTCAGACAAGAATCTTCATCAAACTCTTCAGTAAGAAGCCCTCCTAAAAGTTTGTCCACGGTTTTTCCGGATTCCTTTGAATCTATTTCAAGAAAATGAAATGAGGATTCTTGAGGAAAAAGACCAAAAAGATGAAGGAATGATTTTTTACCGTTGGTTGTAGCATCAAGAAGCTGGTGGTTGAAGATGCTGAAGAATGATAGTAACATCACTGACAAAAGTAGTAAGCAAATGACTATTGTTATGATGAGCTTCATCTTCAAACACAAAGCTCAGAAATCTTGGCCAGATATGTCTATATTTGTAGTTTCACTTATTCTGATAATAATTAAAAAAAATCTTGGTATTTATTTTACAAATATGATAAATGTGTTGATACTGTGAGAGTGTAGGTGATGATGAAAGCTTCTTGTCTATTTGTTAGTATAATATATGATCCTTCACATGGTGGAAGGGACCTGACTCTTACTCTAAAGCTGGCACCTGAACCTTATCTATCATTGATTAGGAAGCATTCTAGAATTTTTCATCACCAAACCTTAAAAACAATTTTTATAAAAAACAAAACGAATGGAGGAATTGATTTCAAAGGAACATACAAAAGATTTCGGTTGTATCTGGCAAATAGTGGGGGGGGGATAGGGTTGGATTTGGATGCATATACTTGTGCGTCTGTGGTCCATGACATTGAGTAGGAACAACTATGAATAAGGAGTAGAGAAGTTTCTTAACAAATTGCTAAGGATGATGAGGATTCAAAAGCTCTGAAACAGAGGATTTTCAAAGCTCCTTGTAAATGTTTCCAACAACTTAACTGTTTATAACATTATATGCATTAACATGTTAACACAGAGGATACAGTTGTCATTTGTTTAGAAGATCTTCCACTATGCATACCAACATGATTCTTCTTTGTATTCAATAATTAAAAACTTAACCTCAACTAATAATGATACTGTAATTATTATAGACTAAAATTTAAAAACAGAGATAACAACAATAATCCTCTGTTTTCAATAACTCAATAATCCAAAATGAAACCAGCTAATAATTTAACAGTATTCTATAACTCATCAAACAGCTTAAGCCCATCGTTGTCACGATCCTCACAATGCTTAACAAAAGGAAGAACCTTCCCTGAGTTAGTTCCCCAATCGTCGTCACATCCATGAGACGGCGGAGTAAGATGACAAGGATCCATCGACGTAGATCGAGTACACGGAGGATCAGGAGCTGTCTGATCATTAGGCTGATAAAGCAACCATGGCTTTAACGCTCCAAGACTATGAGCAACATACCCAAACGTAGACCTCGCGCTTGTCACAATCTTATCCGTATAGCTCAGAAGATACATCTCGGCCAACGCCTTTTGGTCGTGAAGCTTCTTGTCCGTTTGCTGAAACCTCTCTCCACTCGGCTGATACACTTCGATGATCTCACCAGTCGAACTCGGACGTTCCCAAAACATGTTCTTTAAGTTGTCAGAGTACTCTGGAAACAGAGACGTGACGAGAACAGCTTTGAGTCTCTGGCTTGTCGAGGTATTGACTTTTGCGTCTTCCTGTGTGGAAAGTTCAGGCAAAAGCTTCTCTCTTTGCGCGCAGGACACGACCTGGTCCATGACGTGTTGAAAGTACACGTTTTGATGGCTGAACACACGTATTTGAAGCCCGAGCCTCTCGTCTGCTCTGGCTAAGTGAGCGTTGTAGTACCTTGTGACCATACCCCAAACTTTATTCGTCGGATGGAATAAATACCGAGCCAGATGGTGAAAGACGGCTTCTTTCTGCGGGAAGAGCTTCGTTAGCTCGTCACGGAACGTTGGATTAAACCAGAGAGATGGAACAAAGTAGACATTGGCTTTCACAATCAGCCAAGGGACTTTGTCGATCAAAGTTTGATCCTTTGGACAGAAGAACATCTTGTCTTCATCTCTTGAATCATGGATGATGTCAAGAAACAGATGCGGAGGGATTGAAGTGGCGTTGATGGCGTGGTTGATCACCATTGTCCCGTAACAACGTGAGTACCCTCTGTTGTAGCCATCGATCTGCTGTGTCGTCAAGGGGAAGTCATGAGGAAGTAACCATGAAGTGTCTGGAAACGGCTCGCAGAAGAGGTCGCTTATGTCTTTGGTTTGATCAACAAGAACGACTCTTCCTGTCAAGAGAGCGTAGAGGAAGGCAGAAGCAAGAGTTAGGATTCTGTTTCCAAGACCGAAACCAGCGACCCACACAACGTATCTGCATTCACCAACGGTTTTGTTCGCGTAATTCTCGTTATTGTCATGACCAAGACTCTTGGTTGCTTCCTTGTAAGCATCTGTGCCTGGACCGCAACGCTTGTGAAGCTTCTCGTAGCTTCTTAGCTTGGAGACAAGATATTCAGATGGCTTGTATGGTGAAGGGTTGCGATAGAGCAATGATTGATGATACCTACTCACGCAAGAACGTTCGTCGAAATCCTCTGTTAAAAGCCCTCCTATCAGTTTATCTCTTGGTGTCTCGGATCTCTTTGAATCTGTTACAAGAACATGAAAGGACAAAGTCAGAAGGAGTTAACAAGAAACAGACAAAAGATGGATGGTTTTGTTTTTTTTTTCTTACCGTAGATTGTAGCATCAATAAGTTGGTCGTTGAAGTTCTTGGAGAATGATACTAATACTAGGGACCAAATTAGTAAGCCGCTAAAGATGACTGTTATCAGAATCTTCATCTTCAAACCCAAAGACCGGAAAGCTTCGCCGGAGATCTGAAATATGTGATACATGTTTGACTTTAGTTTGATCGGTTTATAACAGGAAGATGATTCAAAAAGTGTTATATATGTAGCGTGATTCCAACTCTTTATTGTGATTTCAAGTTGAAGAAACGTGGAATTTATAAACAAGTGTTTGAATTGAATATTCAAATCTGTTACTGTTAAGGTTGTGCCTATCAACGAACTCCGAACGTGACTCCATTTTTGTTTAATGTATAAAAGTCTTGATCTTCGGTTTATGTGAATCATATCAAGTTGTAATGTGTATTTTTAATTAACGTAGAAATGGCCAATGATGGACTTGTTTTGAATAATCAACAACCGGCTGCTTTATCATGTTAAAGAAAAACTTGGAATCTAAACAATATATCACATGTCAAGTATTATTTTTGAATTGACCAATAATGATCTTCCGTTTCTCAATTTTATCAAAATTTTACTCAGATCCGAAAGTTCGCGTTGTTGACTACAAAGCAAAAATAAGTAAACGTTCATGTCCTATTTGGTTTTTTGTATCTAATTCTTAGTTATTTTTCTGGTTTACTTCCACTTTCTAATTATTATGAACACTTATTGCTTTAGTAGAAAAATAAATTGCAATCACATCTAATATACACATCCAGTTGTAGTTTTGTACGTTTGTCTACTGAAAAATATAATATAATAAAAGTCGTTATTCTGTTTCCAACGGTTTGAAACAGAATATCTAAACTCATCAAATAATTGCAATTGATGCCATTGGGCCTTAAACAAATAGGCCCACAATTAAGAGATGGGAAATGCCTAACCTGACCTTTCGCTAATCGCTATACAAACCGAAATCGAATGATCTTCTGATTTTGTATTGAAATTTACGTTTATTCAATTGAATGAATGTCAACTTAAATATGAACAGAAGACGATGAAAGAAAATGAACAGACAAAATATAAAGTAGAGATTGATAACGTACGTACCTTTGGCCATGGATTTGCTGTTGGTTGAATTGATCTTTGGTAATATGTTTGTTCTCCAACATAAGAATCAAATGGTTTCTTGGTATCCATAGTGTTCATCAAACAACAAACAAAAACAAAATCTTTTTATTGAAAATCGATACAACTTATTCATGAACACAAAAACCAATTTTTTAGTCAATCTTAAAACAACTAGAACAAATTCATGAAAACCCTTTAACAAAAAAAAAATTCATGAAAACAAAGAAAAGAACAGAAGTTTTAGACGAAGAAGAATAAAGAGGCGAGTGAAAAATCAAATACAAACAAAAAAAACAGAGGAAATTTTTCCAACAAAGAGAGCTCGATCGGAAACGTTCTTATGTATAAGTAATTAGTATATACACGCATCTGTATTTATGTTAATTAGATTTCAATCTGCCAGAAATTTTGTTCACTTTATTTATAAGGTAGTATTAACAACAGGTAAGGTAATACTGACTACAATCTCGGAAAAAGGTAAAATGTGTATTCCATATATTTGTTAGTATATATATACACACAATATATATATGTCAATAGGCTGTCAAAAAGCAAAATATGAGGTCAATAGTATTAACTAAATACGAATTTGTTTCCATAATAAGCTCAGTGGTTTAAATAAAATTCGAAAATAAAATTTAAAGTTGTGATATGTATTGACTATTTTAATAGGTAAGTTCTTTTTTTTTTTTTTTGAAATAGGTAAGTTCATATTTGATTATTTCCATACGAATATGTTTGCAAAGTGGCATGAGCTACTTCATCTTCATAAATCATACCCCAAAGCCTATAAAACTTCACCGAAAATTTGACTAAAATGTGTATGTGCGCTTAAAATCGTAATTGCGATTAAGTTAACGAAACTTGTATTACAGTCTGTGTCTCTGTGACCATCATTTTGGTTGATTCATTAACTTATTATCATAACAATTAACAAAATATATAAAGAAAATTAAGTCTTCTTGATATTGTTCGATTTCAGATATCTTGTTCATCTGCTGATAGTAAGTTCCAGTCTGTATGTCATACAAAAGAAATTGCTGTCGTCTTGATATTATTCGATTGATCTTGTTTTTTTGCTGATATAATTGGTCCAGTCTGTATGTCATAAAAAATGCTTAAAAATGACCAAATAGAAACGACTGTTGTCTAGTGTAAGTGTGTAACCATTGAAGCAACTTCATTGTAGTTGACCCCATTTACTATTTAGACAAATCGTTAAGTACAATTTGTGATTAGAAATTTAAAGTTTTCTCTGTTTACAAACTTTCCTCTGTTAACAACGAACAAAGACAAGTCAAAAGTTGATCCATAGTTCATAATAAAGTTTTTAATCTTGGGAATCAACAAGTTTAACCCCCCAAGTTCGATCTTCACAATGCCTTACAAAAGGGACAGTTATCTCTGTCTTTGCTTCACAGCCATAGAGCGTTGGTTTGAGGAAACAAGGCTCCATGGAAAAGTCCCGAACGCATGGTGGATCAGTATCTGTGTTGTAGTACTCTGGCTTGTAGAGTATCCATGGCTTTAATCCTCCAAGACCTTGTGCTACGTATCCAAAGGTAGACCATGCGGTTGTCACAAGTTTATCAGTTAGGCTTAACAAGAATATCTCAGCGAGCGCCTTTTGCTCGTGAATCTTCTCGTCTACCTGCTGAAACCTATCTCCACTTGGCTGATAAACTTCCACAATGTCTCATGTCCTAGTCGTACGTTGCATGTACATGTTCCTTAGTTTATCACAGTACTCTGGATGCAGAGATGTGACCAGAACAGCTTTAAGTTTTGGGGTTTTTGATATGTTAGTTACTTGTGATTCTTCTTCTTGTGCAGCTGCTATTTCAGGCAAGAGTTTCTCTCTTTGGGTGCACGCTACGATCTGGTCCATAACGTGTTGGAGATATCCAGCGGGTCTGCTATAAACCCTAACTTGAATGCCAAGTCTCTCGTCTGCTCTGGCTAAGTAAGTGTTGTAGGACCTAGTGACCATTCCCCAAACTTGGTTTGTAGGGTGAAGAAGATACCGACTCAAATGGTGGAAGACAGTATCTTTCTGTGGGAACAGCTTGATGAGTTCGGTTTGGAAACTAGGGATCAACCATAGAGATGGAATAAAGTAGAGGTTGGATTTGACGACCAGCCAAGGGACTTTCCTGATGACAGATTGATCTTTCTCGCAGAAGAAAATCTTAGTATAATCCCCACCATCATGGAGAAGATGAAGATAAAGGTGCGATGGGATTGTAGAAGAGTTAATATCATGATTCCTCAACATTGTTCCGTAACAACGTGAGTGTTTCAGGTTGAAGCTATCTAACTGATCCGTCAATGGAAAATCAAGTGGAAGCAACCAAGAAGAACCAGGAAAAGGCTCACAGAAGAGATCACTAATATCCTTGCGTTGGTCAACAAGCATGACTCTCTCCGTCAAGAGAGCATAAAGAAACAGAGAAGTCAGGCCAAGTACTCTGTTTCCAAGCCCACGCAGTGGCACACACACAATGTATTGGCATGATTCATCAGTAGATGTGCGTGCATGATCCTCATCGCCGTGACCAAGATTCTTTGTTGCTTTCTTGTAAGCATCTGTGCCTGGACCGCAACGCTTGTGAAGCATCTCATAGCTTCTAAGCTTAGAGATGAGATATTGAGAAGGCTTGTATGGTGAAGGCTTGCGATACAAGGAAGACTGATACCTACTCAGACAAGAATCTTCATCAAACCCTATAGCAAGAAGCCCTCCTACCAGTTTGTCCACCGTTTTTCCAGATTCCTTTGAAACTATTACAAGAAAATGAAATATGAAGTCAAAGGAGCATTCATGAGCTAACACCCCAAACCCAAAAGATGAATGTTTTTTCTTACCGCTGGGAGTAGCATCAAGAAGCTGGTTACTGAAGTTAGAACAAGAGTAACAGCATCAACCAAAGTAGTAAGCAAGTGACGACTGGTATCAAAAGCTTCATCTTCATACTCAATCCCTGAAACACTTTGCTGGAGATCTGGTATGTTTGAATATAACTCAATTCTGATTAAGTTAAAGAAACTTGTACTTTATTTATAGATGTATAATTTTATATATAACGCATCAACATTTTTCTAATGAACACTATCAGACAGTACATATTTATTTTTCTTATTGACAATAAAGAAACTGATGCAAATCTTGATATGTTTATTGACACATGGATCATACATACATCCCCTGCACAACAATAATATTTTAATACTAATCAACAAGATGTCCTCTTCCCCTTTATTTATTTGATGATTGCTATTTTCTTATCACATTGATCCATTACAGAGTCCATTTAAAAAAAAAATCATTACCATTTGATGACATTAACGAATCAGAGGATGAAGATGTATAATTGAAATTCATCAAAAGTTGTCTACTTATAACTTATCTGGAGCATCAACTAGCTTAAGCCCTGGGATCCAATCCTCACAGTGCCTTACGAAAGGGACGATTTTCCCTGTGTCAGTAGCAGTCTTGTCTTCACAACCATAGAGTGGAGCTCTAAGGAAACAAGGCTCCATCGACATGGCCCTAACACATGGCGGATCAGGAGTTGTGTAGTTTTCAGGCTTGTAGAGTATCCATGGCTTTATTCCTCCTAGACCTTGAGCTATGTATCCAAATGTAGACCATGCACTTGTGACAAGTTTATCAGTCAGACTTAAGAGGTACATCTCCGCGAGCGCCTTTTGGTTATGAAGCTTTTTATCGGTTTGTTGAACCCTTTCTCCACTTGGCTGATAAACTTCGATGATCTCTCCTGTCGAACTCGGTCGTTCCCAAAACATGTTCTTTAAGTTGTCAGAGTACTCTGGATACAGAGATGTGACAAGAACAGCTTTAAGTTTCTTGGTTCTTTATGTATTGGTTGCTTTTGTAGACAATTCAGGCAACAGGTTCTCTCTTTGTGTACAGGCTAGGATCTGGTCCATGACGTTCTGTAAATAACCGGCGCGTCTGCTAAAAACCCTTACTTGAATTCCAAGTCTCTCGTCTGCTCTGGCTAAGTAAGCGTTGTAGGATCTAGTGACCATACCCCAAACTTGGTTTGTCGGGTGAAGAAGATACCGAGCTAGGTTGTGGAAGACGGTGTCTTTCTGCGGGAATAACTTGATGAGCTCGGTTTGAAAACTAGAGATCAACCATAGAGATGGAACAAAGTAAAGGTTGGACTTAACGACCAACCAAGGGACTTTCCCAATGAGAGTTTGATCTGCTTCGCAGAAGAACATCTTATCATGATCTCTGTAACCACTAAAGAGATGAATGTAAAGGTGTGAAGGGATTTTAGTGGAGTTGATGGCATGATTCTTCAACATTGTTCCGTAACAACGCTCATGTTCCCTGTTGAAGCTATCTAACTGATCCATCAATGGAAAATCCGGAGGAAGTAACCAGGAAGTGCCCGGAAAAGGGTCACAGAAGAGATCAGTTATATTGCTCCGTTGGTCAACAAGCATGACTCGCTCTGTCAAGAGAGCATAGAGGAACAGAGAGACCAGGCCAAGTACTCTGTTTCCAAGTCCAGACAATGGAACCCACACAATGTATTTGCATGATTCACCAGAGCTCCTTGCAATCTCGTCGTGACCTAGCCTCTATGTAGATCTCTTGTAAGCATCTGTTCCTGGACCGCAACGCTTGTGAATCATCTCGTAGCTCCTAAGCTTAGAAACAAGATATCCAGATGGCTTGAATGGTGATGGCTTGCGATACAAGGAAGACTGATACCTACTCAAACAAGATTCTTCATCAAAGTCTGAAGTGAGACGACCTCCTCGCAGTTTATCCCTTGGTTTTCCAAACTTCTTTGAACCTATTACAAGAAACAAAACAAAAAAATGATGGAATTTCTTGCGTTAGAAGAAAAAGGAAAAAAACAAATGATTTGAAGTTTTTACCGTTGGTTTCAGCATCATGAAGCTGGTTGTTGAAGATGTTCGAAAATGATAGTAACATCAAGGACCAAAGTACTAAGCAAGTGGCGATTGTTGTCATGAGCTTCATCTTCATACCCAATGCCTAGAATCTTTCGCGGAAGATTGGACTGAAATATGTATTGTGAGTTGTGACCATCATCGAACTCTGAAATATTTTGTACAATATTTTTCGTTGTTTCATTAATTCTTGGGGGAATTGCCAAATATAGTGCACAATTTGATTTGAAATGCAAAACTAGACCCTATATTGCATTTAGAGCAAAACTAGTCTTCTGGGCATGTAAAATTACAAACCACACCCTTATGAACAAAGAAAAAAACGCTAGCCACAATGTCTGTTTTACCCTGTTTAAAGTCTATTCATGAAGTCTACTGCGTATTAGACTTCATCATGAAGTCTAATTCCTAATCACAACTCAAATTTAATTTATAAAATTATAGAAATTTATTTGATCAAACAAAATTATACATAAATAAGATTAGAACATTTGGCATCCAAGAAAAATAAAATTGCATAAAAATGAATCCATTTAACTCAAGTAAGAGAAATTATGTTTGTAACCTATAAACTGCGTGAAGTCTACTGAAGTCTACTATATAGCAAAATCGTAAATTTAAAGTTTAAAATCTATTAAAAATATTTTGATCAAGGTATTTACACATAATTTTAACAAAGACAAGTACTATCCATGAAAAATAAATTTGCATATAAATTGATCAATTTAAATCCGGTAATACAAATTATGGTATAATCCAAAAAAAATTGTGTGAAGGAAGTCTACTAAATAACAAAATCTTAAATTTAAAGTTTAAAATCTATAAAAAACATTTAGGCTTCAAAAATTATAAATAATCTAAATGAAGACAAATCCTATCTATGTAAAATAAAATTTTATGGAAATGAATCAATTTATAAGTTTCATGAGTAAACCAATCATCAAGCTTAGTGTTTGAGGTATAATGTATAGGGTTTATGAGTGTCATTGTTAGGGTTTAGAGAATTTTGACATAAAAAAATGTTTGCGGTTTGTTTAACGATTTAAAGCTAATGAATTCATAGTTTATAATGTAAATTGTGATTATGTATATATAATTGATGTTTTCTATAGCTTTGATCTCAAAAATTCGATTTAGGGTTTAGGGTAAGTCAGACTTCATCGTAGACTTCATTGTTAGACTTTGCTATGAAATCTATTATTCATAAAATTGTGAGCGGGAAACGAAATATTTTAAGGGAAATTGGCGGGAAATGAAATATATTAAAACAAAATTTTGATACAATATAGTCGGTTTGGGAGACTTTGGGAATAGACTTCTTTTGTAAACTTCATAATAAAGTCTATTTAACCGGAAATTTTTCCACCTAACCGGAAAATTGATCCAGATACATATAGAAATAACCTAATTTTGTGGAAGAAAAATCTGTAACTCAGCGGCTCTCTCTCTCTCTCTCTCTCTCTCTCTCTCTCTCTCTCTCTCTCTCTCTCTCTCTCTCTCTCTCCGTGAACCTCCGCCGCTTTTCTCGCTTGAGCGAAGCCACTCGCCGTCAACCGTCGCCGCTTCTTACCACCTGAGAGAATGGCAGCTCTCTCTGCTCCAATGGATCTACGCGCTTCTTCTCGCCTGAGTAAAGCTACTCACCGTTAACCTTTTCCGCCTCTCACTCGCCATTAACCACCATCTCCTCTCTCTCTCTTATCTTTCACCATTCTCACCTGATAAACCATGTTTTTCTCTTCATAACAGATCGATGAACGTGATGGCGGAGGTCTCTTGATCATATACTGCTCTTCGAAAAGTAATATTCTTGATTTCACTTCATTTTTATTTTTCTTATCAAATATCTTGTTTCTTGCTTCTCTCTTAACAAGTAATTTTGAATTCTGTATATGCAGGAGACGATGGAGGAGTCTAGGGAGAAGACAAAGAGGAAGGAGAAGAATAGAAGACCACAAAATCTCTTCCTGTTTTCGTAGTGGTAAGCCCTCTGTTTTCTTCTCCCTCTGTGTTCATATCTCTAGTTTGTAAGATAATTTATTGTTTCTGACATGATTCTGCTAACCTCTGGATTTGAATTTTTTTAGGTTTCTCAAAGTTCTTGTTTTGATACAAACGAGTTGTAGATGGTAAGTGAATGATTTTTCTTGGGAAAGTCAAATATTGTGAATTGTTATGACTTTAAGAGAGACCCTTTTCCTCACATATATAAGGTTTTTCTTGGAGTGTTACGAACGATTCGTGAAGACTTATAGGCTGATCTTGGTACCGTTGGAAAGATCTCCTTCTCATCTTTCCAGAACATCCAAGATCACGGTCATCAGAGATATATTTTGAGAGATACGTCCATTTGTTTTTTGAGAAGTCAAAGCAGTTTTTAGGTTTAAAATTTTGTATTCTAGTCAGGTTTTGTGAGGCGATTTCCTGGCGATAAGTAAGGAAGCACTAGTCGATCTACCTACGATTTTGAAGATCTCGAATCCAGCTTTTGAGATATTCTTTCAGTTCTCAAATCGGAGGTATAGTCCATCTGCAAATTTGTTCCAAAGATGATGAAAAATCTCTGCTTTTTGTTTCCAGAAAACTGCAGGTTTTCGTTTTTACTACAAAGCTTAGTCAAAGCCTGCATTAAGCTTTGAGAGGTGTTGCTAATCTTCTTGGAATAAGGGTTTTTTTCTCCATCTTGTATCAGGTTTTGATTTGTTCCCTAGTAAAACTGATTGAGATCTTTGTGTGTGCGATCTTGATTTCACTTCATTTTAATTTTTATGATCAAATATCTTGTTTCTTGCTTTTCTCCTAACAAGTACTTTTGAATCCATGACATTTTCGGTTATAATTCCGGTTATAATTCCAGAGTCCATGACATTTCAGTTATAGTTTCTGTTTCATACATGTTATTTTGGCTTTAGGAACACTGATCTTGTTGGGTGTTTAACTTAGTCTTGTTAAAGAGTTCAAAGCAAAGCATGATTCTCTTTAGTTTATTTGGCTTTGGTGATTACGACTTAGACTTGTCTTAGCAGCTAATATTAGCCTAATTTACAGTCTTATTGGGATTTTTCATGTCTTATTGTTTGTCCTCCATTGTTCTGGTCTCAGGAACTTGGAGAGAAGAAAAGAAGATGAGGACGAAAAGAAGGAGAAAGAACAATGCTGAACAAAAGGCGTTAGTAGAAGAGGCAGCAAAGAGATGTGTGCTTTGCTGAGGTCACTCGAAACAGTGAGCTGATACAGGAAAATGGACTTCAAGCTGGACTTTGTAGATTTTTTTGGCTGGTTTAGGAAGCAGAAATCGATGGCAATTTTTTGATGGGATCATATGTGTTTTGTTACCATTTTCTGATACAAGTTTTGGTACAATTTTATTATATTATCCAAAGAGTTTCTGTCGCATTGCAGTTATAAACAATTTGTAAGATATAAGCCACTTGACTTATGCATAAAGTTTTTGTTGTTATCTATCAATTAACATTTTGGCTAATACAAAAGTATGTCATATACTTCTAAGCTAAAATGGATCAACTTTATGCATAAGTGTTTATATGTATGACTATATGCCATAAACTTCTAAGCTAAAATGGATCAACTTTAAATTGAGAGGAAGACTTCTTTGTAAACTTTAGTAGACTTTACAAATTTGTAATAAAAACTCAAATTCAATCATTTTGGATGCATTTTACTTAGTTAAAACGCACAAAATTCAATCATATAGTTAAATTTCTTGTATAACTTCAATAGTAAGCTTCAAAGAAAAGTCTACTTGGTAATGTTTAAGTGCTAATCAAACATAAAAACTGTTTTCACTTTGTATATAACGAATAAGCATGTCAAACTAACACATTAACAACTAAACAGACTAATACAACTAATTTTTCCAGAAAATCTTAAAATTTGTTATACATTTTTCAAAAATGCATTTTAAAAAAAACATATTATAGTAGACTTCTTGTGTAGACTTCATAGATAGACTTCACGACGAAGTCTACCTAGTATGTATAATGTGCTAACCAAACAAGAAAACCGTTTTACGAAATATATAACGAATAAGCATGTCAAACTAACACACAAGCAACTAAATAGACTAAATCAACTAATTGTTCAAGAAAATCTTAAAAATTCGTTATATATTTTCCAAAAAGCGTTTTCAAATAAACATTAAATAGTAGACTTCACGAGGAAGTCTATTGGTAGACTTCCTGTGAAGTCTAATAGACTAGTTTTGCAATTTTTCAAATTACGAATTTTTTTATGAAGTCTACACGTGAAGTCTATCGGAAAAAAAAGACTAGTTTTGCAATTGACCAAGCTTTGACTTTTTCAAATAGACTTCATTATCGTGAATAGGCTTCAAAATGAAGTCTAACTCGAAAATGAAGTCTACCGGTGAAGTCTACAACAGAAATTAGACTTCATAGAGATTAGTTTTGCAATTGATCGAATTTTTGAATTTGAAAATAGACTTCATCGTGAAGTCTACTCCGATAAACGTTGACTATTAGACTTCACCAAGAAGTCTATCAAGAATTAGGCTTCGAAATGAAGTCTAACCCTTATTAGACTTCACAGTGAAGTCTAATGCAATATTAGACTTTGAATGAAGTCTAATACAACATTAATAGACTTCAGGGGTAGACTTCACGATAAAACAAACTACTAAAGTTTGCAAAACTAGTCTTTTTTCAAGTAGACTTCACGATAGACTTCTCCTAAAAAGTTTTTATTCTGTCAATTGCAAAACTAATCTGTTTCGAGTAGACTTCATTCTGAAGCCTACGCCATATTTTTTTGTTTTCAAAGGAATATGGGTAGACTTCATTGTGAAGTCTACTCTCTAAATTTTTTGAAAACTCAATTGCAAAACTAGTTTGTTAGACTTCGCTTATGAAGTCTAAGGACCTGCAAAAATATGAAATTCACTCAGATCTACCGGAATTTTACCTTGCCGTGATCTTAAGTTTCGTTGACGGCCTAGAACTTCGATTTAGAGCTTCAGCAAACTTCCCCAACCGTTATAATGATCTCCCACACCAAAAATGGGAAGATCTAAGAACATAAACTTTGAAAAGATGAAAATGTGTATTCTTGGGGTGAAAATGGAGAAGAAATTGAAGAATACAAGTTTATGAGATGATATAATGAGTTTGTATATATGTTTGAAGAGTAAATCATGCATTCAAAGCTTGATTTCGGTTGAGAATGGTTGTTGGACGAATTGATGGTGATGGCATTTTCGTGAATAAATGAAGAAGATGAGGTTTCTTTGGACCTTTTATTTTCGTATTAGACTTCACGGTTAGACTTCAAGGACGAAAGTAATGGCATTTTCGTTATTATCACAAATATGGTAAGGATAAAGAAGGAAGAAAAAAAGAGGGAACTACTTTTGCATTTGACTCCAATTTTTGTACTACTTTTGAAAACAGCCTTTTATTCTTATCACATATATAAAAAGAAGTTGCTATAAGTCTTGATATTATTCGATTTCGAAGTTCTTGTTGTATCTGCTGCTGATATAAGAAGTCCAGTCTGTATGTCATAAACAAAAAATGCTTAAAAATGACCAAATAGAAACAACTGTGACATCTTGTCGAGAAGCAACTTCATTGTAGTTGACACCAAAGACTATTTAGAGTCATCATAGACAAATAGTTAAGTACAATTTAACAATCTGAGATTTAAGATTTAAAAATTTCTAGTATCCATAGACAAATTGTTCACAAACTTTCCTCTGTTTTGTCAGAAGTATTTCAAACAATGAAATAACTAATCTTTTTCTCTTATATCCTGAATCTCACCATAATCGAAGCCATAGTAGTACACTAATGGTTGATTGTTTTTTCAACATTTAATTTGTAGACGAAGATAGATCCATTGCCTTTACATTGATACAATACAATCAATAATATTCACACCAAAAAAAAAAAAAAAAAAAACTCTGTTTCAATGGAATAAGATCTATAGCTCATCTTTAGTATCATCAAATAGCTTAAGCCCATCATGCCGAAGATCCTCACAATGTCTCACAAAAGGAACGATTTTCGCCGAGCCTTTTCTCTTTTTAGCTCCACATCCATGAGTCGGAGGAGTAAGGAAACAAGGCTCCATAGATGTAGCACGAACACATGGCGGATCAGGAGTTTTGCCTCTCACTGGCTGATAAAGCAACCATGGCTTTAACCCTCCAAGACTATGAGCAACATATCCAAACGTAGACCTTGCGCTTGTCACAATCTTATCAGTTAAACTCAGAAGATACATCTCCGCGAGGGCCTTTTGGTCGTGGAGCTTCTTGTCTGTTTGCTGAAACCTTTCTCCACTTGGTTGATAAACTTCTACAATGTCTCCTGTCGAAGTTGGTCGCTCCCAATACATATTCTTTAGGTTATCAGAGTACTCTGGATACAGAGATGTGACCAGAACAGCTTTAAGTTTCGGGACTTTCGTTGTATTACTAGTGACTTGTGATTCATCTTGTGTAGCTAGTTCAGGCAAAAGCTTCTCTCTTTGTGTACAGGCTACGATCTGGTCCATGACGTGCTGTAAATAACCAGCGCGTCTGCTGAAAACCCTAACTTGGATCCCAAGTGTCTCGTCTGCTCTTGATAAGTAAGCATCGTAGGATCTAGTGACCATGCCCCAAACTTGGTTTGTCGGGTGAAAAAGATACCTAGCCAGGAGGTAGAAGACGGTTTCTTTCTGCGGGAAGAGCTTGATTAGTTCGGTTTGGAAAGTTGGATTCAACCACAGAGCTGGAACAAAGTAGACATTGGCTTTGACAATCAACCAAGGGACTTTATCGATTAGTGTTTGATCCTTTTTGCAGAAGAACATCTTATCCTCATCCCTTGAATCATGTATGATGTGAAGATATAGATGCCGTGGGATTGAAGTCAAGTTAATGGAATGATTCTTCAACATAGTTCCATAACAACGAGCATATCCCTTGTCGTAGCTATCTATCTGACTCATCAGTGGAAAGTCCAGAGGAAGTAGCCAAGAAGTAGCCGGAAATGGTTCACAGAAGAGATCATTAATATCCTTGCGTTGGTCAACAAGAACGACTCTCTCTGTCAAGAGAGCGTAGAGGAAGACAGAAGCAAGAGTAAGTATTCTGTTTCCAAGCCCATAGACAGCTACCCACACAATGTATCTGCATTCACCAACGGATTTGTTTGCGTAATTCTCATCATCGTCATGAGCAAGATTCTTTGCTGCTTCCTTGTAAGCATTTGTGCCTGGACCGCAACGCTTGTGAAGCATCTCATAGTTTCTAAGCTTAGAGACAAGATACTCAGAAGGCTTGTATGGTGAAGACTTGCGATACAAGGAAGACTGATACCTACTTAAGCAAGAATCTTCATCGAAATCAGCGGTTAAAAGCCCTCCTAACAGTCTATCCCTCGGTGTTTCGGATTCATTTGAACCTGTTTACAAGAAAATTGTAAGTCAAAGAGGATCATTTCTAAAAAATAAACCCAAAAAGATGAGTTATATTACCGTTTATTGTAACACCAAGAAGCTGGTGTTTGAAGACGTTCGTGAATGATACTAACACCATCGACCAAAGTACTAAGCAAGTGAAGACTGTTATCGTAAGCTTCATCTTCATACTCAAAGCCCAGGAAAACTTCACTGGAGATCTGAAATAGTTGATGATACATGCTGACATTTTCTATGGGTTTTAGTATCAATTATTAGTAGGAGGTTATCAAAGAGTTTAGAACTCTCTTATTGTGACCAAGTCAAAGAAACTTGTACGTTTATAAATATTCTTATTGTGTTTGGCTGAGAAAATTGACGAGCTCTGAAAGTGACAACAATGTTTTTCTAATGGATTGCTTCACAAACTTATTTTCCTTTCTTACAATAAATAAATTGGTATAGGTATTAATATTCGGTTTGTGACTTTGTGTGAACAATCAAGTTATTATTTTAACGTAGAATGGGAAATGTTTAATTATCAACAAACATTGCGATGTTGAGATCTTAACAATACACATTATTCGTCATGTAGCCTTTTTCATTTTGTTTTGTGGACAGATCACATTTCAATTTTTGTTTATCTAATTTGTAGCTCTCAAGGTTTAGATCGGTTTGTTATTTAAATCCGAGTTTTGAGGTGTTTGTCAAATGCCTCTACGCAATGATTAACAAAGTATATTGGATTAACGTGTAACTTGGTAATTTGGTTTTCCTACTAAGTGCTAACTAAGTCAGATTACTAAAACAGTCAAATTGAGAAAACAAATGGACAATACAATTACAGCAAAATTTCAACTACCATCCAATTAAAAATATTTTAAGAAAAAGTTTATAATTTCTTTTCGTTACTTGTAAAGTTGTAATACACGACCAATTTTTTGTTTGAGCTTGTTTGTTTAAGCTTAAATATCTCTATTTGTTACACTCGTTTCATAACAGCAAGTCCCAGTACTACAGTAACTTTTATTTTGACAGCGAAGCAAATCAAAATTAATTTCGTAAAGATATTGTAAAAACGTTGACCACAAAGGGTTTTTGAGGGGTTTTTCGGTTTTAAAAGTCTACACATCTCAGGCGGCGGCACCGAGAGAAGTCCTAAAACCCTTAAGCGAACTTTCCCCAAATCGATTTTCTTCGATCTCTCTCGCGGCTGAGAAAAAATGGGGATTATTTCATCCGCGGATCCGAAAACGGAATCTTCCGATTCCGATTCCCTATCTCGAAACAACGAAGCCCCATCAGAGAAACTTGGAGATTCGTCCCCGTCGGAGGAGCTGGGAGATTCTAACCCTTCGGAGAAACTGGGAGATTCGTCAACCGTGTATCGAGATCCAGTAGAGTCCGGCTCCCCAAATGAAGAAGATTCGGATCAGCCAAAGGAAGGAGACGCGGACGGAGAAGAGGAAGGAGAGTGCGGGTTTTGCCTGTTCATGAAAGGAGGCGGTTGCAAGGAGTCATTCACGGCCTGGGAAGTCTGCGTGGAGGAAGCTGAGAAGAACAAGGAAGACATCGTCACTAAGTGTATGGAAGTCACTACGTCGCTGAAGAAGTGTATGGATGCTCACTCCGATTACTACCAGCCGATTCTCGCGGCGGAGAAAGCTGCTGAAGAACAGGTGAGGAAGGAGATCGAAGCCGAGAAGAAGGTCGCTGAAGAGGAGGAGATCTCGGAAGAGGAAGTAGCTGCGAGGAAACAAGCTCAGGGATGAGATGATTGAAATGGATTTTTAGGTACAATTTATATGGTTTCTTGTTTACGGGATTATCAAAATATAGAATTTGTTCGCTAGGAACTGAAAGAAAAGTTTCGTTTGTTAGATTCAAAACTCAGAACACCATTGATGGTCGAGTTTCTTTTCTAATTACTCTGTCACATTGTGTGCGAATAAGTCCGATTGATTGAGATCAGTTCTTCTTCTGTGAACGTTTCCATCTGAATGAATACTCTTTTTGATATATATGATTCGTCGAGAGATGATTTTCTCTAAAAAGGTCATTACTTTGTTGATGCCCATGAATGTTTCTGTCTAAAAACCATGTTCTTTTGTGGTTTGCTAAGCTATATTTGTCATTTGAATGTTATATACTGCTTCTGATACAGAAAATGTCAGATCTTTTTTGAGTGATTGCTTCTGCTTCCGGTTTGTTTGAAGATCAAGTTGAAATATACTGGAGCTTTTATCTTTTGAATGACAATTCTAAGGCCAGCATTGTCTCTGAATCTCAAAGAAAAATTTCATCTTCTATGTTGACACATTTTTATTCAACTACTCTTTGTTCATCATGTGTTTGGTTGCAAACTAGGATCAGAGTCGATTCAAATTGTGTAGTATATGTGCATCAAAGACCGAAGTTGAATAGAAGGAGTCAATTAAAAAACTGAAGAACACTGTCTTTTATTTTCACGATTTATGTGCATTTGATGCATCCCTACATTTCTCACCTGACAACGACCAAAAGAGAGACATTATAAACAGTGTACCGGACTTTGGTAACTAAGTAGTTTATTCACGGTCGTGTGCAACGGCTAATCGTCTTTGTCGTCATCTTCATCGTAGTTGAACGGTAGTGGAACGGACTTGAAAGCTCTGTATTTCCCGACATTGTTCAAATGCTCGTTCTCTAATCTGTTTTCCATGAACCAAACAAAGACAGAGAAATATTAACGCACCAAGATCTTGTGGATTTAATAAGTAAGTTTTGTAGTTGGTTTTCACCTGAAGAAATTCCAGATGCCACGACGGATGATCTCAAGACTAGCGACAAGCGCAACCATCGTCTGCCTATGCATGAAGGGGAAGTCGAAATCCAGAACCGTCTGGATCCACGCAAATCTCAGCAGGACGTTCAGAATCTGATACATGTTGTTCTAAGATCAGTTGCTATCAAAAACATATTTGATGTAATCAATTGTTCCTTTTTTGTTTTCTGATACTCACCATAGCAATGAAGTAGACTTTCTTTTGAGGAACAAGGAGTTTATCCCGAAGCCAGCGGTTTTTGGAAGTCCGGTTAAGAAGGCCCCAATCGTGGACAAAGTCCCAGTAAGTACAGAAGATTGCAGCTATAACCGAGAAGATAGCAGCTAAAACCCTCCAAGCGATTTGACCGTGCTGGTTGTAAGCCGTTCTCAAGCAAACCGCCACTATAGTCAACAAGTACTTGAGTCCGTTGTACCCTTGTTCCGGGGAATTCTCCTCAAACAGCCGTCGCAGGCACTGTATGAGAGTAGCAGGTTTAGATACTGAATGAGAGCTAGATTTTCTTTTGGAGGGAAGAAGCTATGTACCTGAAGGAGGCGAGAGGCATAAGGAATGACAGCAACGATGAAGAAGAAAGCGTTGTAGACAGGTCTAGAAGTCGATCCATTACAAGAGTTCCTTCTGTGTTTGAAGTCTCCCGAACCATAGTAACAGATGTAGAACTCGATGCTTCTAAGGGCTTGAACCTGGCTAGTTAACTGATCTCCCAAGAAGAAATCAGGTAATGTTACCTGCAGGAGAAAGAAAAAAAAATAGACAGCTCAAGACCTGCTCGAGAACAGGAATTTACAAGATTCTCTTTGGTAAGTGAGCTTATTCCATCTCTGGTTTACCTTGTAAAGAGGAGCGGCGAGGCAGTGAAACAGACAAGTGAGGAAGAAAAAGCGACTCGAGCGGTAAAAGACGTTGAAAGGCAGGACAAGAACCACAAACAAAGCCTCCAAAAGTGGAAAAGCAAACATGACAGAGTTATTATGCCTTCGTTTTAGCGTATGAAACTCATATCTCTGGGTTTTGGGAACTTACAAAAAGTAGGAAAAGAGGAAGAAGTTCGGTGAATGCTTTAAAGTCTTTCGTTTGGGGATCTGCCTCCATGTCAAGATTGGCAAGAACACAAAGCAATGCAAAGACTCCGATGCTGAAACCCACAAACAGGACTTGTCTGTATCCAAGTTCAGTTCCTTGCTTGAACCCAAATATGAATGAATAGTTTACTCCGTATCGCCTCCAGTAGTATATATTAGCAGCATACATTATAACATGCAGCACGATAAACCCGAACAAGCTGCGAGAAAATAGCAAAGAAGACCACATTGTTCCATATAAAATTCTTAAGAAGAAAGACAAAGTTTAATGACTTGTTACCTATAAAGCGGGAACATAGTATTCATGTATTGGCTCTGGCCTTTATTCTGCATGAGATTCCGGGTGCGTATAATCGCCACAAGAGCCACTATAAGAGAGAAAACGCATCCAGCCGAGAAACCTGAAACCAAATCTCCTCATAAGCACCACAAAAGTCTGAAAGAGAAACACCAGTTTCATGCAAGCTTTCCGATAATACCTGTGGAGAAGGTAGTTCTATGTCTCTCTAGTTTCACTTGAGGCCGTAAAGTGTTCATTCCTTTAGCTCGATTGGCATTTGTAAAATGCTTTATGAATGCAGCTTCAACGCGCTCCATTAGTCTTATAACCTGTCATAACAGATCATTACGAGAATATTAAACAAACAAAAAACAGAGGAAGTAAGAAAAATCTCATAAACCTCTTACCTCATCAGAGCTTCCCAGAAAAGATTTATCAACCACTTTCATGTAAGGCTTCGTTGCTTCCCTCGAAGTTATCTACAAAAGACATTTCGTCCAACACATTTCAGTCAATTGCAACATATAAACCCTCCAAAAACCCAAAATCGAAAATTTAAAAATCTTACCTTATCATACTTCTTCAATATCTTCGAGAACGCCAATACATTCAAAAAACTGCATATGCATATTTAAAAATCATAAACCCAAAAAAAAAAAAAACATCCCCACTTTAATTTTCCAAAACCAAAACCCATACGCACGCAACGCACCTGTAGCTCTTGAGAAGCCGAAGCTTCTGATAAAACTCGACGAAAGCGCGCCTGAGCCTCTCCTCCACTTTCATCAAGTTATGTCTGCTGAATTTTAACTCAGTCTGCTTGAGAAATCCTTTAAGGGTGGAACGAGGCGTCTCGTTCGTGTTGTTGATCCTGACTCGATCCAGAACATCGACCGGAGCTGGCCTCGCTCCTCCCATCCTGCTCGTATACACGTCATCGACCGATCCCTCAGCTCCCTCATCTTCATCTTCTTCTTCGCCATCAGCTCTGCTCGATCCTACAAATTTCAAATTTCAACATGTCGGTTCGGTATGTTGCAACCACAATACGATTCATTTAAACCTGAATAAATGAACCAATTCTAATCCGGTTTGGTACAGGCTGACAGATAGAAGCGCGAAACGGATGATATCATTTAGTCCGGTTTTGTAACTGTCAAATTTGATTAAACCAGATTTATAAAACTAAACCAGCTTCTAATTAATTTCTGTTGTTTTCGGTCAGAGACAGAAAATCAGTGGTTTACGTGAAAAGTAGATAAGTGTAATGACTTATGATTGCTCTTACTGGATTTAGCTCCGGCGGGAGTAGAAGCGGAGATAGCAGCGGCGGAGGTAGCTATATCAGAAGCCAATCGAGTGATCTCAACCGTCCGTTCCTCCAATCCCCACCCCTCTGGATTCTCAACTTTGAAACGAAACGCAATCAAAGCGTCCATCTGTTTGTTAAGCACCGCCGCTTCTTTCATCACTTCCTCGACTTTCTCTCTGTAGAACTTTCCGACCTTGTTGAATTCTTCGTCTAGTCGCCGGAAAAACACCAGCTCGTACTCTCCTCCTTCCTCCGCCGCCATCATAAACGTCGTATCGATACCGCCATCCGCAGTGGTGTTCACCAGGATCGGTCCTCGCCAAGTCGTCGCCGCTAATTGTACCCCTTCTTCGGCGTCGTGAGGACTACCGCGTCTCTGCCTTCCCGGCGTTGAGACCAAACCGCTAAACGCACGGTAGAGAGTCATCTTCCGGTTTAATCCTCCGTCGTGATGATTCTTGGCGCCGCCACGAGTAGGTGCATTGCTGGTTCTGAGGTTGAATCGGATGATTTCTTTGAGATGGTTTTTGAGAGAATCGTAATCCATGTAAGCTTGTTGCCACTCTGGCACCATCTGAGACGAAAACTCTTTCCCGAACTTCATCTTAGTTTTGTCTCGAAAGACTATCTTAGTTTTCTGTTGTGTTTTTTTTATGTTTGTGTCGGAAGAAGAAGAGATAATTCGTATATATATATATATAAATTATGTATAGCTAAACATGTGAGAGACAGAGATATTTTCAACATTCTATAAAGATGATTATAAGTTTATAACAAATGGTTTCTAATTAAGGTAATCAGCTTTGTAGCTCTTTTATCTTTACTGAATTATTTTCAACAAGTAGTATTGATGAAATGCCGGCAACTAGAGCGCGTGAGGAGTGATTCGTTCAGTTAACTGTTATTTTGTGTCAAACAACAGTTAACCATTTGTAAAATAATGTTCAGTATCTATTTTTACCATCAGTATAACTTATCCAATTAAGTTTACACAAAGAGAAAACCGAACATTGTAGTTACTTGTTCTTACGAGAAATTGTGTCGTTTGAATCTAGATTTTGAAGAAAAAAAAAGGTAGTTATATAATTATATATACGTAGTCGCACTGTATCAGACCGTTGACTCTGACTTAGACCCATATGGCGGCTCAAGGTCGATGGACGATGGTATAATTGTAATTTCAGAGAATCAAAGTGACGAAGTAGTTGATGAAAATGATTTACATCCAAGATATAACATACTCCATTATATATGTAAAACTATTGTTTAATGTTGAATGAGATGACTCATAAGTAAATTACGCTGCATGGATGATGGATCTGTTCAACGTAAATTATTTAAAAAACGGATGGTATCATTTGGTCCAGAATCTGGTGCTTATTAAGCTTGTAATCAAACTATATATTTTTTGTTGCTAAGAGTAATAAACTATCATGATATAGTTGAACCAAAAAAAAAAAAAAACTACTTAAAGACGATCTTAAGATATTTGTGGTATAATAAATGCGACGTAAATGGATATCTGAATACCAGTATAGCTACCTCTTCGAATAATTGTGTTGTATCTATCGACATGTGAAGTTAATTCCCTATGGCTCACATCATTTATTCAGCATATGATTTAATTTCAGTTGTGTTGATACACATATAATATACATATAACATCATTTTTGTTTGTGTGATATTTGTTTATCGTAAGAGGCTGTGTGCTATGTAATACAACACTAAGCAAAGAACGAGAACTCTAATTTGTGTGATATATATGTATAAATATGGGTTATACTTCAGCGTTAGTGTGGTCATTGCTTTGTTGAAAGCCATGAATGTTTCAGTCTAAAAACCATGTCTTCTTTTGTGGATTGCTATAAGCTAGTTTTATTCATTTGAATGTTATTTACTGCTTCTGATACAGAAAAAGGTCAGATCTTTTTTTAAGTGATTGCTTCTGGTTTCGGTTTGTTTAAAAATCAAGTTGAAATATACTGAAGTTTTATCTTTTGAGTGATAATTCTAAGGCCAGCGTTGTCTCTGAATCTCAAAGAAAAATTTCATCTTCTATGTTGACACATTTTTATTCAACTACTCTTTGTTCATCATGTGTTTGGTTGCAAACGAGGATCAGAGTCGATTCAAATTATGTGGTATGTATAAAGAGCGAAATTGAATAGAAAGAATCATACAAAAAATGAAGAGCACTGTATTTTATGTACAAGATTTACCACTAGAGATCGAACCCAAAATATGCATATGATGCATCCCTACATTTCTCATCTGACAACGACAAAAAGTAGACATTGTAAACAGTTTAGGGGACTTTGGTAACTAAGTAGTTTATTCACGGTCGTGTGCAACGACTAATCGTCTTTGTCGTCATCTTCATCGTAGTTGAACGGTAGTGGAACGGACTTGAAAGCTCTGTATTTCCCAACATTGTTCAAATGCTCGTTCTCTAATCTGTTTTCCACGAACCAAACAAAGACCAAAGAGTTATCAACTGAAATTTTTTAACGCAAAACAGCTTGTGGAATTAGTAAGTTTTGAAGTTGTTTTCACCTGAAGAAATTCCAGATGCCACGACGGATGATCTCAAGACTAGCGACAAGGGTAACCATCGTCTGTCTATGCATGAAGGAGAATTTGAAATCCAGAACCGTCTGGATCCACGCAAATCTCAGCAGGACATTCAAAATCTGATACATGTTGTTCTCTAAGATCAGTTTCTGTCAAACATATTTGATGTAATCACAGTTGTTCTTTTTTTTAATGTTTGAGACTCACCATAGCGATGAAGTAGACTTTCTTTTGAGGAACAAGGAGCTTATCCCGAAGCCAGCGGTTTTTGGAAGTCCGGTTAAGAAGGCCCCAATCATGGACAAAGTCCCAGTAAGTACAGAAGATTGCAGCTATAACTGAGAAGACAGCAGCTAAAACCCTCCAAGCGACTTGATCTTTCTGGATGCTGTAAGCCGTTCTCAAGCAAACCGCCACTATAGTCAAAAAGTACTTGAGCCCGTTGTACCCTTGTTCCGGGTTTTTCTCCTCGAATAGCCGTCGCAGGCACTGTATGAGAGTAACAACAAGTTTCTGTTATTGAATGAGAGCTAGATGTTGGATTTTTCTACTGGAAAGGGAGACACTATGTACCTGAAGGAGGCGAGAGACATAAGGAATGACAGCAACAATGAAGAAGAAAGTGTTGTAGACAGGAGACTGATTACAAGTGTTCTTTCTGTGTCTGAAGTCCCCCCAACCATAGTAACAGATGTAAAACTCGATGCTTCTAAGTGCTTGAACCTGGCTAGTTAACTGATCTCCCAAGAAGAAATCAGGTAGTGTCACCTGAGAGAGAAAGACACAAAATAGACAGCTCAAGACCTACTCGTATAGGAATTTTACAGCATTCTCTATGGTAAATGAGCTTATATGATCTACCTTGTAAAGAGGAGCGGCGAGGCAGTGAAACAGGCAAGTGAGGAAGAAAAAGCGACTCGAGCGGTAAAAGAAGTTGAAAGGCAGGACAAGAACCACAAACAAAACCTTCAAACGTGGAAAAAACAAACATCACAGAGTTATTATGCCATGGTTTTTAGAGTACAAAATTTCAAATCTCCGGGTTTTGGAACTTACAGAAAGTAGGATAAGAGGAAGAAGTTCAGTGAATTCTTGATAGGCTTTCGTTTTGGGATCTGCCTCCATGTCAAGATTGGCAAGAACACAAAGCAATGCAAAGACTCCGACGCTGAAACCAACAAGCAGGACTTGTCTGTATCCAAGTTCAGTTCCTTGCTTGAACCCAAATATGAAGGAATAGTTTACACCGTATCGCCTCCAGTAGTATATATTAGCAGCATACATTATTATGTGCAGCACGATAAACCCGAACAAGCTGAAAGAAAATAGCAAAGAAGACCACATCTAAACAACATTGTTCCAACGTATAAACTGTTAAGAAGAAAAGGCCACAAGTTTACTAATTAAATACCTATAAAGCGGGAACATAGTAATCATGTATTGCTTCTGGCCTTCCTCCTGCAAGAGGTTCCTGGTGCGTATGATTGCCACAAGAGCCACTATTAGAGAGAAAACGCATCCAGCCGAAAAACCTGAAACCAAATTTTCCTCATAAGCACCACAAAGTCTTAAAGAGAAGAACCAATTTGATGCAAGTTTTGTGATTTTACCTGTGGAGAATGTAGTTCTATGTCTCTCTCGTTTCGCTTTAGGCCGTAAAATGTTCATTCCTTTTGCTCGATTAGCATTTGTAAAATGCTTTATGAATGTAGCTTCAACGCGCTCCATTAGTCTTATAACCTGTAACAACAGAGGATCGACAGAGAAGATCAATACGAGAATATAAAAAAACAGAGGAATCGACGAGTTTACTTTTTCAATTGGATCAAAAGTAAGAAAAATCTCATAACTGATAAACCTCTTACCTCATCAGAGCTTCCCAGAAAAGATTTATCAACCACTTTCATGTAAAGCTTCGTTGCTTCCCTCGAAGTTATCTATAAGAGACATTTCGTCGAACACATTTCAGTCTATTGCAACATATAATAAACCATTCAAAAAACACCAAAGCGAGAATCTCAAATCTTACCTTATCATACTTCTTCAATATCTTCGAGAACGCCAATACATTCAAAAAACTGCATACACATATACACAATCAATAATCCAGAATAAAAATCCTCACTTTAATCATCCAAAACCAAAAACCCATACGCACCTGTAGCTCTTGAGAAGCCGAAGCTTCTGATAAAACTCGATGAAAGCGCGCCTGAGCCTCTCCTCGACTTTCGCTAAGTTATCTCTGCTGAATTTTAGCTCAGTCTGCTTCGACACATTGAGAACTCCTTTAATGGTGGAACGAGGCGTCTCTTTCGTGTTGTTGATCCTCACTCGATCCAGAACATCGACCGGAGCTGGTCTCGCTCCTCTCATCCTTCTCGTATACACGTCATCGACCGGTCCGTCAGCTCCCTTATCTTCTTCTTCTTCTTCCTCATCATCTTCTATTTGCCCAGCTCTGCTCGAGCCTCCTTCCTGTATTGCCTCCATATGTGCCTGACTCCGAACCTTCACTACAAATTTCAAAATTGCCGGTTTGGTAAGTTACGCCACAAATACGATTCAACAAAACCGGAAAGCGATTCCGGTCCGGTTTAGTAGATATGAAATTTGATTAAACCAGATTCTAAAATTGAACCAGCTTTTTAAATTTCTGTTAATTTATGTCAGAAAGTCAATGTTTTAGGTGAAAAGTAGTCAAGTGTTTTGACTTATGATTGCTTACTGGATTTAGCTCCGGCGGGAGTAGAAGCGGAGAGAGCGGCGGCGGAGGTAGCTATATCGGAAGCCAACCGAGTGATCTCAGCCGTCCGTTCCTCCCAACCCCAACCTTCTGGATTCTCAACTTTGAAACGAAACGCAATCAAAGCGTCCATCTGTTTGTTAAGCACCGCCGCTTCTTTCATCACTTCCTCCACTTTCTCTCTGTAAAACTTCCCGACCTTGTTGAATTCGTCGTCCAGTCGCCGGAAAAACACCAGCTCGTACTCTCCTCCTTCCTCCGCCGCCATCATAAACGTAGTATCGATACCGCCATCCGCCTTGGTGTTCACCAGAATCGGCCCCGGAGACGTCGTCGCCGTCGTCAATTGTACACCTTCTTCGACGTCGTGAGGACTAGTAGTGCGTCTCTGTCTCCCCGGCGTTGAGACCAAACCGCTAAACGCACGGTAGAGAGTCATTTTCCGGTGTAACCCTCCGTCGTGATGGTTCCTGGAGCCGCCACGAGTAGGTGCATTGCTGGTTCTGAGGTTGAATCGGATGATCTCTTTGAGACGGCTTTTGAGAAAATCGTAATCCATGTAAGCTAGTTGCCACTCTGGCACCATCTGAGACGAAAACTCTTTCCCAAACTTCATTTTAGTTTTGTCTCCACAGACTATCTTAGTTCTTTATGTTTGTGTCGGAAGAAGAAGAGATGATTCGTATATATATACACCTAAACAGGAGAGAGACAGTGGGGGGAAGAGAGATTTGTGTTGATTTTTATTTACATTTCTATAAAGATTATGATTATAAAAATTGATTCTAATTAAAGTAAGAGTAATCAACTTTATAGCTCCTCTTTTATCTTTATTGAATTCTTTTCAACAAGTTATATTCAATGCGGGCAACTAGAGCGCGTGTGGACTGATATGTTCAATTATAGAAATCTAACTAATTTTGCAATCGGTCATTCAATTATTAAAATTTAATGCGTAACTGTTATTTGTGTCAACAGTTAACCATTTGTAACATAATGTTCAGTATCTATTTTTAATTTTTTACGATCAGTGTACTGTAAACCGAACATTTTGTTATACTTGTTCTTACAAGAAATTGTATTGATGTATTTTGGTTTAAAAACCGCGTTGATCAAAATTTTGAAAAAAAGGAGTAGTTAATCCATTAATATAGGGTCGTGTCGTCTCGAGAAAATTCTATATTCGTAGTGGACGACCATAGTTGCATTGTTTTAGAGTCAGACTCAGACCGCATGGCGGCTCAAGGTTGATGGTATAACTGTAATTCAGAGAACCAAAAAAGTGACGAAGTAGTTGATGAAAATGATATACATGCATATCATAATATACTATGTAAAACTATTCATGAATGTTAAATTATGACTCATAAGTAAATAACGCTGCATGGATCTGTTCAACGTAAATTGTTTTAAAAACGGATGGTATCATTTGGTCCAGATGGTCAAATAGTCCGATTTTTAACCGAAAAGGTGTGCTTATCAAGCTCTTAATAAACTATCATGATAAAGATGATATGTATAATAAATGCGACGTAAATGTTTATATTTGAATACAACACTAGTTGTAGACTTGTAGTAGCCTCTTCGAATTAGTTTGTATCTATCGACATGTGAAGTCATTTCATTATATGGCTCACATCATTTATTTGTTTATCGTATGAGTCTATATATGATTTAATTTCAGTTGTATTGATACATACTATCACTATCACTAAAAATCACCCTATTTGTTTATCCTAAGAGGCTGTGCTATGTAATACTAACACTAAGCAAAGAATGAGAACTCTAATTTGTGTGAATATATGTATAAATATGGGTAATACGTAGCGTTAGTCGACACTAACATGCATGGTTGATCAACCACATTCTAAAGAATGATCAATGATGTTAAGTGACCAAAGTTTCTTCAACGAAGAAAGAAATCCTTCGATGTTTTTGCAGAGACTAATTGAGGAAATCCTGTCATCTTTTTATTTAAGACGATTGGTTTTGTTTATTCATTCTAGTACAGATTAAAAGACCATAGTTACTTAGTTAGTAGTTAATGCTATGAAGACGACTCGTTTTCCGGGATAAATTAGCCATCCACTTTGACCTTCTCGATCACTTAATTAAGTTTATCGTAGTACTAGATAAAGGGTTTGGTGCCTGAAAAGGAAACTGTGGAATGAAATTTAAAAGGATGAGGGTTTTGTTTGACAAAAAAAAAAAAAAAACAGGTGAATATTGGTTTAACTTTTAACCAACACCTAAATTGTGTAGATCCGACCACCACGTCACAATAGAGCATTGCTTGGATTTTTGTTCTTTACGTGAGAGAAATATATATATATATATATATATATATATATATATATATTATCATCTCTCAATCTTTCTGTTTTAAAATTTGAGAGCGATTACTGTGTGTTATCATGTACGCGTGTGTCGGCGCGACAAGCGGTATTTTAATAAGAATATGTGTTCTTGACTTTTGACAAATTCAAAGACGATTATTTTTTGAAAATAAGTCCAAATGAACTATATGCAATTATTTTTTCTTTGTTAAAGGGTTTTCTATACCTAATCCCAATCTTAGACAGAATATTAAGATAAAGAACACAGTTAGACTTTCCTCTTCTCAAGCTAGTCATCAAAATTAACCAAACTTTTGACTTTTATTTTTATGAAAAGTTTGAGCTCTTTTTTTCATCGATGATCATAGCAAGACACACATAAATACGCATATAAAGTATAAACACACAATAAACAAGTGATAAACTCTCCTTTGGACCTGTTTAGCTAAATTTAGGCCTCGGCCTTTTACAATAATGGGCCTTTAATATTCTTTAACGAAAAAATAAACTTTTCGTTTTTTCCCAAACTGGAAAAGAAATCAAATGTGATTCGACTTTCGAGTTATCCACTCACTGAAACTGTACTACCCGCCAACGGAAAACCACCATGACAGCCTCTGTCGCCGTCGCGGCGGGTTTTCTCCGACTCCCGTCCGTACAAAAGTCTCAAAGCTCTTCCTTTCTATTTAACCGGCAGAGAAATCTACCCAAGATATCTTCGGTGAGACCCATTTCCGCTTCAAGCTCGGAATTGCCGGAAAATGTTCGGAAATTCTGGAAATGGCTCGGAGATCAAGGAGTCGTCTCCGGGAAGTCTGTGGCAGAGCCCGCGGTGGTACCGGAAGGTCTGGGACTTGTAGCCCGGCGTGATATTGGAAGGAACGAGGTCGTATTGGAGATTCCCAAGCGATTGTGGATAAACCCAGAGACTGTGACGGCTTCCAAAATCGGACCTTTATGCGGCGGATTGAAGCCGTGGATTTCTGTTGCTCTGTTCTTAATCAAAGAGAAGTATGAAGAAGATTCTTCATGGAGAGTTTATCTTGATATTCTTCCTGAATCTACTGATTCTACCATCTTCTGGTGGGTCTTCTGTTTCTCCTTCCTCTGATCATCAATCAGTATCAGTTTCTCTGATGAAAACTTAGCTAATGAAATGTCTTTCTTCATGGAATGTCTCCAGTACAGGTCAGGAGAGGAGCTTGCTGAGCTCAAAGGTTCAATCTTTTTACAACTTTTCTTCTTATTTCGTTAGTTACATCATTGTGTAGATTCATACGAATAAGTTTGGGGATTTTCTGTTGTTATTGGCTCAGGGACTCAACTGTTGAGCAATACATTGGGCGTGAAAGAGTATGTGGAGAATGAATTCTCGAAACTGGAACAAGAGATATTACTGCCAAACAAAGATCTCTTCTCATCTCGCATAACAGTCGATGACTTCATCTGGGCGTTTGGGATCCTCAAGTCGAGGGCTTTTTCTCGCCTCCGTGGCCAAAACCTTGTCTTGATCCCTCTTGCAGATTTGGTAATTCCCCTGTCAAGAACTATCCAAAGAAGGGTCACTTCTCTTCATCCATATCCATGACTACAGTGTTTGATTTTGAGCAGATAAACCATAACCCCGCCATAACTAAAGAAGATTACGCATACGAGATCAAAGGAGGTGGCCTTTTCTCTAGAGATGTCTTGTTTTCCTTGAAATCACCTGCTTACGTTAAAGCAGGTGATCAGGTAAGTAAGCTTCAAACACTGTTACTTATTTATACAAAGCCTTTTAATCAATGCTTGTGTTGATGATATCTCTTCAACAGGTATACATTCAGTATGATGTGAACAAAAGCAATGCAGAACTTGCTCTGGACTATGGTTTTGTTGAATCAAACCCGAACCGGAACACATATACTTTAGCAATACAGATACCAGAATCAGACCCGTTCCTTGAGGATAAGTTGGATATCGCTGAGAGTAATGAGATGGGTGAGACTGGATACTTTGACATAGTAGAGGGACAGACTCTTCCCGCTGGCATGCTTCAGTACATTCGGCTTGTGGCTCTTAGCGGTTCAGATGCGTTCTTGCTAGAATCTATCTTCAGAAACGCCATTTGGGGACATCTTGAATTGCCTGTAAGTCGTTCAAACGAGGAACTTATCTGCCGTGTTGTCAGAGATGCCTGCAAGTCTGCTTTGTCTGGTTTTACTACCACCATCGAAGAGGTATATGTATAAATGTTCAAGCTTTTGTAATTGTACCGTCTTTGCAGCTACTTAACACTCATTTCTTGCTCTGTCTTTGGTAGGATGAGAAGTTGCTGGAAGAAGGAAAACTTGATCTTAGGATGGAAATGGCTGTCAAGATAAGGATGGGTGAGAAGAAGGTGCTTCAGCAAATCGACCAAATCTTCAAGGATAGGGAGCTTGAGCTTGATGTGCTCGAGTATTACCAAGAGAGAAGGCTCAAAGATCTTGGTTTGGTTGGCGAGCAAGGCGAAATCATCTTCTGGGAATGAGAATTAGTTTTATAGCTTATCTTCTTGAATTGGTCTGTAGAGTTGAATCGACCTCGAGATAGAAGAATTGAGAGAACAACAATCTGTATGTTAGACTATTGCCAAAAGCGGTATAAGATTGATACATCATCTTCTTTTAGTTACATCTTAACTTACGTAAAACAAATAAATCAAGATCAGCAACTTTGCAGGAAAACTGAAAAAAAAAAGTTACAAACAAAAATGGAGAAACTCCAAGGAAGAAACTATGCAGCTCCCTTTCCAAGTGTTTTGCTTGCCGTACTCTTGCAGAAGCAATGAGATCATTTGCTAAGAACCTGACTTCTCAATGTGTTAAATTGGTATTCCTATGCGTAAACAGGTCGTGGCAATTTGTACCTTCACAGAGACATTCTTGAGGGTTTGCGTAGAAGTAATCTTCCTCCTTGGGTTTGTCAGAGATTACTCTTCGTTGTGTTGGCGCTCCTGTTCGTCTCTCATGGGCTGCCTTAACGGCTACTGCAAACTGATCCCACGTGAGGGTCTTGTTGAGATGCAAATCCAGTAGCCCCACGAGTCTCTTCCGGTCCAGCAGGATTGTCTTCTTAAACCCGAGATATCTGCAAACTCAACACAACATAGCAAGTTTAAGAATCGCTATTATGGTTTTCTTTTACACTACGTTGTCAATTGTCATGAAAATGAATGGATTCAATCTTATTATTACCTCCGATGACCTTCCACGACTTTTGCCATGTTTCCATCATACGTGGGAATAAAAGTGTTGCTAGCTACAGATACCATGAAATCTAGAGCAGCCATTTGAGACGAATGGTTCTGAAACTGTTGCAACTCTGCCGACTCCAATAGCATTTCCTTCTTTACCTATAACCACATGTGAGAGCGAAACTGATAAGAAAATGTGCATATACAATGAAGATACAGTTGACGACTCGTAAGGGAAACCAGGAATAGTAGACTCACAATTCTCGGGAATGCTTCCCTTAGAACGGACAGCCTATGCTCGCTCCCATAAATCTCACCAGCTGCAATGTATATCTGTGTGTTTTTCTCGAATCCCAATGCTTTTAGAACCAATGCCACCTCCTCTGGCGTCAAAGGACACAGCCCTTGCGCTCTCCTCTCTTCTGAGTTTATCTCCTTCTCTCTCCACCAGGGATATGTGTACCTAAAGAACACAGAACAGACCCATGCATTAACAACACAAACAAGACATATATACTCAAAGCACCAATTCATGACAGATTTATCGAAGGCAAACCTCATCTTTTTAAGCTCTTCTGCTTCTTCTTCACTGCAACCATGAGTGCAACCAGAGAACGCTAACATGTCCATCTCATATCTCAGATGCAAAGCCACAAATGGCCCTCTTTGTTGTAGAATGCGGACTAGCTTAGTTCCCAAAGCCTCAAGCTGCGGAGTGAACTTTAGTCCCTGGAAGTTCACTCGGCACCTGAGCCACTGGAGTGCGAGTGGAAGACCATTGTTTGCCAGGCGAGTGTCGGTCCTATTGAAATGTACAACTTTATGTTTGCTGAAAAGGGGCAATATCTGAAAAAAAAAAAAAAAAAAAAAAAATTGACAATCAGATATCAGCAAGAACAAATACACACACACACACAGCAAGAAAATGAAGAAGCTGCAGATGCCTGCTATTTGTGAGCAGAAGAGACCTGCTTCAAGTAATACTTTTCATCAGACCAGCTCACAGGAGGCATCTCGAACATTTGATATCCATGCTTCCTGCTATACCGTTTTGGAAGCCTCCTTAAGATCCTAACTTCATCTCTTAACGAATCAATGAAATGTCTAACATCAAAAATATCCTCAAAACCACTGCAAACCAAAACCAAGGATGCTTTAGATTGCTATAAAGAGCTTAGAGCATATCAGACATGAGAGATCCTATAAACACACCGAAGATATAGTACCTTGGATCAGCCCAGAAAGACGTTTTGTCAAGCTCTGGAACAACGAGAGTGAGGTTTAATAGCCGAGCAACAGTCACCATGTCACAAATCTGAAAGAACAAAGGTAATGATTTCAGAAACATCAAATTTTGTAAAAGATCGAAAGAGGCAATTGAAGCCAGTGACCAACCGCAGATCGCATTTGATTCAGTCCACCATTACATGATACAAGTAGAATACCATTGCTTGTGTAATTTCCTGAGAAAAAAACCAATAATCTCGTTTTACTCTCAAGCACCGAAGAAGACAGAAACAAATAGAACCCTAATGCCCCAAATTGAGAAACCGGGAAGAAAGAAAAAGACTTACTCGGAGGAGGAAGAGGAGGCGGCAATGGAACTGGCTCGACAGGGGCTGAAAATCTGGAAATCTGATTGGATAGACCAGTGAAGATCCGGGTATGCCAAAGCTCGCCGGCGGCGAAAAGCTGAACCAGACACGTCCAAACCAAAATGCTGGAGCATACTCTAACGAACCAAACTTGTACGCGAGGCTTCGGAACTGCCGGAGGCGGAAGCTTATCGCTTCGCGCCTGAGTAGTCTCCGATCTAACTTCCATCTACCTCCGACGATCTCGACGTCGCCGCTTCATGAGATAAATTCTCAAAACCTAAATTTCACGATCTCGTGATGTCCGATGAATCTCTTCAGAGTGCAGAGAAACAGAATTAGATGACAAACGCGAAATGAAATGCTCTCCTTGTCAAAAAAAAGTTTGAATCTCGAGGATTTTGTGTTTTTTTTATCCGAGTTAATTCGGAAATTAAAAAAATCACGAAACAGGGGAAAAATAGAGAGGTGTGGTGGTAACTGGTAACGGTGAGAGAGAAAGGAATGAGTGAATGACGACCAAATATTTAATTAATAAATAAATAAATAACCGCCAAGGTCTTCTCCCCAATAAATTCTTTCTTACATCTTGCCAAAGAAATTTTTTATTTTTATAATTTTGAAGCTTGAAATTCTACAGAGCATTTGAACAACTTTCTCTCAAATTCATTCAATAAGAAAACGACATTCATGAAAATCTGTTTTATTAGATACTATACTAATTAAAGACTTCAAGAATATTCATTCAACTAGGCAAACAAAAGCATATACAAATAGAGAAAGAAGGATGACACATTTTACCTTTTTGGTAGTCGTTGTCATTCGTCAACGGATTCACCTAATCACTCTATTTATTGCACTAATCACGATCCAAACAAAAAGTTTCAACCTCGTTTATTCAGACTTTTCTGTAATTAAGATCTGTGTATTTAAATCTTTATTAGATTAATACTGATAAAATCCCTAAAATCATATTTGTGAGAATTTGTAGGACTTAAATGTGAATAGTTGAAACAAAATCATGACAGAATCCCTCATATTTTGCATTTGATTTGCATTAACATCCCTTCCAAGGAAAGTTTCTCTCTTTTGATGCAGTAGATTTGATTTTTGACGTTACTCCATTATTGCACAAGCATCAACCAGAAAAAGAAAATTTGAATCGAGTCAGATCATCGAGTTAGAGAGCCATCATCGTTTTCAAATCATTGAGCCAGTTAACCTTCAAAATCTACATTCATAATAATTTTTTTGTTCAACTTACCATGTAAAAGGTATTAACTAGCCTTCCGGAACCCGGTGGACCTGGCAATATGTTCCATATGTTTTGGTCAACCAATTGGCTAACGATGAATAATCCGGACACAATCCCTCAAATTTTGCATTTACAAAAACACTGTGGTACAATTGTTTTCCTCAAAATTTTGCCAGTTGCAGTAACATTAAAACAATAAAATCTAAGTGAATCATTTTCTTTATTTTCTTGTAATTTTGGGGTGATGATTGCTACGAGACTTTTGAGAAGACAAAACCAAATACTGTTATTGGGCCTCAATTCAGAAGCCCAATTAAGAACCACTGCCGAAATCGGAGCCGGGAGGGAGTTAGTTAAAAACACTCGACGTGTTATAACGAATGAAACGTCTACGCGTGGCATTGCACGTGTTGACTTTCTTTCTTCGTCTCCTTCATTAGCCATGAAAGAACGAAACTTTGAAACTCGTCAGATCGATTTCTCTCTCTATCCATTATCCATATCGGAGGCGGAGCCACCATGGATCTTCACCGGAGCTCGATTGTTCTGGTGATCCTTTCCATTTTAATCCCCGCGACGCTATCTATGCGTTACGAGCTACAGTCCGGTCACACGAAATGCATCTCCGAGGAGATTCACGCCAACGCCATGTCCGTCGGCAAATACAGCATCGTAAAGCCTCACGAAGATCAACCTCTCCCTGCTTCCCACAAAATCATCGTCAGGGTAACAATAATCCACCTAAAATCTACCGATCTTATCGCATTTCCGTGGTGAATTTAAGTAATATGCAATGTGTTGGTGGTGTATAGGTCACATCGCCGCAAGGAACGGCTTATCACGAGGCGAACGGAGTGGATTCGGGGCATTTCGCGCTAACAGCGGCGGAAACAGGAGATTACATAGCTTGCTTCTCCGCCGAGTATCACGAACCGCAAACGACGCTGACCATTGACTTTGATTGGAAGACGGGTATACATACCAAGGACTGGTCTAATGTCGCTAAGAAGAGCCAAGTCGAAGTAAGTTTCCGGCTTCTTCGTTAGTCTTAACTTAGTCAAACTAAATTCATTGACCAAATCGATTTTGAGGATTCTATGAATTGAGCATTGTGCTGCATGTGTGAGAAATTGATAGCTAAGTTGAGAAATGCTCTGTAGTCTTAGATTCTAGCTTATGTTACATTGGTTTGGTTCGAAGCATGCCATGAATTTGAGTCTGCAAATTGCTATAGGTTGCAGAGGTTGTAAGGAATTGTTTTGCTAACTTTGTAATGGTTGGATCTTTTGATGTGAATTGGGCAGATGATGGAGTTTGAGGTTAAGAAGTTATTCGATACCGTTACTTCCATCCATGATGAGATGTTTTATCTACGGGACAGGTAATTTTACGAGAAAACTTTCTTCCCTTAAAAGTCGCTTGATTTGAGGAAGAGAATGACTCAAAACGTATCTTCTTCTGGTTCTGGTCTGTTGCAGGGAAGAAGAAATGCACCAACTGAACAGATCGACAAATTCCAAGATGGCATGGTTGAGTCTTGTGTCACTCGGCGTTTGTTTATCGGTGGCAGGTCTTCAGTTTTGGCACTTGAAGACTTTCTTCGAGAAGAAGAAGCTCATCTAAAGACCATTCCCATTTCTTGCGGAGAGAAATTGTATCAGATGTCCCACGGCTGTACTTGTATTGTATACAACTGAATTCATTTTGTTATTACTCGATAATGCGGGAACAGACAATTGTATACACTCTGATATGATCTTTAGCATCTCACTACGCTGCAACTTCAATCCCAATCCATGGAACAACATAAGCTTTTTATGTCACACTCTTTTAAGTCGTTTACAAATGAAACAAATGAAAGGAGAAAGAAAGATCGAAAGAAGGAAACAATCTTTACAAAAGACGAGAAACAGAGAATAATAAGCAAATGGAGTGTTACTGTATTTATGAGGTGAACAAGCCCCAATGGTGATCTGATGGTAGAGTTTCCTTAATCTTTTCAAGTCCAGAAATGATGGTCACTGGTTCATGTCCGTATCCCAGCATTTCACGATTAACCTGTAAAAAAGAAACCGGTTGGTTATATGTAGACTCTAACCGGTTCACACATGGTCTTGGGGTTTCGCTTACTCTCTTAAATCCGGTGTGCATCCTTTGGAACGGAAAGTAGGTCTGTGTCCATCTGATACATGTTTGGCTGCTTCATATGGCTCGTGGTTCGCAAATGGTGGCTCTCCTTCAAGCATCTGGATACAATGTGGTGATGAAGTTAAGGTTGATATTCTCTGAAACTCTGGTTTAGTTTATTGTAGAGATGTGAAGTTTATTTAGAGTTCAAAAAGATCTTAGTACCACGTAAAGAATCATTGCAAAGGAGAAGAAGACATCGACTTTCTTGTCGTATCTTCTATGCCTGAATACTTCAGGAGCCATATACCGGTCTGGTTTTGTTGCACGAAAACGAGAAACAGGTGAAGTGAAGTTAGAGACACGAAAGAAGAAGAGAAAAAAAAAGGCATAGTGTGGAATGGCATGCAGCATGTAGAACTCCGTCTGGTACTTTTCAAGAACGTGCTGCCCAAGTTCTCAGTCAGATTCTGAATCTAGATCTCCAAGAGGATCAACCTCCACACCAGCATGCATCCTGTCAACAAATCAAAGATTGCCAATTATTATTATGGGGATACTCCATTCCAAATAACTCATCAGAACAAATGCATAAGGACGAGTCAGTCATCGTCATACCTTGAGCATTTGAATCCCTTCTGCAAAGGTTAGCCTCAATGTTTTTGGAAGAAGATGCAAGTTTACTAGCAAGAGGGCATTGACGCCTTCAAAGGTGCAAACGGGAATTGCTTCCCGACAACTTCCAGTTCCTTTGCGCACCTCTCGTTCAGTTTTGCCACAATATCGATTATCTACACAGACAAGTTTTATCAGGCAGCATATAACAGAAATGAGATACTAACATTTTTTAACAGCACAATTTTACCTCGGAATAGTGGCTTATAGTCTCCATAGGCCAAAAAATTCATAAAGGTGTCTATGAGTGAAGGATTTTTCAGCTCTGAAAACAGGACCGATCACGAAGAGGTGCCCCAAGCCACCACATATCGCCATCTGCTTGTGAAGCTGAGGAGACTGAGCCAGACACAGCAGAACCTCCTTCACTACTCAGAACGCCTACACATTTGTTAGCTAAGTTCAGCAAAAGCAACTAAATCATCGAAGGAATGATCAGACTTACTATTAGGACAGTTCTGATAACACATACAATAGAAACTCTATAAATTAATACTCGATAAATTAATAAATTTCTCTGGTCCCGACACAATTCGATAAGATAATAAGATAATAACTTTTTTTGAAATCCTATGTAAAATATGGTCCCAATAATATCATAAATTAATAAATATTTTTATTTTTATATATATACACCTAAAATATCTAACTACTAAAATATGAATCTCTTAGACACCAAACATATATGGAAATTAAAAGCAAAAAAAAGGAATTTTAAATAATATGGTAAGTATGAGAAAATGTAAACAATGAAGTAAATATAGAAACATGTGAAAATAATTAAGAAAATATAAAATAATGATTCTTTTTTTTTTGAAAATATTTGTAGTCAAAATCTTTATATTAATAACTCTATAAATTAATAAAATATCAAAGTCCCGACATTATTAATTTATAGAGTTTCTACTGTATTTATAATGACAAATTGTAAACTAGTCTTGACGCATACGCTAATAATACATTTGAACAAACGATTTTTATTAGGTGTTAGGAAAATGTCATATTGGGAGAGTCGGGAAGAGTTTTAGCTTTTAGGGGACGGAAATGTGATAGTAGGGTGTAATTTGAGTTTTATATAAGTTAAGAACTAAATCAGAAAAAAGTAAAACAATGCAGGGGTTCTTTGTAATTAAAAATAACATTATAAACCCGACGAGGTGGTCTCTTCCCAACCCAAACAATCTTCCTCCATCGGATCATGGCATTCAATTTTCCAGCGACCGAATGGGATGAAATACCAGACCATGAGCAAGCTCCGAGTAAGTCATAGATTCTATTTTTGTTTCAATTTTCAAAAATATCGAAATTCAACCTTCGCATAATTTCTCTATTTGATTTTTCTACCTTATCGCGTAATATTAAATATAATAATTTTTCTTCTCAACAACTCAGCCTAATAAGCAACTGACACATGGTGTGTACAAACTTCGTATGTTTTCAAGCTTATTGATGGTTTTTAATATAATTAAATCAGCCTTATTTAAGAAAAGGTTTTAGAAAACACCAATAATCATGGTCTTTAACATTCCTAGTTAACTTTTTTGTTTTTGTTGCTCTTATTAACATTTTAAATATTTGTTGTTTTTCCTTCTCGTTAGTTCCATATATTAGTTTAACTATTTGCAACAATCTAATTTCCCTTTTGCTTTTATGCATATATTACCGTATAATGTTCCTGTGGCTAGTATATTGTATTAAAAAATATTATCATATCACAAAATATTCGAAATGATGGTGTGCTTTAATATAGACGAGTTATTCGCAAAAACAATGCAAGTTATAATGCAGAAAAACGATGCAAGTTATAATGCAGAAAAACGACTGACATATAATTCAAATTCAGTTGAAGTATTGTAGAGTTTCCTACAATACGTACGAACAACAAAAATATTATTCGAATAGGTTAAGAAGTTTATAAAATGTGATTAAAGTGAGAAAATGGTGAAGTGGGTGTCACGAAACGTTTGAAGAGAAGGGAAGTGGGGCTATGCTGTTTCTTGTCGGTCTCCTGCCTTACAATTTCTTCAAAAGAATCTGATTTCTTCATCTTTCCCTCCTTTACGTAACAATACATACTGAGAATATAGAAATCAAGAGTCTAATCGTTTCTTTTGGTTACGAAACGAATTATTTACGGCAGTAATACATTGTTTCAGTACTGTATATCATGTTTTTTTTTTTTTTTTTAACTTGCAGAAAATTAGATTAACTCGGAAGTCTTCTAAAAGTTCTAAAATTATTCAACTTACAGCGTGCTGAAGCTTTACTACAACAGGAAATGACAAAATAGTTTGCATATTTATTCCCTTGAAGCTAAAAAAATCCCCCCTTTCACATGTGATTTAGATCCATTGGCTGATTGAGACTTAGGGATTATTAAGTCTAGGTGAAAGAACCATGGCTGCACACAAAGGCGGACCCACATGTAAGCATACTGGTTCATTTGACACCTCTAAAGTTAGATAAAATATTGATTTGTAAGGATATTACACATTAATGCAATAGCTTGATTGGTAAAAAGCTTCATATTGACACCCCTAACATGGGCTCAAATCTCCCCAATGACACTTTTCTTGATTTTTGACCCCCCTAATATTAAATCCTAGGTCCGCCACTGGCTGCACATGGAATATCTCGTTTTGTTTTGCTTCTATGATATATTTTATCTTTGATGTCTTAGCTGCTTGCAGGTTGCATCAAGCTAAAAAATGGATTTCCCAAGGCTGCCACATAACGGAATACAGATGGATGGTGTGATGTATGGACACTTGAAGACTTTCTTCGAGAAGAAGAAGCTCATCTAAAGATACCCCACGGCTGTACTTTTTTTGTATACAACTGAATTCGTTTTGTTATTACTCGATAATGCGGGAACAGACAATTGTATACACTCTGATGTGACCTTTAACATCTCACTACGCGGCAACTTCAATCCCAATCCATGGAACAACAAAAGCTTTTTATGTCACACTCTTTTAAGTCGTTTACTGTGAAACAAATGAAAAGAGAAAGAAAGAAACAAACAAACAAACAATCTTTACAAAAGACGAGAAACAGAGAATAATAAGCAAATGGAGTGTTGCTTTCTTGTTTCTTGATTAATTTATGAAGTGAATAAGCCCCAATGGTGATCTGATGGTAGAGTTTCCTTAATCTTTTCAAGTCTCTTGAGGATGTCCAGGAAAGAGGGTCTCTGGTTCATGTCTGCATCCCAGCATTTCACGATTAACCTGTAAAAAATAAACCGGTTGGTTATATGTAGACTCAAAACCGGTTCACACATGGTCTCTGGTTTCGGGTTTGGCTTACTCTCTTAAATCCGGTGTGCATCCTTTGGAACGGAATGTAGGTCTGTGTCCATCTGATACATGTTTGGCTGCTTCATATGGCTCGTGGTTCGCAAATGGTGGCTCTCCTTCAAGCATCTGGATACAATGTGTTAATGAAGTTAAGGTTAAGATTCTCTGAAACTCTGGTTTAGTTTATTGTAAAGATATGATGATTTTTTATAGTTAAAGGTCTAAGTACCTCGTAAAGGATCATTGCAAAGGAGAAGACATCGACTTTCTTGTCGTATCTTCTATGCCTGAATACTTCAGGAGCCATATACCGGTCTGGTTTTGTTGCACGAAGAAGAGAAACAGAGGAGGTGAAGTTAGAGATACAAAAGAAGAAGAAAAAATGACACACTACGGTTTTAGATAGAACAAGACTTACAGCTTCCGGTTTCGCCAGTCATTTTGTAGACATCATGAGAGTTTTGAACCTTTATGAGCTTACTTAGCCCAAAGTCTCCAACTTTCAAGTGGTCTGCACTTGAATTCACCAGAAGAACGTTCCTGAAAATACAAAGGTATTACAAACAGCAGATGTAAAGTAAACCCAAGAAGCTAAGCTATATACGAAGCAAATTTTGATTACCTTGGTTTAAGATCTCGGTGAATGATAACATTAGGTTCATTGTGAAGATATGTCATTCCTCTGTTAGCAACAAATTATAAAACAATTAGGCCAAAAGAACTTATCACATAATTTCTCAAATGTTAAAGCTTCAGTTACCTGGCGATATCCAACGCAAAGTTGACAGCTGTGGCTGGAGTAAGACCACCCTTCTCCTTGAGGTACTGATGAAGATCTCCCTGTGAAGCAAATATATGAATCATTTAGTTGGCCATGGAGATGAAAACATGCAGAGATAAAGAAAGACGGCGGATAGTAAAAAGCATATTACCCCGCGTAAGTATTCGGTGATTAACATAAGAGGCTTTCTTTCGGTTACGGCTCCTAAGAATTGCACTATATTCGGATGCCGAAGCTTAACTAGCAAATCAACCTCATGCCTGAAGTCCTGACTGTATCACAGCAAATGTTGGAACTTAATCAAACACAAGAATCTTAGGAGAGACTCATCTGATAATAGCAAAAGAGACAGAGATGATAAGAACTTACATAACCAGTCTATCATCTGACAGAGACGGAAGAATACGTTTCACAGCTACTGGTGTTCCTCTCCAGTAAGCTTTCACAATCTCACCAAATGAGCCCTGACATCACAAAATGTGACCAACCTCCAAAATTAGCCAAAAGAAACTCACTCGAAACTATCGACATCAAGAACAAAACTTTGGCTTCAAAAGAATACACAAACCTTTCCAATA